TCTAGCGAATTTAATTTTTTGAAAATTTTTCCAAATTATTTTTGAGTGTAGCTCAGCATCCGCTGGACCAATCAAAAAGTGCGCCATACATTTTTTGTTCGAAACTTTTTCCCTATTTTATTGGCGGTATTCCGGAACGATTATCTCGCAAATTTAATTTTTCTAAATTTTTTCCAAATTTGTTTTCTAGTGTAGCTCAGCATCCGCTGGACCAATCAAAAAGTGCGCCATACATTTTTTGTTCAGAACTTTCTTCTAATCACTATGGCGGTATTCCCGAAAGATTATCTTGCAAATTTAATTTTTCTTAATTTTTTCCAAATTTGTTTTCTATTGTAGCTCAGCATCCGCTGGACCAATGTAAAAGTGCGCCATACATTTTTTGTTCGCTACTTTTTGCTAAAGACTTTGGCGGTATTCCCGAACGATTATCTCGAAAATTTAATTTTTCAACCATTTTTCCAAAATGTTTTTTAGTGTAGCTCAGCATCCGCTGGACCAATCAAAAAGTGAGCCATACATTTTTTGTTCAAGACTTTTTGCTCAATTTTTTGGCATTATTCCCGAGTCATTATCTGGCAAATTTTTTTTTCGAAATTTTTTTTCCCAGTTTTAGTGAGTGTAGCTCAGCATCCGCTGGACCAATCAAAAAGTGCGCCATACATTTTTTGTTCAAGACTTTTTGCTCAATTTTTTGGCATTATTCCCGAGTCATTATCTGGCAAATTTTTTTTTCGAAATTTTTTTTCCCAGTTTTAGTGAGTGTAGCTCAGCATCCGCTGGACCAATCAAAAAGTGCGCCATACATTTTTTGTTCAAGACTTTCTTCTAATCACTATGGAGGCATTCCCGAACGATTATCTAGCAAATTTAATTTTTCGAAAATTTTTCATAAATTTATTTGAGTGTAGCTCAGCATCCGCTGGACCAATGTAAAAGTGCGCTATACATTTTTTGATCGAAACTTTTTTCCTATTTTATTGGCGATATTCCGGAACGATTATCTCGCAAAATTATTTTTTTTAAATTTTTTCCAAATTTGTTTTCTAGTGTAGCTCAGCATCCCCTGGACCAATCAAAAAGTGCGCCATACATTTTTTGTTCGAAACTTTTTCCCTATTTTATTGGCGGTATTCCCGATCAATTATCTCGCAAATTTAATTTTTCAAAATTTTTTAAAAAATTTATCAGAGTGTAGCTCAGCATCCGCTGGACCAATCAAAAAGTGCGCCATACATTTTTTGTTCGAAACTTTTTCCCTATTTTATTGGCGGTATTCCGGAACGATTATCTCGCAAATTTAATTTTTCTAAATTTTTTCCAAATTTGTTTTCTAGTGTAGCTCAGCAACCGCTGGACCAATCAAAAAGTGCGCCCTAAATTTTTTGTTCGAAACTTTTTTCCTATTTTATTGGCGGTATTCCGGAACGATTATCTCGCAAATTTAATTTTTCTAAATTTTTTCCAAATTTGTTTTCTAGTGTAGCTCAGCATCCGCTGGACCAATCAAAAAGTGCGCCATACATTTTTTGTTCAGAACTTTCTTCTAATCACTATGGCGGTATTCCCGAAAGATTATCTTGCAAATTTAATTTTTCTTAATTTTTTCCAAATTTGTTTTCTATTGTAGCTCAGCATCCGCTGGACCAATGTAAAAGTGCGCCATACATTTTTTGTTCGCTACTTTTTGCTAAAGACTTTGGCGGTATTCCCGAACGATTATCTCGAAAATTTAATTTTTCAACCATTTTTCCAAAATGTTTTTTAGTGTAGCTCAGCATCCGCTGGACCAATCAAAAAGTGAGCCATACATTTTTTGTTCAAGACTTTTTGCTCAATTTTTTGGCATTATTCCCGAGTCATTATCTGGCAAATTTTTTTTTCGAAATTTTTTTTCCCAGTTTTAGTGAGTGTAGCTCAGCATCCGCTGGACCAATCAAAAAGTGCGCCATACATTTTTTGTTCAAGACTTTTTGCTCAATTTTTTGGCATTATTCCCGAGTCATTATCTGGCAACTTTTTTTCTTCGAAATTTTTTTCCCAGTTTTAGTGAGTGTAGCTCAGCATCCGCTGGACCAATCAAAAAGTGCGCCATACATTTTTTGTTCAAGACTTTCTTCTAATCACTATGGAGGCATTCCCGAACGATTATCTAGCAAATTTAATTTTTCGAAAATTTTTCATAAATTTATTTGAGTGTAGCTCAGCATCCGCTGGACCAATGTAAAAGTGCGCTATACATTTTTTGATCGAAACTTTTTCCCTATTTTATTGGCGATATTCCGGAACGATTATCTCGCAAATTTATTTTTTTTAAATTTTTTCCAAATTTGTTTTCTAGTGTAGCTCAGCATCCCCTGGACCAATCAAAAAGTGCGCCATACATTTTTTGTTCGAAACTTTTTCCCTATTTTATTGGCGGTATTCCCGATCAATTATCTCGCAAATTTAATTTTTCAAAATTTTTTAAAAAATTTATCAGAGTGTAGCTCAGCATCCGCTGGACCAATCAAAAAGTGCGCCATACATTTTTTGTTCGAGACTCCCGGGTTAAGACTTTGGCGGTATTCCCGATCAATTATCTCGCAAATTTAATTTTTCGAAATTTTTTAAAAAATTTATCAGAGTGTAGCTCAGCATCCGCTGGACCAATCAAAAAGTGCGCCATACATTTTTTGTTCGAGACTCCCGGGTTAAGACTTTGGCGGTATTCCCGACCAATTATCTCGCAAATTTAATTTTTCGAAATTTTTTAAAAAATTTATCAGAGTGTAGCTCAGCATCCGCTGGACCAATCAAAAAGTGCGCCATACATTTTTTGTTCGAGACTCCCGGGTTAAGACTTTGGCGGTATTCCCGATCAATTATCTCGCAAATTTAATTTTTCGAAATTTTTTAAAAAATTTATCAGAGTGTAGCTCAGCATCCGCTGGACCAATCAAAAAGTGCGCCATACATTTTTTGTTCGAGACTCCCGGGTTATGACTTTGGCGGTATTGCCGATCAATTATCTCGCAAATTTAATTTTTCGAAATTTTTTAAAAAATTTATCAGAGTGTAGCTCAGCATCCGCTGGACCAATCAAAAAGTGCGCCATACATTTTTTGTTCGAGACTCCCGGGTTAAGACTTTGGCGGTATTCCCGACCAATTATCTCGCAAATTTAATTTTTCGAAATTTTTTAAAAAATTTATCAGAGTGTAGCTCAGCATCCGCTGGACCAATCAAAAAGTGCGCCATACATTTTTTGTTCGAGACTCCCGGGTTAAGACTTTGGCGGTATTCCCGATCAATTATCTCGCAAATTTAATTTTTCGAAATTTTTTAAAAAATTTATCAGAGTGTAGCTCAGCATCCGCTGGACCAATCAAAAAGTGCGCCATACATTTTTTGTTCGAGACTCCCGGGTTATGACTTTGGCGGTATTGCCGATCAATTATCACGCAAATTTAATTTTTCGAAATTTTTTAAAAAATTTATCAGAGTGTAGCTCAGCATCCGCTGGACCAATCAAAAAGTGCGCCATACATTTTTTGTTCGAGACTCCCGGGTTAAGACTTTGGCGGTATTCCCGACCAATTATCTCGCAAATTGAATTTTTTAAAATTTTTTTAAAAATTTATCTGATTGTAGCTTCGCATCCGCTGGACCAATCAAAAAGTGCGCCGTATATTTTTTGTTCGAGACTCCCGGGTTAAGACTTTGGCGGTATTCCCGATCAATTATCTCGCAAATTTAATTTTTCGAAATTTTTTAAAAAATTTATCAGAGTGTAGCTCAGCATCCGCTGGACCAATCAAAAAGTGCGCCATACATTTTTTGTTCGAGACTCCCGGGTTAAGACTTTGGCGGTATTCCCGATCAATTATCTCGCAAATTTAATTTTTCGAAATTTTTTAAAAAATTTATCAGAGTGTAGCTCAGCATCCGCTGGACCAATCAAAAAGTGCGCCATACATTTTTGGTTCAGAACTTTCTTCTAATCACTATGGAGGCATTCCCGAACGATTATCTAGCAAATTTAATTTTTCGAAAATTTTTCATAAATTTATTTGAGTGTAGCTCAGCATCCGCTGGACCAATGTAAAAGTGCGCCATACATTTTTTGTTCGAAACTTTTTCCCTATTTTATTGGCGGTATTCCGGAACGATTATCTCGCAAATTTATTTTTTCAAAATTTTTTAAAAAATTTATCAGAGTGTAGCTCAGCATCCGCTGGACCAATCAAAAAGTGCGCCATACATTTTTTGTTCGAAACTTTTTCCCTTTTTTATTGGCGGTATTTTCAATTTCGATAATCATTTATTTTTTCAGGAATATTTAATTTATTATGTTTATTCTTAATCTATTAATATATATTTATTTATTATACCACATTTATCATATATGAAAATTTTAATACTGTTACTAAAAATTAAATCATGTGTCTCTATTAAAATTAGTTAACATTTTAATTAATTTTATTTATTATTTTGACTTTTTAGTATAAATTGATATTTAAATTACATAAAATGTTAACTATTTGAGAATTTAGAGAATACTTAGAATTTTAAGTTGAATTTAAATTACAAATTTTTTTATTTATCTGCTATTGCAAATTTTTCGTGCATTTTTTTAAAATAAATTTTATTATACAGCATTGCGATCGTTTAAATCGCAGCTGTTTTATTTTTTTCCTGTGAGTTTATATTAATATTTCGAGTAAATACAATTTTCGGATTATTAAATTTATTTCTATATATTTATGGAATATATCCCTATTAATATCCCATACAATAAAGTAAATAAATTTAAAGGCACTTACAAATCTTAAAATTAGATTTTAAGTATATTTGGAAAATATAATGGTATAAAGTATAAATCAATTTTAAGATTATTATATATTATAATTTATTTAGCATTTATAATTCATACGATTGTATTGTTCAGAAATATTTAAAATAATAATTTAAAATTTTTTTGAGCTAAAATACTATCTGTCGGTAAAGTAATTTATATAATAATGCCGGATCATAACCTAAAACTGTCAATAACATAACATCAGTGCTCGTGGTTTACTATATGTGAAAAGTGAAAAAATTTATTTACAATTTTATATATTTATTAAAAAATGACATTTATATTGAGAAGAAGTTCTCCATACGTGTTGGCATTGTTTCCATTTGGTGCCAATGCCCATGATAGACCAACTGATGGCACTTTTGTAGAAAAACCAAAAACAACTAGTATAGAACGATTAAAAAATATATTTTATGAAGAGTAAGTACAGACAATAATTACAAATGTATATGTTTTTTTTTATATATATATTTTTATTGTAAAAAAATTATTTTTGAAAAAGTAAAGCAGCAAGTATAAAAATGAAATTTATTTACACTGTTTTTTTATAAATATATGTATTATACATATTTATGAATTTTTTATTTTATTTATTTTAGTGAATTTGGAAACTTTTCTGCGGAACTTCAGTATTGTATACATTTAACTTCAATGGGATTTATTATTGGAGGCTTTTACGGCGGTATAATTAGAGGAAAAACTGCTTTTGTCAAATTTATCGATAACAATGAAGCAACAATGTTCCTTAATCATATGGATGCAAAACGAAGATTACAGGATACAATGGCATATAATGTTTTTAAAGGTGTTGCTCAATGGGGTTGGAGAACTGCTTTATTCACTTTAATTTATGGGTAAATACCAAATTTTCAAGCAAAACAAAAAAAATTGTTCTAATTCATTACTGGATATTTTTTCTCATATATATTTTTGTTATTATAAATTTAGAATAACTTCAACATCGGTAGCAATTATTCGTGAAAAATCTGGCATACTTGAACATACAGATGGTGGATTTGTAGCCGGAGCAATTTATAATATTAAAAATGGTATTCGAGGAGTCATTGTCGGTGGAGGATTAGGAGGTGTTTTAGGAACAATTTTTGGAACCATAACTTATGTGATTTTACTTTTATCAGGAAAAACAATGGAAGATATTCGACTTTATACCCGGGAATGGAAAACAGAAAGAGAAGAGTAAATTAATTTTTATTTTAAATTAAAATAACTTTCAAAATATTTCAAATTGACTTTATTTTTATTATTTAATTAATTAATGGTTCACTTTTGTAAAATTACAGACTTATAGGAGAAAGTGATAGAAAAAGACGATTAAAGAAAGACGAAGAAGAAATTATGAAAGCAGCCGATGTTTTAATTGAAAAGGAAGTAAGTTGAAATATATTGTAAATAAATATTTGATATCTGTAAGTATACAAAAAAAAAAACATTATAAAAAATAAAACTACAGTAGATTATAATTAATCACAATTTATTGATTGTAATCACAATTTGTTTTTTCTATCCAAACCCCAGTCAACAAATAAATCAGATATGAAATAATTTTATTTATGAATACACGAATATAAAAAAACGTGTCTCTTAAAATAAACAATCCGTGTGCACAAATTTTATTATGCGTATTTGACAAAATACTTATAGATCAATCGATCTGCAATAAACATATAATATATAAATTGATTAAAAAAAATATTTATATAATTGTAAACAATTTAAAAATACAATCTCAATATTAGGTAACTTTTCTGGCCTTAATTGAAATGTCCTTTTAATAAAATGACAAGATACATAATGTTTATTGAAACTAATTTGAAAATAATGTACTCTTATCAATTACTGTTATTTCACAAAATTTAATTATTACCTCAAATTTTGAAAACAAAAAACATTATTAAAATTTGAAATTGATTAAATGTAAATTTTCAAGTAGAGAAAAATTCACTATTGTAAATTTACAATGATCGATTGCACTATTACAATAATGAATTATAAATAATAACAGATTGACAGTCACAAAGAAAATAAAAATAATTTTAAACGTTTTTCTTTTCTATAAACTTAAAATCAAAAATAATATATATTTTCAAAAAATCTGTTACATTTTTTTCAAATCGACATTTAAATAATTGATTATAAAATTTGGTAACAACTTTTTTGTTTTAAATTAAATCGAAGTCGATAAAATGCAAAGAATCAGATTTTTTGAAACAATAATTTCATTAAAATTAAAAACAAGTTGCATTTTACAGAATAGGCCTGATGCTACAAAATAGTGTTTTTTTTTTATCGATTCATTGTACTTTTTTTGTGAGCCACATTTTTCTTTGTAAACATTGGTAATTTAACATGAAATCGAAAAATATACGTATTATAACGTTCATATTTAATATAGCGATAAATAATTTAATTGTAGAAGTTATAAAATCTAAAAGTAGCGTAATCACATTTCGCAATAATAAAAATATTGGGTCTCACACCTTATCTAAATTTTTCCCCTCCCATATTATACATAAGGGGAGGGAATTGATTAAAATTGAAATTGATTGACGTAAAGGGAGAAAAATGCAAAAATCCTGCAACTATTGAATTTCTACTTAAATCCCACTATTACAACAACAAAAAAAATTGAAGAAATTACGTCTAACAATTAAATTAATTAAACTTCCTGTTCCGAAGGTCCTAATTCTTGAACCTTGGTTATCCGTTTTGCGCCTCGATTCGGTGGACCTTTCGGTTTGGCAAACTTTGGTCGATGCAAATTGACTTTAGGATGTAATTCCTCTTGCAAAAATTCTTCAGTCAGTTCCTTTCCGTCCTCTATTTCAAGCTATACAATCAAAAATTTCATAAACGGTATTATTTCGATTTTTACAAATTTTTCTTTTTATAAATAAAAATCAAAAATGAAATGTTAAATAAATTTAATATAAAGAGTCCTCAGGCCTATTCTGTAAACTATTGTTCTTTTTCTAAATCTATATTACATACCATTTCGAAGTCCGCTTCATCCGTTCTTCTAGAAACTTAATCACAAATTGATTTTTCGTTTTTTCTTTTCTTGTTTTTTTTTTTTTTTTTTGACAATGGGAGAAAAATTTGCTGCAGACGATATTTTTCAAAGCAATAACAAAACAAATAATTTGGTTTAACGCATTAAATTGTTTATTGTTTCTAATATAGTAAATATCAGCAAGATATACAGTTTTATTAAAATTGTTATACTATTGATACGAAAAAAATAATCACGAAAAAATATGGACAAATTCACAACTTACAGAATAGGCCTGGTGCGTTATTTTTATTAAAAAAAAAAAAGAAAAGAAAACTGTGTTCAGGCTTACAATATGTGCGTCTTTAATTTTTATAATCTAAAAAAATTGTTACATATATATATATATCTCTGGGTATTAAAAAATTAAGACTTTAAAGTTCCTGAATTTTTAAATTCTCAGAAAATGGAAGAAATATTTTTATAGTCTTAACAAATTTCTTTTTTTAATCACACATTATACTGAAACATCATTTGTAAAATTTAAAAAATAACAATTATAAATACTTAATAATCATTTTAAGCCAAGTGTAATTAGAATCATTGATTTATAATCGTAGAGCTGAATTTTAATTATATTTTACATGCTCTTAACTATTTAAACTACTGTTTTTTTTTTGTTTTTCTTTTTTTGATTAATTATTATTCTTGATCTTTTTAAATTTGAACAAGTCGCAATATTTTGACTGGATGCGAATTTCGAGATTGATTTTTATAAAAAAGCTACGTTACATTTAAAAAAATATTTGAGGATTGCGACAAGTATATGTCCTGCCGCAAATTGGCTTTAAAAAAATATGCATCACAAAAAATAGAACACTTCTGGAATTTTCTTTTCTCACAGTCTCATTTGCCCTAAAAAAAATTTTCAAAATAGTGCGTTTTTCATCGATATCCTTTTATTCCGATTAATTAAAATATTGGTCGTTGAAATTTTTTCACGTTGACGAAAAAAAAAATTCTTAATTAACAAATTTAAGTGATTTTAAATTAAAAATTTCTTTTTTTTAATTTAATTATCAGGTACAATCGAAAAATTTCGAAACAATAATATTGATGAAAAATGAAAAAAAAGAGAAGAAAAACATAATTATTGATTTATAATAAAATAAATTATTTTTTCTCCTTTTTTTTTATTTCGCATCGAAATTTCAATTTATAAATTTTATTTTAATTAGAAATCGGATTAAAGAAATGTGAATGTAAAAGTTTGTTTTAGGCAAATGAGACTCGCACAGTCAGTCTTACAAATTACTTGTATTTTTGTGAAAGTCAATTTTTTTTTTTTTTTACAAGAGTATAGAGAATATTGTTTAACTAATATGCGTTGATAACATTATAATATTTGTATTATCACTAAACGCGATCGCGAACCGACTATATTTATATATAAATATTTGTCTACATCCAACATGTGGGCAAGAATATTTTGCACATATATATAATTTATATTTATATATATATATCAGATCCTCTGGCTAATACAATATCGTTGATAAAAATGTACAGAGAAGTTAGGCGAGGGCTTTTTTTTTAAGTTATATCTAAACTTGGAATTTTACCCAACTCTCTTCTAATCACATAATGACATCTTAACTGCCAAAGTTTTTTCAGATAAAATCACTTTTTCCTTACAGCATCAAATTCTATATACTTATAAAATTATATATCCGTTTTATCGAATTTTTGGAAGTCGAGTCTCATGAGTTTAGTATTTAATAAAATTATAAACGACAAAACTTATACGTATATCACTTTCTCAAGACTAGGAACTAAGCAAGACTCGGTTTAATTAATTGAGCAAATCTTTTTAAATATATATGAATCACTGATTTATCAGTCTGCACTTTATTATTTGTGCGTTTTAATGAAATTCAATCTCTATTATATTTTGTTTAATATTCTATTTATAGATATTGGTAATTGTTATTAAAAACAATGGGTCAAAAATTATTATTGACTAAGAAATTGTTTTAATTGTTATTAATGATAATTAATTATATTTATTAATATGCAAGCGGCTTCAAACTAATAAATCTAAGTAGACTTAATTCGTGAGACTCAACTTCCATTCATTACGGAGGAAGAATAGTAAAAATTCACGAGCTTAATCTCAAAGATAAAATAAAAATGACTCTTGTTCTCCTAGTGTTTGCTAGATTATTAAAATATGGAATTCTTATTTTTTTTTCTTACCACAGACGCGTTACAATTGTTAGATATTATCGTCTCAAAGTTATATGGAATTTTCACTTTTTGTAATTTAGAAAAATATGTTTTTTCTTTATCTATTACGTTTTTCTACATAAGCATTTATATCACTTGTTTAATTAAATATATATATATTTCTTGAAGAAATTGTTAATAAAAAGCGTTTCTCTATTTAAAAAAAAATCTTTAAACATTTTAAATATCAAACTCTGTTAATAATCTGATATTTAGAACTTTACGAGTCACAATACACTAATAAAAATCAGTGTTTGAATAAGATTTTCAAAACCCATAAACTATCTTTGTCATTTAAACGTTTACGAGAAGAAGGTTTTGTATTTTCAAGTTTTTAGTTTGTTTTTTTAAGATTTTTTTTTTTTTTTTGTTTATCAGCTCTTCAAAAGCAGTTAAATCCTCACCTTTTGGAAGAATTCAATTTTTCTTTGTCAACTTACATGCTAAATAAAAAAAAAATTTATATCAGAAAAAAGAAATTGTAATATAATCTCGTTGTCAATCTTTTTTTTTTTTGTCAGATCATTTGGCAAGTAAAGTTTTAATCTGCTTTATAAGCTGACTGAATATAAACTTAATGAGGGGCATAAAAAAAAGTCTTATTTTACTATCACAAATGTAAATTTTGTGATAAAAGGATTTTTAACGATCGAAACACGAAAACCAGTTTAGACGGAAAATTATTCAAAAATTTAATTTTGTTAACTCAAAACGCAAGAACGCTTTTGCTTGTACTTTTTGTTATCGGTAAATGGAATCGAATTGTTACACGGCGTTGACGGAGTTGCTGGCGTATTTGTACCCGGTTCCCTTATGATTGGAGGATCTTCCAACATGTCAGCTAATTCTTCTCCGCCATTAACTTCCAACTAATTATTTTTCGACAATAGATCATTAAAATTTTTGTTTTGTTTTTTGTTAAACCTGGTCATGCAACATTTTTTTTTTTTAATGCAGGGAATTAAACTCTCTACTTTCAAGCAGCTTTTATCAAGAAAATATGTTTTTTTTTTTTTTGAAAAAAAACGAAATTCAATTACGTCTTTAGAAGCGGATTTGAATTTTTTTCGTCATGCACTTTTTTATCAGTTACAAATAAAAGTGATTGTTAATTAATTTGAATACTCACTTTTTTGGCAATGATTACGCCTAATGATTGAATAAAATCGAGAAGTGGAGCTTTGCATGATGAGTAGAGCATTCTTTCCTTAATACTGCATTTATATCCTGGCATACTGTATATGAAAACTGTAAACAATTTCAAATTATTGTCAGAGTGAAAGAAAGTAATATTATTTAAAAATACACGACAATTCTCACCTATACATTCCATATAATCTCCTTCGTGAGTATGTTTGAAACTAAAAAGATGATATCTCGCAGAATCTGAAGGAACTTTTGTCGGTAATTTATCTAAAGAAACATCGCCCGCTGTAACCAAATGAATTTTCTCTTCATCAATATCAATTTTCAATTGTATATAATCGTGAATTCCTTTTCCTAAATCGGTAATTGCTTGTTTTGCTTCATCTGACACGGGAAAAGCGACACCACTTAGTGTTTGATGTCTCGTTTCAACACTGTAATCCGTGTGAATTGTTGTTTTTTTCAATTCAGCTAATTCTTCCTCAGCAGTTGTTAATGGTACAGGGGCAGCATCATTTCTTTTATGCTTATGATAACCATCCAAATTTATATCTTCCGGCACTGTGCCGTGTAATTCTTCTTTAATTGATGCCGTGCCAAATTCTTGTTTAAGAGTTGCCTTTGTTGAAGCGTAAAGCATTTTTTGCCGAATTGGTGCAGTGTCCGGCGACCAAGAAATAAAAAGCCAATCATAACCAGAATCAGATTTTGTATCAAGACGATAAAGAATATAAGCTGGCTGATTTTCTTCAATCAATGGTTTTATCATTTTATCATAATCATCTTGCCATTTACCCACAGGTTTCGATGATGAGGAAGAAGATAATTCCTCTAAAAAAAAAAATTTTATTCCATGTTACAATAATTGTGTCGTAAAAATTTAGAATTTGTCATTAATTATAATTTTATAGAATAACTTACCATTTTCAATTGAAACTTTTAATACTCTTATTTTGCCGTCTCTGCATTTAGCGAAAATTTTCTTTAAACCTTCGTTTGCTGGAAAAATAAACAAAAGAAATGTCGAAAATCTATATAAGTTTATTTGTAGGTTAGAATCCACGTAGAAAATCATTTAGGTGAATCATATATTTATGTATTGAAATATTTAATTACACTGATTGTCACAAGTATTTACCTTTAATTCCTGTTTGATGGGACATTGTTTTTATTTTGTTTTATTAACGCAAGATACTTAAAATTAATTTTTTTTTAAAAGATTTCACAAAATGAACTCCCCTACGCAAATACCCACCCCACATCCACCCGCGACACCCCTATTACGAATCGTTGATTGGCCTTAAATAATAACCAATCTCATCCAAGAAACAAATGTCAGCTGTCAATTTTATCAATTGAAGTGTGTGTATTGACCTTCAAGTTCACCTTGAAACATTGGAATGTAATTTACGTGTAACTATGTAAAATTTTGAATTTCCCGCCTCAAAACGTAATTTACGTAAATGTTAACCTTTATTTTTTTAAATTTTCACTTATAAAAAATGCTTTTAATGCTTCAATTTAATTGTTTAAAATAATTAATTTTAATTTAATTATTTTAAAAAACAAAAATCTCGTTAAGTTACTGTATTTTACGTAAATATTTTAACGACATTTACCCTTGTTCACCTTTAACTTAAAGGTCGATTCATATTTGCAATGTTTTTAAATTTCCTCGGCTGTCATTTGTTTTGAAGAATTTTACCATGAAGGACATTTTATCCAAAGGATCCCAAGGATACAAAACAAGTTTTGTATCCAATTCTCTATTTATCTCTGCTTAGTACACCCTTAAAAACTAGATGTCGGTGTCCTATCCCCAGGAATTTCGCGTCTGTGCACAACCTAGTCTCAATTTGCTTGATGTTGGAATAAGTTTTGTGTATAAAGGATAAAGTGGGAATTGGGAAGGGAACAATTTATAAACAATCCCCAGCAGCCGACTGTTTATTATAACAATAGTGCACAAGTTTTTTATTCATTGATTTAGATATTTTAAATTATAAGGACCAACTTAAGGTTGGTGCATCTAAGGTGCATCTCGAAACTATCCTCTGCTTTTTTTTTGCATGCTGAAACCTGCAAGCCATTACCTTTTTAAAGAATAGCACGTATCTTGTATTTGTTCCGAAATTAATTTCAATAAATTAACAATATATTGTTAGTGTTTAGTGTATTGTTTAATAACTCGCTTGGAGCATAATTTTCTCGCCTTTTTAAGACCATCATGACCAGATAAGTGATGAATTTTTAAAATGGTATTGAGTCGAAATGATAAAAGGAAAAGAAAAGAAGGAGATCTCGTGGACCTCATGGATCCATTGTCGGATTCACCAAAAAGGTAGGTTTTAATTGTTTACCTTGCGCTCATTTTCAATCAGTCTTTAAAACTAAACAAATAAAAGTGTTAATTTTTTTTATTATTTAATGTCCATCGCTATAATTAATTATGTGTTGACTAATTTTGAAAATGAGTTTTATTACTCTGTCAGCATTGGCTCTCGGCTTTTTTAATTTTTCTCAGGCAATTTAAATAATATTTTATTTTGTCCTAGAAAACTCAGTGTTACATGTTTCTTATTATGTGCCAATAATAATTTTTATAAAAAATGAATTAATAATAATAAAAAAAAAATTAGAATAAAGTTACGTTTTTTCAGAACCAAAATTCATGCACAAAGAAAATTTGCACAGGGAGCTGCAACATTTTACAGTCCTTCCACTACACCTGTTAAAGAAAAGGAGAAAGAAAAATCAAAACCAGCTGCTATTAATGAATTGATAAGTCACAAGCGACCGAATACAGAAGATTTTCTGACATTTCTATGTTTCAGAGGTATCAGTTTCTTATTCAATATTCTTTATCAATTATTGATTTATTTTTAATGTATTTTATTCTTTTTCTTTTCAGGAACATCTATATTACCATCAAGTTTGAATTTTTTCAACGTTTGCGCAAAGAAAGATAAAGGCGATTTAAAATCCATCAAAGCTTCAAAGGCGAGTCCTTCTTCCAGTTCGAAACCAAGACCCACTGATTCCGCAAAATCTGATCCGTCCCAAAAAGCAACTAAATCAAAAAATAATGTGTCCGTTAAAAAAGAATTTCCCAATGGATTAAAAAATACAATTAAATTTAAAACGAAAACGTCAACAGTACAAGCGCTAAAAAGAAAATATCAAGAACAGCGATTGGCGAAGCAGCGAATTAAAAATAAAATCAAGACATCATATGTGATACGAACTCGTTCGAATTCGGAGAAAAATGTCGAAAAATCATTGAGCAAATTGTCATCGAGAAAATTTGTCACGAAACCAGAAAAAAGTAAACGACATGGTCTTCGTAGTGGCGGACTCATTGAACAGGTTTGCAATCCGAAAATTATTCCCAAAAATAAACGATCGATAAAACCACAGAAAAAAGGATTTGGAAAAAATAAAAATAATTCAAAGGATGATTATCTAGATTCGGATTCAGGTTCAAATGATGAAGAATTAAAATTGGCACAAAATAATAAGAAAATTGGAAAATCAGTGCCAAAGAAAATTTGCACAAGAAAAACAGAATTACGTCGAGTGACACGATCATTTGTTGAAACAAAATCGACGCAAAATCTTTCACGAAGACCAACAAGAAAAACAAAAGAGGCCGCTGCAGTTTACATGGAAATTTTGGGCCGAAAACTAGTCAGTCCCGATTTAGAGAATGACGACGATATTTCACTCGATAGTTTTCCCGAATTACCAAATTCGCGACGCATTTTAAAAGAGGAATTTGAGATCAAGGAAAAAGTCAAACAGAATGCAAAATCAGCTGCCAAAGAAAAGGAAATCAAAGTCGAAAGTACTGTCAGCAGCAAGAGAATTGACAAACTTCGAACTGTCAAAACTGTTTTAAAGAGTAAACGAATAGTAAAAGTTCATAAATATTGTGAACTTGAAACTGACGAGGAGAGTGAAATTTCGTGTGATAGTGAAAAAAGTGGCAAAACAAGACCAATGACTCGACGAAGTTTAAATAAGACAAATAAACCCGCGAACAGAAGTTTAAGATCATCGTCAAGAAATCTTTCCGTTAAAGTTCAAGTTGAAAGTTGCGAAGTTCGCAAGTATATAGGCAAAAAGGAAGTTAAAAAGGAGAAAATTGTATTGAAGAGAAAACGCGAACAGATCGAAGAAAAGAATGTGGATAAGAAAGAGGAAACTCCAAAAAATGAAGAAACACAAGATATTGAAACCCCGAAGAACAAGAAGGAGGGAAATTTAAAGAGTGATATAGATAATAAAAAGAATGATGGCAAAGAAGAAATCAAGAAGCTCAAGAAAGTTGAGGATAAGGAAAAAGAAATTAAAATCGAAACAGACGAATTAAAACAGGAAATTAAAAATAGTGAAAAAGATATTAAAGAAGAATCCGATGAAGAAACACTTTGTTCACTTCTCAGTAAAATAAAACGAAAACGTGAATCTGATGATGAATTGAGTAAACCAATTAAAATTCTCAAAGAGGTAAAAGACTCAAAAATGTCCGATGACGAGGAATCATTCCGTGGATTCACGAAAAAGGCAATTTCAAAGGTACTAGATACATGTCAATCTCATGTGAATTCAAATCTTTTAGTAACCGAGAGTATTGAATCAAAATCCGTTCAAGTCTCATCAATTTCCCCCTTGGAATCCACTAAGGACTTGGACAAATCTCAAAATCAAGAAAATCCCACAATAATTCCATTCGAGAAATTAATTGTTATCGAGCCAAATGAAACACTCGAAAAAGATGACGTTGAAAAGCAAGATCAAAATACAAACAAGCCGGACAATGAAATCAAGATTATTGACATGCCATCAACAACAACTGTTGGCCGAAAAGAACGTGTCAACATGTCAGCCGAACAAATTGAAAAATGGCTCACTGAGAGTTCCATTGCAAAAGAAGAGAATAAAGTCGAATTGGACACAACTTACAATTACGAAAACACAACTGAGAAGCCAAAAGTCTCTCATCATTTATCAATTTCCTCAAAAATACAACATCTAGTAAGACCAGTTAACGTCACATTAGCTAAACTTCACGATAAATCGAAAGCACAAAAAATTGTACTTAATACACAAACTAGTCCCATTAAACCGAGTAGTTCATTAATTGTAAAAAACAAAGAAAGCGAGCCAAAGGAACAAACAGCAATGAACAAAATTTCAAATTTAAAAACGAACAAAGAATCGCCAATTGTCGATGATGATATTGTTTCCAAATCGGATCAAAATTCACCCGACGATACACCATCATCGGAGAAAAAGTGTCAGGATAAGAAAATTCTACCCCAACCGAGGAAATTGTTCCTACCAAAGGTTAAAGAGCGAAAAGTCACGACACCAAGTGCAAATGCTTTTTCACCTGAGAATGAAAGTAGCGTTTACGCATTCGAAAGTGACACGGAAACACCAATCAGCACGCCATTTCGACGAAAAAGCAAACCACCATCGCCATCGAACAAACTTCAAGATTCCAATAAAGATTGTACTGAAAAGAATGATGTTCAATCTCCCGAAATTGATAATAAAGTTGCCGAGAAAAAAGAAGAGTTAAATTCCACAAAAATCAATACAAACGATTTAAAAGGTTTTCCAAATTTAGCCAACATACAAGTCCTTTCACTTGATAAATTAACGACAAATTGGAGTAATGTCAATTGTAGTGCATCCATTGCCGTACAGGTAAATCTTGACGATCAAAATCAAAAGACTCAAAATCCAGATGACGATAATAGTCAACAAAAAAGTACCGAGATATCAACACAAACTGAAGGATCAAATGACAATGATGACGATAATGATGGACAACTATTTTACATTCCATTGCAAGCGGTCACAAGAAATGGATCAAATTTGGTGCAAGGTCAACAATTAATACAAGGAGTTGCTGTTAAATTGGGAACCGAGGGTCCAACAGGACCTAATCAACGTGTTTTATTGAAGGCGAAACTCGTGACAAAACCAACATTAACCGTGGCACGTGTTCCTCCAGTTGGAACAGTTCAACCAACAGCACGAGCGCCGCCAATTGCCTCTACTTCCAGCGCTGAAAATCCAATCGCATCGACTTCGTCATTAATTTCAAATTCACAAATTCTTCCAATTAATAAGGATTCTCAAAGTACAAGCACTACCATCGGAACGGAGAAAATTGCCAAAATCACAAAAGTACCGCGTGAGCGAAAAATGTCAGTTGAATCTGCTAAACTTGGAAAAAGGTAAAATAATCTTGAATAATAAAATAAAGATAGTTTTAAATTTGGCTAAAATTTTTTTATAATTGTAATTCGTAAAAAATTTTAATTTCAGATTCCAAGGCAAGTCAAAGCAGAAAATTGTTGAAGTTTGCACGCCAATAAATACGACAACATTTCCAGGGACAAAAGATCCAAATGAAGAGGCACGCCTCGTGGAAGCACCGACATTTCATCCATCGGAGAAAGATTTTCAGGATCCTCTCGAGTATATCGATAAAATACGTCCGATTGCTGAGAAATTTGGCATATGTCGCGTAATTCCACCTCCAAATTTTAAACCTGAATGTAAAGTATCGGACGATATGCGATTTACTGCCTATAATCAATATGTACATCGAATGCTTCATCGTTGGGGACCCAATGTCAAAGAAATGATGGCAATTCGCAAATATTTGGCAACACAAAGTATAACATTGAATCATCCGCCCTGGATCGGTGGAATGGAAGTTGATCTTCCTCATTTATACCAAACAGTTCAAAGTCTTGGTGGCTTGAAGGAAGTTATTGAAAAGAAAAAATGGCAAAAAGTTGCCGACGGAATGAAAATACCACGATCTGCTCAGGACCGCGTTACCAAATTGGATGATATTTACTGCAAATATTTATTGCCATACGATACACTTTCGCAGGGCGAAAGGGACAAATTATTTGAGGAGGTAGAATTAGAATGGGCAAATAGAGAAGCCAAAGCAATGTTGAGATTGGAGTCACAGTCAAATGATAATGATGATGAGGAGGATGATGATAGCTCGGAGGAAATTGAGGAATGTATCGTTAAAGGACGAAATATGCCGCTTAATGCATTTTATCGAATTGCGAGGAATACACAGAGAATGTGGTTCGCTGATAATCAACGATCGTTGAATGAAATTGAAGGAGCCTCAGCGTCTGAGGTTGAAGCTGCATTTTGGAAACATGTCACTGAGAGAAAACGTCATGTTTGTGTTCACGCGGCCAGTATTGATTCCAGTGGTCGTGGATTTGGATTTTCCGTCGCCAAGAACAGTCCCTTTGCACGACATCCTTGGAATTTAAAAGTTCTCACCAATAATGCTGGATCTGTGCTCAGAGCATTGGGACCATTAATGGGTAAATTTCGAAAGACTTATTAATATTTTTTCATTCTTTTTTTTTTGTGAGCAAAATATGAATTTGATTATTTTTGTAGGTGTGACAGTGCCGACACTACATGTGGGAATGTTGTTCAGCGCTTGTTGTTGGTATCGTGATCCCCATGGACTGCCTTGGATAGAATATTTGCATACTGGTGGGAAAAAAATTTGGTACGGCATTCCCGATGAGCATAATAATAATTTTAGAAATGCACTTGCAAAAATGGTGCCACGATATTGCAAAAACAAAACTATTTGGCTACCATCTGATACTGCCATGGTACCACCAGAATTGCTCGTGAAAAATGGAGTTCCATTGTGTCAAACTGTTCAGGAACCTGGACAATTTATTGTTGTATTTCCAAAAGCATTTACTTCTAGCATTTGCACCGGATATGTTGTCTCAGAAAGTGTTTATTTTGCTCAATCACCTTGGCTTGAAGCCGCAGAACAAGTTTTCAAGGTTCGCATTTCTTACAATCAAATAATAATATATAATTTTTGAATAATTTATCTTTTTATTTTTGTTTTTCTCAGGATATACAAGATAGTTGCGAACCATCTATATTTTCTTTGGAGAAATTACTCTTCAGTATTATTAATGATTCGAGGTCACATATTGAAGTTTTGAAACAGGTAAAATCTCATTTTGTTTCTTTAAAAATGAGTATGTTTTTTTTACTATCAGAATAATATATGGGAATTAATAAAAATTATTTTTTTTTAGATATTGCCAACAGTAAAAAGAGTTTGCGAGAGAGAAATTGATTTTCGTAGGCAATTGAAAGGATTGGGTTTGACTAATACGGAAAAACTACCAACGCCTGAAAGTTGCAAAAGAGGAAAAAGCAAGAAAGTGAAAGAAGAGGACGGTGATTTTGAATGTGAAACTTGTCGATCTAATTTATTTGTCTCATTAGTTAATAATTCTCAAGATGATAGTATGTATTGTCTTCCACACGCGATTCAACTTTTAACTAGGAAAAAACAGATAATGAAAAATTGTGTTCTTATGATTACATATAGTGAGGTAAATATTCCAATTGATTTTAATTAATATTAAAATTAATTGTACGTAAATAATAATTTAATTTTTTTTGTGCAGGATGAACTGGATGATTTAATTCACAAACTAGAAGACAGAATTGAAGCAAAATCCAAGAAAAATTACTCATTTAAGCAAAATAAGTAGAAATTTCTTTTTAGACATTAATTTTCAGATTGCAATTTCTATTTGCCTTCTATTAAATATGAAATTGTCGAAAGTTTTCAAGTTGAAATTTTTCCATAGACTGATTGAAATTGACTGGGAAATTATGTATATGGATATATTAATTTCATAGTCTATACAAAACTTAGAATTAGTTTTTAATTGGTGCCAAATGATTGAAATGAGATTATAATCGTAATCAATATATGATTATACTTTTTCTAGTATATACTTTGTTGTATATTTTAGAAAATATTAACTGATAGAAATTTAAAGAAAAGAAGTATTCATAGTAAAGAAAATAGCGAAAGTATTAATGCATTCGAAACTTATTGGTTTCGAATGATGTATCGTAGTGTGCCTGCAATATATATATATTATATATATATTTTTTTTGTCAAAGTAGAGAATTTATGTAAGATTTTCCATGTAACTTCTCAGTATCGAGTCACTGCCGTGTTTTTTTTTTTCGTGTGCTTTACCAAAGGACAGCCTTGACTTTTTTTAAGGCTGCAATAACAAAATAGTAAATTGTATAAATAGTATAAATAGTAAATTGTATCGAAATTGTAAGAACCTTTTTTTCCTCTTGAAATATATGGCCTTAAATGTTTTACAATGCATTAATTTAATTAATATTTTAATAGAAATTTACTCTTTAAATATAAATGAAATCTAATTACGAATAATGTAGGTGTATGAAATAAAAAGAAAAGAACATTATAAGTGACAAAAATGTATTGAAACTTTCAGTTCATAAAAATATGAGGTAGTATTATTAAGAATTAGAAAAAACATTCATTCATATAAATCAATTACTCAAAATATTTCCATTCATTCTCAAAAAAAAAAAAAAAAAATTATTTAAAACTTTGTAAAGTGTGAAAAATTAATATTATTTTTTTTTTTTATAATAAAGAAAAAGACTTTTTTTCAGTCTTGCAATGTATTTATAACAAACGTACGTATTTAATTGTGTTAAATTGTATAATTGTATTCAATTATTTTTCTTTCTTATTTTCGAAACATAATTTAAATATTCTACAAATTTGTAAAATATCTTTAAATATTTACAATATTAACATCTAGTGAATTTATATTCGTTAAAATTTATATCAAATTTTTTTTTACACAAATCTATAATTTTATAAACATACAAAATAACAATTTTATTATTAATTTTAATCAAACTAATTGAATTTAAATTAAATTAATTACGTTTTTTTCCGGATTCAAGAAATTTAAATCTAAATTGTAAAATAAACAATATACAATAATGACTGTTAATAAAATATAAATATATATACAATAGAAAAAAATTAACATAAAAAATTGGTAAACTTGGAAAGTAATATGCAATAATATATTATGCAAGATTTATGGTAATATTGAATTATATCAATAATAAAAAACATCAATGAAATAAAATAAAAATTTGAACTTAATGAATCTTAAATTCATTGCACATTACGATTTAAATCATCCATGGCGCATTGACTTTGACTAGCAAACCCTTTGGATAACGTGCAATGAGTTATAAGAATAGTTTCAAGTCTTATTATGACTGCAATATTGACTTCTTGATGGCAACAGTTTTTTTTTAACTTACAATGTAAAAAGTGAAGTTGAAATATTATCATAATTAATGGAATGTTTCATAAAACATCAATTTCATATTACAAAAATAAAAACAAACAAAATTAAAATCCGAAGAACCAAATTACTAATCCCTATGTTTTAAAACTTTCAAAACAGACTCGGCACCTGAATCCTTTTCTTCTTCTTCATCCTCAGAACTGAAGTTTGAGTTTAATAAATTACTTAATGATGTCGATTTTTGCATTAATAATGGACAATTAATTTGTGTTCCCTCTTCGGAATTTCCGTCAATGTTCATTATAGAATTTGTCTGCAATTCTGCATTATCATTTGTCTCCTTTTTTTTATTTTTCATTTTGTGAATTACATGGAGAATTAATCCACAAAGGCACATGACCAAACCGAAAAAATTAAGACTACTATTTAATCGGTCTCCCACGTATAAAAATGCTATGACAAAAATACTAAATTCCTGGAAAAAAATAATAAATTAAAATTTTTGAATAATAATTTCTTTTAACAATTTTTAAATTTTAAATGAAATTACTTGTAAAGTTTACCTTTAATATTCCAATAATGGAAAGTGTCAGACTAGAAGTGTAAGTGACAACCAAAAATTCAAAAATTTCCATACAAAAGGCAATAATTCCTCCAATCATTACGTATGTTGTCGTTAAATATATCGTATTAAAATCTTTCCAATCTGTCGCGTACAACCCGTTGTAAATTTTTACATCTAAATTTTCATAACATATTATTATTATATTAAAGAAAAATAAATGGATTTTTTAAATATAAAATATTAATTTACCCTCTATTACACAAGTTACAAATATAGTGGATATTAATATCCAAGGTTGCATATAGTACATCATATCTATTGGATTTTTGAATCCAAGTTTCGTTTTTTGCATTACTAATTGAGCCAATGTCCATCGTATTCCCGAAGAAAAAGATGCAATAAGACAAAATGTAAATCCCAGTAAATGAAAACTTGTTGATTCATATGTAAACATTATTAATCCGCCTGAGATCATTAATACTATAAAAAACATTGATGCTGACTGAAATGTAAATTTTATTTATTAATAATTATAAGAACTTATTTCTTGAGTTATTAATTTATTATTCTTTTATTCAATAAAATACCTTTTTTTCAAGCTTGAAAAGAACGGCGAAAAAGAGAATGAAAATTATTGACGTTGATTTTGTCATTGTGTATAAAGGTACAGAAATAAATTCAAGTGATTTGTTAGAAAGTCCAACATCAATTCCAGTAGCAAATCCTGGAATAGCAAGTGCCCAGATAACAGTTTTCCATGGCAATCTTATTGGCTGGCGTTCTTTGTAAAATGTTCTTCCACAATTTATAAATGCACATAATACGTATTTTAATAATGAGTGAATTACCACAGTCGAAAGAGGATAATTGAAATCCTGAAACAATTTTAATTTTAAATTTAATTTAATTTAAATTATAGTTTAACTATACGATAAACATATAAAAATTTTCACTTACGTAAGTTTTGAAAAGCCATTTTTGATAGAACGTTAGTCCCATAGACAGAACAAAATAGGGGCATATTATTATAATCAATAAAAATTGATTTTGTGGAAAAATTAACTGTTTTTTCGACGAAGTTTGAAGATTTTTGTCATTTTGCAAAAAGTATTCGATATTCTCGACGTCATCTCTTGCAATCTCATATTTAACATTGAATCTTGGCATATTTCATTCATTTGTATCAAATACTGAAAAAATTACAAAGTCAAAGAAATAATTCCTTAAATATGTAAAATTATACAGTACAAAAGGCTTAAAAGCGATCAATAACAAGAAAGATATGAAAAACTCGCAAGCATATGTTCAACTTGATATCACAAAAATTTTACTGATACGAAATTAAAAAAATAATCTTTTATTTATAAAAATGGAGTACAATCCAGTAAAATCAAATTTATCTTTGTAATGTATTTAAATTAAAGTGAAAACGATTAAATTAATTCACTTTCTTTTTCATGTTGATGATTAATATATTGAAATTTATAATAATTTTTTTTAATATATACGGATACACTTACTGAATGCAAATTTTTCGCTCATTTGAAATCTTCAAAAACGTGTTAATTTAAAACGAAGAAGGAAAACGAAAATTTATTATACATTGTGTGTTGGAGAAGATTAAAAAGATAATCTAAACATGCCACCTGTTTGACTAAATGTCATCTTGACATTCTGCACAAGTCTAGACTAAAAATTTACTTATTTAAACATTTTTTAAATTGATTAATGATCCTTTGATAATTTGTTTTTTGAACTTAAACATTTGTTATATAGATTTTAGTAATTAAAACTATTATTATGAAAATATATAAAATATCAAAATAGTATAAACACCATATGTAAACATAACCTTCAAATTAAAGGTTTTACAAATTTTATTATACAAAAATAATAATGTTTATTATATGAAAGTAATTTACATTTTTACACTAACCATTTAAAGATTTTAAGAAGTAAAAATCCATAGTTGTAAAGAAAAAATGGATAAAGTTTAACCAGTTTAATTTTGGGATTGTTTTTTTGACACACACACACACATTCGTATACACATCTATACATACATGTCACTTAAAAAATATTTAGTTTTAATGGAATATTTAGTTTTGAATGTGTAACGGTCGGAACTTTTCATTTTTATAACTTTCCACTCAGATAATTATAAATAGTATAATTATTTTCGGTTGCAATATGAACAATAGTTTATTAAAAAAAAGGATTTTTAGAAGTTTTTTTTTTTTAAAAAAAAGCGCAGTAGTAAGGAACCAATGAGAATACAGATCTTGGCGCATGTGCATGTGGAGAATAAAGGACTAAGGTTATGTTTATGTTTAAAAATTAAAAAAACAATTAAAATTAGTTTCTTCTCTGGTTACTACGTATTTTGACAAATCTTACAGCGATTATTTTAATTTTTTTGCCAAATTTGATATTTATTGAATACAATGGAAGACGTAAGTTAATTCTAAGAAATATTTATTGCTATACAACAATGAATTATTGTATATAAATCTTGAAAATTTGTAAACCTAACCTAAAAATATATAAATTAACAATGTTATTTATATAATTTATTAATATAAATGATGCGATTGTAGATGAAAGTTTTATATTATTTAAAATTGTGAATGAAAATATTTTGTTTAATACAAATAGTTATCTATATTTTTTTTGTAAGTAAATCTAAAATTTTTTTTTGTTCACTTTTTTTTTCATTTTTTCGAATTAATAAATAATATTTTGTTATTCTAGGAAATTAGAGAAAAAATTGATCAAGCATGCAGAACAGGAGAAGAATTTACAAAAGTTTATTATGAAAGTTTAGATAAACGAAGACACGTAAATATTTTTTATTTCATTGCATTTCGATTATATATAAATTTAAAATAAAATAACGATTAAAGGAAGAAATAATATCTATAATTAATCTAATTAATTTTATAGCTCATTTCAAAACTTTACCTGGATACAGCTACTATGATATGGAATGGAAATGGTGTCGATGGAAAAGATGCAATTCAAAAATTTTGGATTGAATTACCATCTTCGGATCACAATATTATCACTCTTGATGCTCAGCCAATTACTGGTAAATAAGAATATTTTTGTAATTTAAAAATATTTTTTTTCTGTCTTATTAAGACAATGTTTTATTTTTAGGACCTGCCGTTGCGAATCAATTGACATTTTTGTTAAAAGTTAGTGGAATGGCTAAATATCAAGACAAATCACCGAGACCATTTAATCAAAACTTTTTAATAACAGCAATAGGAGATAAGTGGAAAATTGTTAGCGATTGTTTCAGAATGCAAGAAGTTATTGATAATTAAATTAAATTCAATCTTTGTGTTACAGATTAAAACTATAGATTTTAAGATTATGCGAATTAATAAAAAAGAATATGTATTTTATTTACAAATAATTTTGAAAATAATAAATCATTATTTCCTCAATTATTGTTTTTTTTTACATTTTGTTATATTATTATTTATGTTTATTTAATTAATTCAGAAAGTTATTCAATATAGATAAGGAAATTAATTAAATAAAAAAATAAAATTTTAAAATTTTAATCTGGTTGCGCATGCGCATAAGGTTAATTTTAGTTTGTGTACATTTTTCATTGCTGTCAATTTCTGCAAGCATCTTGTTTGCTTTTTTGTTGGTTAATATTGTGTTTTTATTGTTTCAAAGTGAATTTTTAAAAACAATATTAGTGTTAGTGCAACAAGTGGAATAAATTTCCGTTAAAGGAAACAGAAAAAGAAAAAAATGGAACATCTTCAAACTGCATTAACAACAGTTAAAGTTCTTCGTTCAAGTGTCGGTCAAGTTTTTGAATCTCTTGCAAATGGTTTACGAGCTGATCATGGAGAAGAAAATAAAGAAACAAAATATCTTTACGAACTTCAAGAACTAGTAAATACAGTGGGACTTAGTTTAAGGTAATTAAGAAGTTTTATAAATTGTCAAGTTAACCTAACCTCAAATTATATTTAAAGCGCAGCAATGCACTAAGATTATAAAGCTATATAAATAAAAATATGTTTTAATTATACAAATAAGATAATTTCTAAACTTATGTGAAATTGTAATTTTTCAGGGATGTAGAACAGGCTATCAATAGTTTAAATCCACCACCAGGTCCATTTAATTTGGCAAGTACATCTTTTCTTGGACAGGAAACAACTCAAGAGAGACAAGCTCTTTACAGCTCGTTAATTAATAGTTACAAATGGACGGATAAAGTTCATGAATACAGTAATATTGCTCAGTCGTTATTGAGTCAAAATAATTTAAAACGTTCCTATACAAATGCCAGCCGAGGAAAAAGAGGTAGAATTCAGACGAGCACACATAATTTATCTCCTCAGTAAGTAGCATTATTTTCATTGTAATTATATTAAGCAATTTAATTATTTTTTAAATATATTTTTTGTAATTTTACAGACAAGTTGATTCAGTTATAACACAATTTGATCGACTTTTTCCTGACATGACTTTTTCTATTTCTCGTCCGTTTGCTGCATCAAATGCAATTCTACATATAACGTTGGGACATATTTTAAAAGCAGTTGTTGCATTTAAAGGAATAATGGTTGAATGGGTTGTTATCAAGGGCTACAATGAATCCATGGATCTTTGGACGGAATCACGTTACAAAGTTTTTCGAAAAGTCACTGAAAATGCTCACGCTGCGATGTTACATTTTTACTCGCCAGCTCTTCCTGAATTAGCTTTACGTTCTTTTATGGTAATTAAAATGCAAATAATTAATAAGTGACAAATAATTAAAAAAAGAAAAATGTTATTGTTTTTAATTTTTTTCTTTCAGACGTGGCTTCATAGTATGATCTCATTATTCAATGTACCATGTAAACGATGTGGTTTACATTTACATGGAGCTTTGCCTCCAACTTGGAGGGATTTTCGTACTTTGGAACCATTTCATCAAGAATGCAAACCCTAGTAATAAATGCATTTTATAACAATTAATTATAATTGTAAATAATAGTAAAAAGAAGCTCATTATGATCTTTAAAAACAGGTAAATTTATATTTTTCATTTATCACACGTATTTTTATCTTGTAAGTCTACTGGGATTTTTTTTTTTAATTTGAAATAAATTAATACCTAATTATAGAAGAAACAAGACTTAAAAACAGAAAAATGTGATAATTTTTTTTTTTTAATAATAAACAATTTAATTCACAATAACGAAATGAAAAATAAAAGAATTAAAGGAAGAAACAATTTTTAAATTTAATTTCTATATTTAATTATTCCATACCTCGATGATCATTAAAATTGCGAGCATATAAGTATTATATATCAAATACACAAAATATCTTTTCATAGAAGATAGTATCGTATTATCGATATTTTTCAGCTTGACAATTTCAAAAGATCATTTAAATACATTGATATACGATATTATTGATTAATGTTTTTTTTTCTTTAGTAAAAATGTACAATATTCTCAACAAGTCAAAACGTTAACACCAATTTACTCTCTTACATTATTTTCGAAAAAAAGTTTCCAGATGATTTTTTTTTTGTTCACGGAACTTATTGAATAAATTTCTGCACACTAATTGGTCGTCTACATCGGGAGACTTTGTTAAATAATGTAAGAGTAAAAAATGATGTTGTAACATAGTATATTTTGCATCAGAAAATATATAGATGTCAAAATTAGCACCTTTTTTTCTTCTTTAATAAACGATTCCATTTTGACACCAATTACCTTCAAAAAGGGGGTGCGTGTGTGAACTTCCATAAATCAGTTACATAGCAATTATTTCACTTTTATCTTTTTCGATTTTTTTTTTGTCAGAAGTATTTTCAAAAGTCTTACATGGATTTATTGACCCAAAAGTTGAAATCTATTTAAAATCACAAAATTTTAATTACAATTTTTTATTCTAAAGAAATCATTTTTCTAAATTAAATCAAATAAGAAGATTTTGCTAAAGTTATATTTAAAATTTGAAAATTGTTAAATGCAATTTTAAATTGAAATGAGCCGTAAAATTTGAATTTTATAATTGCAATCTTGCTTTTTCTGAATATATGTATATATAAAATTTTGCAAATATTTACACGTAAAACAGAGATTCATAATTACAACTACATATGATAGCAGATTTTTAGATAAGATTGAATTCACAAATATTTTCATAATATATAACATTGAATAAATATGTGTTGGCTCTTATAATAAGAAAAAGTATTACTTTCAATTATATTTTCACTAAAAAATGATTAAGTATTGTGGCAACATTATATCATCTAAATATTATAAAAACAATTAATTAATAATATTATAATTGATTTAATTCAAAATGGAAAATCGTATTTTTTTTTCTCTAAACCGGAGATTATATAAGGAAATGATTATTGCCTAATTATGTTAAACAGAGTTGTGAAAAATATAATTATTATATTTTTTACAATAAAAGAAAACATTACAGAGACGAAGCCAATATTCCACGCACGTTGTAAATAAAATAAACCCATTTGTTAGCGTTTAATCACATGAATTTGTTTTGATAAAAATTGTAAACATTTCTTTCTTTTTTTTCAATTAATTCTAAATATATATATATAATATCAAGTGATGATTGAATTCAGCCTTCAGGTAAAATGAGTCGATTTAAAACTATAACAGGAAAACAACTACTTGATGAATATTATTTTAACTAAAAGTAACAATTCGATTATTTTTTCAATTAAGAAAAAAAAAATATATAATACACGACATTTTGGCACATAACCCCCGGAATAATTGTTTTTACTTTCTTTTTTCATATGGAATTGCATATAATGATAAATAAAAAAATTCATCATCCCAATTTTTCCATTATAAATAACAGTTGAATATATAAATTTTCATTTTTTTTTTTGTTGAAAATTTATTAATTCGACAACAAAATACTACTGATAAAATGGTAATATAAAAAAATCTATATACTTTCTTTTTTTTTTTTTGAACACAATTATTCAGTTGTGTGCTACATTTAAAAAATCAACAACTGAAATACCGCAGTAATTATATTTTAAATGCGGATTAAAAAAACAAGGAAGTAAAAAATCACAATATAAATTATGCTTTGTTTTTTTTTTTAAAAAAAAAGAAAGGAACTAACGAGCGAGAGAGAAAGAGAGAGTCAATTTTAAATAAAACATTTGCAAACTTATCAACAAAAATTGAATAAATTTTTAATTATACGTTTTTTTCAAGAATTGTAAAATCAACTCGTATATATATTTATAACATTCTCACAAAGAATTTATAGTGATAGATTTCGTATGGCGCGCTATGGTTAATTATATTGACATAATGTTTCATAATTTCTCTCTATTATGCCTTTCACTGTAAAATGTACTAAGAAAAAAAAAAAGGTTTAACAAAAAAAACTGCCTGTCAATTCTGTTCATTTTTTGTTTGGACAGTGCTTATTGTTATAAATTTGTTGATTTAAACAACTAGACAGTCTGACCATGTAAAACCCCATTTTTTGTTTTTGAATGATGTATTTTTTTTTAACGACCAACGCCAAATTCCTTGGCATCGTCTTCAGTGATGTCACCATATTCCCAAATATTCAAGCGACTTTTCTTCGCTTCGTCCTCTGCTGCTTTATAGTCTTCCATCTGAGAGAAAATAAAATAAATGTAAAACTTTTTTTTTTTAATTTTCTAAAATATTTTACTATTTTTTTTTTTTTGAAAAAGCGTACCAATTTTTTGAGTCTTCTGTCTCGACTCTTTTCGACAATTAAAAAGCCATAGGCGATTAGTCCTTTACCGACGTCTTCATTGCTTGTCGAGTCGACCAATGTTGCTGCTGGTAGATTATTTACTTTGAATTCAACATTCAAGAGTAAAGTTTCTCCCGTCACGACGTCTTCTCGGAAAGCGTCAATCGCCATTTTCTTGTAGTCATTCTGAATATAAAATTAATAATTAAAATCTTCAACTATTATGTTAGATAAAAATTAAAAAATTCAGATTAAATTTAAAGAAAAAAAATTACAACTTACATCTTGCGGTAGTTTTACGCAAGCAAGCATATATTCAGAGGCAAAAGGCCGATCGCTCGAAAATCCAGGTGGTAATGCGGCAACTCTTGTCACATTCAATGTCTCTCGATTTCCATAATCAATGTAGAATACATTGACATTGGGACCGGAAACTTTTTCAATTTTCACACGATACCATTGATCGTCTTCAGTGAATTTAGCAGCGGCCATGTCCCCACGTCGTGGATTATAAGCGCCCGGAAGTGGTGGATTTTCCGTTAATTCGTGTCGTAATCGCGCTATTAATCCCTCGTATAAATTACGTTGATCGACATTTTGCGCATAAAAATGAAGATCCTCGGTAATTTCCGAAACAACAACCTCGTGATAATTGATCTTTCTCTCTACAACTTTATTTTCCTCTTCGACTTTTTCAGTTTCCACCTCGATTTTAACATAGTCTTTCCAAATCTAAAACAAGTTTAATAAAATTTGATTTTCATTTTATTTTTATGTAATTAAAAAAAAAAAATCTAAAACTCACGTTTAGTTTCTTAGCCTTGGCTCTCTCTTCCGCGGCCTTGAGAATCTTGAAATGTTCTCCCTGCTCCATGAAAGTTGAAACAGTGGCGAGACCCTCTTCTACGAGAGCAACGGATAAATTAACACCGTCAACAAATAACCAGCCAATAAAACCACTTCCCTTTGATTCCATATTCTCGACTTGAATGTCAACATCTTTTTGTAAACAATGTTCCCTTGTGAATTTGAGAGCTTCCTCACCAAATGGTTCACCTTCACCGCTTCCCGAACCGGGTATAATACGTGGAGCACGTGGAGCTTTTACGCCTGCTAATAAAAATGTAATCAAACAATATTCCTTGGGTACAAAAAGTTTCAAGCGCGATCCACTTGTGACAAATTCAACCACGGCTTTTATTTCACGAGCTCGTTTCAATGATTGTAAATGAGATTTAGCAGCTGCAGGATCAGTCGAGACATCGCGTATTCTCTGCATTGGAACATCTTTTTTTGCATGAAGACCGTACTGTGATTTTTCGGCTTTACTCTCGGCGGCCAACAATTCGCTGTAGTGAATCGAACGTTGATCATCATTTTGACGATATTTAACAACTGTCGCAAGTCCCTTTGATACCATCATTTCAGCAATGTTTCTGCAAAAATTAATTTCAAATTACAATTAAAATTATACAATTTAAGAAAAAAGAAATATTTCAATTTTCTAGAAACTTACACTTTTCCAATAGTCACCGTGCAACAAGTTTTCTCTGGGAAATTATCCTTCGCTGGTTGAATATAATCAACAGACACCTTCACCAATTTGCCAACGAGTTTTTTTCGTAGAAATTCACGAGCCTCAAACATCCATGGTACATCATAGAGTGGTCGGAAATCTTTTGGTTTTGTGACAGTTCCATCTTCATTTTGAAATTTCTTGTCACGTGGTGGTGGCCTAATACTGCTGAGAAAGACTTTTTTCACATCGCCCGATTGTAATTTCACAAGAACTGCATCAGCATTGGCAATTTCTGTGACAATACCACTAAATTCCATAAGCTCAGTACTTACACTTGGTGGCTTATAATTTTTCCATCTACGTAATTGTTTATCCTTGGCCGCTTTCTCTGCGCTTTGATATTGTTTCAAAACATCGGCTTTCATTTGATTATTCATTGACCAACTTACACATTCAGCGTAACCAAAACTCAAAAGAAATTCAGCAATATCACCTTTTGGATGAATAATTCTACCAACAAAATTATTATTATTAGCCGAATAGAGTATTATGTCAACTTGTCTTTGTAAAAGTTTTGACTCAGTGACATATTGAGCTTCTTTAGCCAATGATTTTTCTTCACTTTCAGCCTCAAGTTTTGGGCAACGAATTCCCGCCATTTCCAATGTGACATAATAAAAGTCGGGCAAAAGAAAAGCCCTGACTGTTGAACCATCGCGAACATGTTCAATGACAGCTTTCACACGTTTTCCACCTAAACGTTCGACCAAAGCTCGTGGATTCTCGACAGTCCATTTGATGTCACGCATATGGGCTTGCGATGAAGGATTCGGCCATTTTCCTTTACCTGCCGATTTTGCGGAATTTTCCAAATCTTGTAATCGTTGCAATTCTGGGGTGACATTGCGAGTATCTGATTTCACGTTCACAAGCCCTTCGGAAACGAGTTGTTCCGCTACACTTGGTCCACTAGTATCTATTAAACAATAAAAATTAAAATTAGTCAAAAAAAAATTAAATTTTGTAAAAACAATATTATTTTACCTCTTCCCAACCAAACATTTCCGTATGTTCTATTATTTATAGTCTTTTCTTCCACAAAAGTCACGACCTCTCCAATAAGTTTATTGCGAAGAAATTCTCTCGCTTCCCAAGCATACGGTTCATCTTTCGTTTCTTCAGAACTGAAAAATAATTTTCACATATTGTAAATATTTTTCAATTTAATTCAATAACATTCATTAAAGGTCACTTACTTTCCAATAGCTCTGCGGGCTAATTTCGGAGCAATAATATTCGAAAGACATATTGTTTTCTCAGGTGGTGGTCCATCCTTTGGTTGATCTCTAATCGTAATTGTATCACCAGAAACAATCTATAATTTTCAAAAAATAAAAAATTTAGAAACTATTTCTGTTTTGTTTTTTTTTTTAAATAAATAAAATGAATAATCGAACAGTACATAAAGTTTTGCTCTATAAATAGATTTTTCAAATAGGAAACAATTTCTATACACAAATGGAGTATTTGTTCTATTTTATTTTCTCTCTTTCTCTCTCTCATAACCCGCAAACTTTTTTAAAGGACAAATATCAATAAAAAAATAAAACACGATGGAAACTGGCAATACAAACTCATTACAAAGAATGTGTAATAATAAAATACTCCAGAAACCATATCCTATAAACATCAAACATATCATTTAGAGAAGAAATACTTTTACCATATGTGCGATTCAAACTGTTGGAAAATTCATTTCTTTTCTATTTTTCAATAATGATAAATTACAAATTAAAAGTATAAATTGTAATTTGATTTGTTATTAAAAATAAATTCCAAAGGATTTCAATTTCTTTGATGATTTCTGTTAAATTCTAAACACGTACTCACCTGCTTCACGGTCCCAATTTTACGGGAGACTACCTGCGGTGTGCTCATGGTGCGTCGAGAAAATTGATATCAGCCGAAAATTGTGAAAATTCAGAAAGATATCAGTCACAAGACCGATTTAATTCAAATTTGTACGTCTTTGTTGTACGTTTAACAGTAAAAATCCTTATTGAAAAACTTAATAATATGACAACATGTTGAAAGAAAATGAAATTATCGATGCACTCAAGATCGCCGTGTATTTCCAAGTCAGAGTATGTAACTATTTTTTAAGCTGAAGCGCGATCTACGTTGTGTAGAACATTGCTTAAATGTTCATTTAAACGATGGTGATGTGGCAACACGCGACACTCTGTCACGCGATGACAGCGCTCCCTATATATTGTTGTTTCTGTGGATAATAATAAAAAAAAATTATAATAAATTTGCAAAAATTACAAAAAAAAAAAAAAAAATGTAAAAAACCAATTAACCTTCAAAATTTGTAAAACATTTGACATTATAATAAATGAAAAACAATTTTCATTTTTAAAATTTAACTACCGATATAGTTGACTCCTTTATCGTCTACTAAATTTTTACTAGAATCTATTTTAATTGATTAAACCTTTAATTTTTTTAATAATAAATAGGTCAATCCAATAATCAAATGTAAAATAGGATCCTTTTTTGAAAGTTTAATAAACAAACAAAATAATTATAATATTGTCAAAAAAAAAGTTATGGAAGATGGCGCTGGGTGTTAAATACCTCAAGTGAAGTTGCATCGGCTTCGTTTTCACTTGGTTTAAATTGAGCGATGTTAAGTTGGCATAACAACCACACTTAATCAATATTTTTTGTCACTTTAATCAGCTATGATTATCAATATATTTTTTTATTGTATTCGTTTGGTATTAGTATGGTAGTGTTTGACTACCATATGAATATCAAATTTACAATAAAAAGTATTGTTAGTGTGGTTGCTGTGTCAACTTCACACCGCTGATTTAGTATGGTTGCTGTACTAACTTCACACCGCTATGATCAGCTGTCAAAACAACATTTTCTAACCTCTATAAACAAATTGTTATATTAAAACAATGTTGAATGTAAACGAATAATTTAAAAATAAATTTCTCCACTGATGGTAAAGTTCATAATATAGAAAAATTTAGATTCATGTTTATTTAACAAAATAAGCTGTAAATTAAAAATGTTTTTTTTTAATTAAAAATTTAAAATGTTTTTTTTTAATTAAAAATTTAAAAATAGATATTATGAATCCGAGAAAAATAATTTCGAACACAATGTCAAAGGAGTCTGAAATAAAGGACAGTGATGGAAGGGCACTTATTAAATTAGCAGATAGACCGACTTTTATTTTAAAAACAAGAGAAGGTGAAAGCAGAGCTGTTTCACCAAGTCAACGAAATGGAAATAAGTAATTTATTAATTTTCTACTGTTTAATTACTATATATTCGTTTGTTCAAAATTTATCTTGCATTATTTATTTGTCTTTTAGAAAAGAATCGGAGAGTCATGCCAGTTCCACACATAAAACACCAGAACGTAAGTTATTAAGAAAGAAAAATGTTTTTCTAATTTTATTTAAAATTTTCTATTTTTCAGCACGATCTATAATATCCATGTGTGTTGAGATGACAAATTGTATAAAACTTGTTGACGAAAATATGCAACTTTGTGAAGGACCTTTAGATTTTTTATATGATCAACAAGATTTTCTCGTAGTTGGATGTTTGGGAACTCAAGGAGTTGGCAAATCAACAATTATGTCACTTCTTACAGCGAATGATATGTAAGAATTATTTTACTATTCTCATAAGATGATTTTTTTTTTTTAATCAAATTAATAAAAATTGTTTCAGATCTGATATTTATCCAGTTCAAAATATTTCTCATCAAGAAAGTGGTTCAAATTGTACAAGTGGAATAGATTTTTATGTTACAAAAAATAGAGTTATTTACTTGGATACTCAACCAATATTATCGAGTTCAATTGTTGATTATACAACATTATTTGATCAGAAAAAAGGCACAAGTGATTTTGTTAATCCAGAGACAAATTTAGAATTACAATCATTACAATTTGCAGCATTTTTATTTTCCGTTTGTCACGTTATTATTTTTGTACAAGATTGGATTGTGGATCCAAATTTAATGAGGTTTAATTACTAAATTTTTTCTCAAGAAATTTTAATTTAAAATTTCTTTTCTTTTTTTCTTTAAATTAATTCTTACCAATTTTTAGATTTTTGCAAACTGCTGAAATGTTGAAACCTGCTTCGACAACAAATATGGATCAAGATTATGTGGAATATTATCCTCATATTATATTTTTACACAATAAAGCCGAATTACAGGATTTTATTCCAAGTACTTTAGAAATGATGAAGGTATAATTTTACTTTTTTTTTTCTTAAAATTGCTTTCTTCTGAGCCTTTAATATTTGAATAGTTTTTTTTCCGTTATATAGAAATTTTACAACAAAGTATTTGTCAATTCGAGACTACAAACTCACAGTGGTTTAGATATGAGTTCATCTTCAAAGGAGGGACAATTAAATCTTTTTTTAATTCCATCCATAGGAGTAGAGAGTAAGGAATTATTTTCCATTTAATTTAAAGATAAATTTGTTTTATTTATTAAATGATTTGAAAATTTGTTATATAGCTGAGACGACTTTTCACGAAAATGAGAAACAATTAATAGAAAAATTACGAATGAAGATACACGGAGTTACGAGAAATGCAATGACACCTTCGACATTAACGGAAAAAAATTGGTATTTATGAAAATTCTTTTTTAAAGAAGAAGTTTCTTTTAAAAATTAGATTTTTAAAATAGATGTCTTTTTTTAATTTGTAAATTTTGTTCTCCGTAGGTTTCACTATGTTTCAAAAGTTATCGAAGCTGTAAAAAAGAGTCACTTATCATCTGAATATGGCAGACTAATGCCGTAATTATAATTATTCTAAAAGAAGAATTTGTCGATAAAAGTGAAACACAAAATTTGTATCACATTGTATTTATTTTTTTATTATAAACTTAAATTTGTCATTGTACACTTCGTTTAACTTAAATTCTCCTTATTCTTATAATTATAGATATTATAAACTGCAGTTCATTAATGTCTCACAAAATTGACGGGAGTTTTCAAATTTGTCATTTATTTTTCGGATTCTATTTTTTTTACGAATAATCGTCTTCTTCGGTTTTAATTTGTTGCATTGATGCCATTTGAGCTACAGCTTGCAATTGTTGCCATTGCTGTTGTTCAGCTACTGCTTGTTCTTCTCTTGCTTTTGCAAAAAGTTCCTGTTGTTGACGAAGTAATTCCTCTTCTGGAATACCCAAATTTTCCAGTCTTGTACTTTGTCTTCTTCTTTTTGCGGCAACGGCTTTACAATCACGTAAAACTGCCTCAGCTTCTGCACTATAATCACCAAAACCAAGATTGTGCAATGCTTGTAAAATATGTTCAGCGTTAATTGTTTTTTTCTGGTGTTGATTACAAATTTCATTTGCTTCTGATGATAATAAATGTATAAATTCTGTACAACAATTGAGAATCAATTCACGTGATTCATTTGCCACACGAACGTGGGGAAGGATTTCTTTTATCATTTTATTTATCGCTGCACGAGGAAGAGTCAATTCGTCGTCCTCTGTCGGTGACATTCCTGCCGAGGCCATTTTTCTCGTTTACTGAAAACAAAACAAAAAAATATTAGTATATTAATTTATTTTTCTCAAATTTAATGAAAAATAATAAAAATAAATTATTTATTACTAAAGAACAAAGTTTTCATCTAACTAATATTCTTAATAGTATAAAAATAGTAAAATAAGTTGAATTTTTGAGGTTAGAATCGTATAAAAATTGTATTAAGTTTTTTTTTATATAAAAAAGAAATCACACATACTTCAATATTTAGAAAGTAATAAAAAAAATGTACAAAACAATTTTACCATGCTTATTTAGACAAATAAAAAAGAATTGCTTTTACAATGAAAACAATTTTTGTAAAATGTAATATTGTTTTCATAACTCACTTGAAATTTGTTTCCAAAAAGAAAGAAAATTTCTCTGGCGTTAATTTTCTTATGTAAAGAAAAGGGTTGTTTCGATTCCCTTTTATATATTATAAAAGCGTTGGTGATTTCGTTCTTTTAATTACAAATATATAATTATAATTAAAATATGTTTACTAGATTATATACACACAAATTCTAACGTCACCATTTTTCATATAAGATAAGGCATTCGTGCATATAAACAAACCAGTTTTACTGATTTCTTGAAGCGAAAGGTGTATTATAAATCTAAATTCGACATTGAATCATTAAATAATGACCCAGAATTAATAAGAATTTAGTTGTTATTTATAAAAATACATAATACCATAGAGAACAAAAATGGCAGGCATCTAGATAAAAATATTATCTTTATTTTGTTATCTTTTTAGATTATCTTGATAAATTATCTAAATCAAAATGGCGTATGAGCACATTATTGTTATTGTTTATGTCAACAATAAATTCTTTACAATTAACCTATAAATTTGTTAATAAAATGATTTATTATATCTTTAAAATTATGGAAAAAAATCCATCTTAATTTTTTTTTTTTTATAAATATTTGCTATTAGAAAACCAAAAAGGTATGTTGTTTTTAAATAATAATTAATTTAAAATTTTTATGTTAAGTTATTTGTTTGTAAACCTAATTAAGAATATTTTATTTTAAACACATTCTGAAAGATAACAATAAATTTATTTAATTTATTTCGTCAATATGTGCAAATATATGTGAAAGAAAATATTTATTTTTAATGTCGCAATAGTTTGTGATAAGAAAAATTAAAACTAATACTTCAATAAGCAAAATAAAAAAAATACTAAAAAATGTAGATTTCTATTGAAATTGAAATTTTCAATTCTCATCAATTTATATTAATATGATAAAATGAAGGCGTTCTTGAACTAATCAAGACCTTATCAGATAAGGTGTCAATAAAGATTTAGTTGTACTAACGTTTAAGAAAATGTAAAATGATACCTTTAAAATATTGTGAGTTAATTTTTTATACATTGTTCGTGATTTTTAATGGACATAATGTTAAATGTTATCAAAATAAAAGTATAACAGTTGGCATTGTACGTAATTTAAGTGTAACAGTTTTTCAAGATCGTGAATTTAATAATTCTGATATATTAAAATTTAATATTTCTTGGTTACCACCAGTTAATGACAAAAAGTCACCCACTTCCTACAGGTAAGGAAGAAAATAAATATTTTATTTATATTGCGTTTAGATTTTTTGTTCAAAATAATAATGTATTAAATTTTTTCTTTGTTTTAGTATTTTAATATCGTCTATATTAAATAATGAAGAAACGGAAAACAAAACATCTTGTCCTAAGGAATCTCTTTATTATACAACGAAAAATAAAAATGAATTACAAGTCTCATTACCTAAAAGAACATTTTTAACAGAAATTTCCGAATTTAATATTCATCTCAAATGTACTTATAATATTCAAATTTTCGCTAATCCACGAACACATTCATTACAAACTGCGTCGGTGAGTTTTTTTTTTTTTTTTAATGAAATGTACATTGTTTCTTATGATTTTTTTCATGTTTTTGTAATATTAATAATATTAATTCATTATTATAGAAAATCTTTACCGTACCGGATTGTGTGGGTTTGACATGTAGTTGTCAAAAATTGAAAAAATTATTTCCTGATATTCAAATTCAAACAAAATTCTTATTCAATGGTGATATTTTAATAAAATGGAAATTAAATTCAACTGATTCGAGAATTTCTGCTTATATTATCAGGTAATCTAACAACAATATTATATGTGTTTCAAAATTGTCATAATCTTATGTACTTAATTAAAAATTATAAATGTAAAAAAATCATATTTTTTTTCAGCATAGGTTTGCCAATTTTAGTGTCAAAAAATAATATTCCTGTTTTTAAGAAATCGAAAATATTTCAATTACCAGCAAGTAATTTTTCATTTTTATGGAAAAAAGATGAAAATATTATTTATAATGTTAGTAGTGAAACAATAGTTTTTGTATCTGCAATAGATGAACGTGGTTGTCAAGGAAATGAAGCAAGTACAAAAGTACAATTTTTTGAAGAGGAAAATACAAACGAAAATATAATTGTAGGTATAGAGTTCAGTAATTATATTTGTTTAATTGATTTTGCAGACTGTCGAAAAAATTAATAAGATAATTAAAATTAATAAAATCTTCTAGTTGACACTTCTTGGAATAATATTTTTCATTATTGCTGTTATTGGTATTTTAATATCTCTCTATTTCCGTCGCAGAAAGGGATATAATGCCACTTTTTTCGATAAAGGACTTCCTCGGTAATAGAAAAATAAAATATTTTTAATTATAATAAAATTTAATGCGATTTTTTTAAGGTTTAAAATAAATATATATATTTTTTTATTTAGAAACAGAATTGACCTAATTTTGCAGAATCATAATATTTTATATGTCAATCAAGAAACTGATGTAAGTTTCTTTGGATAATTTATTTTTATTTGAATAATTTTTTCTAATTACTATCAATGATAATTTAAATTTTAGGAAGTGAACAAAAAAAAGAAGATGTTGAGTCACGAGAATTATGAAATTAATTTTAAAAATGTTGAATTAAAAAAAGAATTAGGCAGAGGACAATTTGGAAGAGTATATCTTGCGTATCTTCAAGATAAAAAAATTCAAGTGGCTGTAAAAATGTCAACTTCTGATGTAATTTATGAAGAAGATGCAAAAAAGCAATTATTGGAAGAAATAGAAATTATAAAAGCAGCTGGTTCACATCCCAATCTTGTAAGTCTTGTGGGATATTGTTTGTCACTAAAAAATCCTATTTGTCTAATTCTTGAATATATGGAAAAAGGAGATTTACTTTCTTATTTATACTCGTTAAGAGACAAGGATATTGACTTTGAAATTAAATATTCCAATATTTCTAATTCAAAATCTAATACAAGTGAGAGTAAGATTTAAATTTATTGAAACATTATAGATATTATTTTTAAAAAATTATTTTTATTAAACATTTTAATTTTAATTTCAGCAATTTTTGATTTTGGAGAACAAACCCTTCCACTGCTTTACAAGGAAAATAATTATAACAAAGAACAAAATTATGAAATTAAATCTAAAACTAAATTTGTTGAAAGAAAACAATTTTTATGTTTCGCTTTACAAATTGCTCTCGGAATGGAACATTTAGAAAGTAAAACAATTATTCATCGGGATCTTGCAGCAAGAAATATTTTAATTGATTACAATTTTAATTTAAAGGTATTTTCTAAAAAAGAAAATTATTGTCCCTAATAATTACATAAAAAAAATTGATATTAATTAATTAATAAAATATTTTTAATATTTTAGATTTCTGATTTTGGACTGTCTCGAAATGGAATATACGTGATGGGTAATGGAATTGGAGGTGTTCGACGACTTCCAATTCGATGGATGTCACCAGAAACACTTCGCGAAAGAGCATTTTCATCTAAAAGTGATGTCTGGTCGTTTGCAGTTGTTTTATGGGAAATAGGAACATTAGGAATGTTTCCATATTCGAGTATTCAAGATGATGACCTGTTAAAATATATTTTAAGTGATAAAGGCCGATTATCTAAACCTGAAAATGTTGACAATGATATTTATAATTTAATGAACATTTGTTGGTTCTCAGCACCAGAACGAAGACCATCTTTTGGTGATTTAGTTACTCTATTTAATAGTTTATCAACACAAAATTGTTCATTAGATAATTTCAGTCAAAATAATCCTTGTTATTCGTTGTTGACTTCCAATCAAAATTAATTACATAAATTAAATTATTATTAATTGTGATAAAAGATGTTTTAAATAGAAAATGTACCTGATTGTAAATAGTAAATAAAAAAATAAAGATTGATAAATAAATTATTTTTAATAATAATATTTCAATAATTTTTATTATTATGTACTAGTTTATAATGATTTAATTAGAAAATTTTCTGATTAATATTAATTTATTATTAATTATTCTAATAGGGTAATAAAAAAATAGAATATAATTTTTTAAATATACATTTAATATTGGCGCTTTTTTTTGAGAACCAATAGCGTTCTTACAAAATTTAAGATGACGGACATACATAACCTTTAATTTTTTGACAAGTAGAACCGCGTCTTAAAAAAGTTTACAACGTTCCCCCAAATTTCCGATAGATGTCACTGATTGTCAAAATTTGCATTTAATTCCTGGAAGAAACACATGGAGATTGGAGAATGTAGTGTTCCATATATATGCGAAAGCAATTTTATATTGAAAGTCTCACTTATTTCTCAGTGTTTCTCAGTACGTTTGTGAACCTTCCTGATATTTATTTGCGTTAAAATTATCATTTGCCACAACTATAGTAAAACTAAAAAGAAAAAATGACTCAAGCGCGGTTTTAAGTGACAAATCAACGTGGTTCTTCATTGTTAATGCTCATCATCATCATCATCATCAATCGTCTCTATAATTCGCAACCGTTACTTTTTAATACGAGAATCCGAACATCAGTGTCTTGAATATAAATCCAGGTAATTATTAATATTCATTTTGGATATTTTTTTGTAAAACATTGTCATTTAAAGTAAAATCATGTTAGAAAGTGATTAAAAATGGTATATATTAATAAAAATTTTGCCAAAGCATTTCAAGACGAAAAATTTCAAATATGAAAATTTGTGCGGGAACAATTATAAACTATTAAAAAGAAAATTGATTTAATTATAATTAAAGCTTTACTAAAGGTGTATTTGAAAAAAGGTGATTGTCCTCAGTGCAAAAAGTTAAATAGAATTTCAAAGTTTTTTTTTTTGGAGTTTTAACGAAAAATGCCGGGCAATCGGGACAAACATGAAACGAACAATTCTCAGGATGTGTTGCCACCACATTATATGCACGAATTACCGGCTCAGGATGAAGAAAGATTGGAAAAATTATTTCAATCTCTGGACCAAGATGGAAATGGCAGAATTGACGTTCACGATCTTTCCAAAGCACTCCATCAAGCTGGTGTGCACAGACACTATGCGGAGGTATTTTTTTTTTTTTGTATAAATATTATTGACCCTTGTATTTGCATTTGCATTACGATAAAATAATCTTTATTGTAATCTAAGTAAACTTATAGTTGCACTATAAAGTCAAGTTTACATAATAATAATCCAATAGTGCCAGGGTCATAGAGAAATTAATATATGATATGATTTTTAACTCCAGTATATTTTTTAAGGTTAAGTTATATTCACAATTTTTTAAAAATTCCAATTAATTTATTTTTTTAATAAAAGTTAATTTTCAATTTAAATAAAAAGAATTATTTTTGGTTATTAAATTGTTTATTCAAGTTAAGTACCTTACATGAATTTGAAACATGTAAAAAATAAAAAAAAAAAGTAATTGAATTTTATTGACTGTTGCAAAAATTGAGAATCATGAATGATATGCATTTTTAACTTAATATTAGAGTTTAAAAGTTTCATATTACATTTGAATATTTTCATGAGCGAATTACAATGTCTAAGAAATTTATAAATAATCTCAACTGACACAATAAACTTAAAAATAAGAGCTTTGATAAATATTTATTTGTCACTGATGCTTTCTTTGAAGTTTGTCTAGAATGTTAATAATAGAAATGCAAAATAAATTATAAAATAGAAAAAATTATGTTTATTTTACAAGTATGTAGAAAAATTTAAAAATTAAATCATTTACAAAGTTATTAACATTTCGCTTTCTTAAAATGTATGGAAATTTAAAAAAAAAGTAATAATTGTTCTTTCGAAATTTTAGTCATTTCTATTTTTAACTCTCTTATTAGAATAGTAAATTTTTAGTTTAATATTAAAATTAAATTCTGAGAATTTGTTTTTAAAAAAAATGTAGACTTTAAATATCTAAGTAAAAACAAAAATTTAGGAATCAATTGTTTACGTAAATTAAGCTAACATTTTTCCCTGGTGACTCAGTTGTCTTAGAAATTTTATGTAATGATTTGTATGGTTTCACCAACATATATATATATATTTTCTACATGTAGCTTTATTTTAAATACTTTATTAAATTCAATTCAAAGTCCATTAAAGAAGCAAATACCTGAAATAAATTTTTATGTATTTTTATTTAAATAAAAAAACAATTCTTAAATTTCGTTTCAGAAATTTCTTGCTAGATCTGATCAGACGAAAAGCGGTGACATTAGTTTAGCTGAATTTATTCACTATATCAAGGAACATGAAAAAAATTTGCGACTACAATTTTCTGATTTGGATAAAAATCAAGATGGTGAGAAAATCTTTGTACCTTTTATATTAATCGTTATGAAGAATTAGAAGAAAAAAAACTAATTAAAATTAAATTATTTGCTATTTAACGGGTTTTTAAGGACAGAAAACAATCCCTAAGGAATTCTACTAGTCGCTTTTAAATAAAAATTTCCTGTTAAAAAAAAACGCTGAACAATATTGAAACAAATTATTTACAGATTTCTTAACGGTTGATTTTTGAAGAAAAATTAATAGACATTCAATTGAAATTTAATGAAACAGATTGCATGGATTAACACATATACACGATTGGATGATCAAGCTTAGCAGATTAAAAAAAAAAATGTACATAATAATACTAAATTTTAATAAATCCATTCGGGAACTTTTTGCATGCAATTATTGAAAAAAAAAACTTTTTAAAAAGAGTGTGATAAAAATAAATTGTGTCAGTAAATTATCAAAACAATTATTTGTATTTTCTCTTAAGATTCTAAATTTATTTCTGTTTCTAAAAATATTGTATACTTATTTGACTTTGATTATTACAGGAAAAATTGATCTGGAGGAATTAATAAGAGCCTTTAAGGATTTGGGAATTGAAATGGAGAGAGCGGAAGCAAGGAAATTATTGCAAAGGTATAAAATACTAACTACTACTAAAAAGGTATAAAATAAAAAATATTATACAAATTAAAAAAATATTCTAAATTGTTGAAATTTAAATAATAAATAAAAAAAAACTCAAATATTATTTAGAGTATTAAAATGTTATATTTTTCTATATAGAATGGACAAAGATGGAAGTCTCAATATTAGTTTCAATGAGTGGAGAGATTTTTTACTCTACGCACCGAGTACGAACATCCACGATCTTATTCATTATTGGCGTCATTCAACGGTGAGTTATAATAATTTTCTGAGCTTAATTTTTTTTTAGAATTTTATTTCAAGATTTTTTTTTATTTATAAAATTGCAATTTTCATTATTCTTAATTAATCATAAAAGAGTTGTGATTAGGAATTAGGAATTTTTTTTCTGATTGCTAATTAAAAATTTAATTTGGCAGAATACTTGCAAAAAAAAAAATAAAAAAGTCTCTTTTTAATTGTTTTAAAAATCTTCTAATGTGTGTTACGTGATTAACATTACCTCTTGATGTGACGACAAAAACAATTCGATTCATTTTGATTCGTTGAGGAAGAGGGCTCGTCGTTTCACATTCGTTGCAGTCTGACGTAGTAGCTTTTCAAGCTTTCGCGTATTATTCAAAATGACCTTGAAATACAGCTGTTTCTCAAAGAGCCGGCTATTCAACTAAAACACGTTTGATAGCCATGCGCAACTTTTATCAACTCCCTTTGGCCCTCATCTCGTCTTGCGCACCTTTTGCTCTTATCATAGATTAACATTTAACAAAATCTTCTGCATTCATTTTTGTTTGTTTTTTATTTTGGAATAATAATCCAAAAAGAAAAAGAGTTACAGTTGGAAATTTCAACAAAAATTGTTGTTAATTTAAAAAAAAATGTTCAACGATTTTATTTAACCCTGTGATGATCCAATGATCATTGTGTTCCTTGAGTTTCTATAGTTTCGCTTCGATTTCTCTTAATGGTATTCAAAATATAAATTAACTGCTTTAGTAGTAGGTCAAGTGAAAGTGTCGAATAGGTTTTTTTTTGAGATTGTATTTTAGTTACTCCTTTTTTGCAAAAAAAAAAGAAAAAAAAAGTTGAAAATTGTTTCTTTAAGAGTGATTCTTCATTATGTGTATTGAGTGACAGTAAATGATTACAGTAGACGTTAATCATCGTTTTCGGAATTTTTCTTTTTTGTATTATATTATCTTGAATAGACATAGTCATTTTATTTTGATAAGAATGCATTTTGAAGACGATTTGCAGAAATAATGAAAACGTCTAAGGTTTTCCGTGAATTTAAATCGATAACAAGTTTCTTGAATTACATAATAGTTTATAGCGATGAATAAAAAAAAAAAATTAATAAGAATTTATGTCGAAAATTCATTATTGAAATTAATTTTTGTTCTTCTTTTAATTCACTGATTCTGATAGATTACATAATTCAAAAAAATTGATTTATTTCTCTATCAAATACTATATTTGCGAATTTTGAGTTTTAACTTTTATTTTAAAAATTTGATATATTTCAATTTTTGCATATGAGAAAATTAATAAATAATTTATTCATATGATTTTTGAAATCTTTTTATAAATTGTGTAAATTCAAGTCAATTTTAAACAGAAGTGTCAGTTCATTTAAATTGAAAATAGTAATGATATTCTTAAAATTCTATTCTTGATAACAAAAAATGAAAGTATTCAAAAAAAAGTGTTTAAGAAAATTGACTAAATAAGAGAGATTAAATTATTTAAAGTCATAAAAGTAAAATAAATATATTGAAACTTTTTTGAATTTTACATTTTCAAGTTACATTAAAAAAAATAGTAATTGGAAATTAATAATCATATATTTGTATATAGTAACGAATTGTAGAAATTACGAGAATACTTTTATATTGCGTAATGTCATGCAAGAACGATTATTAATCATGTAATATTATCAGTTAGTAGTTCTATTAAAGAAAAGAATTGATATTCTATGACAGCGTTTATATATTTTCCAGTCGCGAACTACGTATACTAAAAAAAATTTTTTATTTCTTTTTTTTTTTCTAAACGAAACAAGTGGTGGCGTATGCATGTCTGGAATCTTGGAATATTCTTGACGACAATATTGACGCTCATCGACCTCATCTTTATAAACATTAAATAATGCTGACATTGCTTGATGAATAGCGTTTTCTCATTTTTCCGCAAATTTACGATTAACGTTTTTGAATTTGTCACTTTTTCTTATAAATTATTGCATTTTCTCAAGTATACATAGAAAACTTTTTTTTACACTCAGAAAATTTTGTCCTTCTTTTTCTTAGAGAACAAAAAAATATATATTTCACTGGTTTTTTTTTTTAAACTATTCCCAAGTGATTGTTTAATTTCTACATGTTATTTCGTCATCAAAATATATAACGCACGCAAATGACGTCATTTACTCTCTCAGAATATAATCAGTTTTGCACTCGATCCAAATATGAATACTGTGTAAAAATTTATTGTCGTATATTCATGATTTTATTTATCATCGTGGTTTTTTCCTGATTTTTGTTATAAGGAAAAGAAAATTGGAATTTATTGTTCTGTTCTGTAAATTTAAAAAAAAGGGGGAAATTTGAAATTTGTTTTTTCTATTCTATCAATCAAGTCCATTGGACTTTTGCGAATCTAATCTTTCACGGAAATCATTGGGAATTAATTACATTTATTAAATCGATATATACTCGAATGGCTGCGAGTGTGAACAAAGATCAGTACAAAGATTAATTAGTCATAAAATCAGGTCTCGTTTGTATATATTTCATTGTAGTATTAGCAAATTTTTTTTTTAAATGATAATAATTGATAAATATTTTTTTTATAAAAGATTATAATTTATATTTTCTATTTCTTTTTTTTTTAATAACGAAAATGTATTTCACTTAATTATTTTATAATATAATAATAGAATATATTTAATATCATTTGAAAGATAAATAATTATCTACTTTAAATTAATTGAAGGCTAAAGTTGTTTTTATAATTTTTGTACTTTTATAAGGAAATTGTAAATTTTTTGAAAATTTATTTCATGCTTTTTTTCAATTATTCCTTTTTTACCATATTAAATTCAATGTCTTTCCTGAAATTTTAAAGTTTTTTGTCATTGTTTCTCAAACAATGAACAATAGAGAAATTAGATTGTCGTGCTTTTAAAATTGATATAAATGTTTCCTGATCTGATTTTAATTTAGAAAAGATTTAAACACAAATTAAAATTTTTTTATAATTTAGAGCTGAAATAAAAAAAAAAAATTCGCAGGAATAATAAAAATTTAGAAATGAGGTAAAACCATGACCGCAATAAAACCGGTGCGTTCCAGTAGATCTAGAACGATAAATCGAAGTTTTCATTTCTATGAATGTAATCATTTTAATTATATAAATTTTTATTTATTTATTTATGTTTCCGAATGTTTATTACATGAATTATTTAATTAGAAGTATAAATGGATAGAAAAATTTGTTTTGATATTTTATTTACGAAATAGGTAAAAAAAAAATTTGTAACTTAATTTGTTGATGACTAGGTATTAAAAAACTTACTTTTTAAAAAATCCTTGATCTTCCATTTCATAAATAAAATATTCTTTCTATTTCAGATTATATTGTAACTTGTAGTAATTCTCCAGGGAAAGGCAAATTATTTATGGATTACTAATTCCAAATTGTTTTTCATTTCACTTTGCACTTTTTTATATGAAGAAATTTTTTAATTCACCGCATAATATTTTGAAACTTGTTGATCTGGACCAGAGGGCAATTTCTTTTTTCTTGTTCTATAGAAATGTCAAGTTTGTTTTCGAATCACTGATTGGATCCAAGGCTGCTCTCTCCGAAAACAGACTAATGCAATTTTGGATATTATTGTGAGGGAGAGAGACAGATAGGAGGAAAGTTTCCTGTGATTGGAGGCCTCATTATATTTATTTAAAAAAAAAAAAAAGAAAAATAGTAGGCCGACTGTTGTCTGTCTCGATGTACATATAATGACGTAGTTGATCGCACACATTGTGACGATGCGTACCGTTTTAAAAGTGGGGAGAGAGAGAATTCCCCTGACCGAGCACCCCAGTCTCACTATCTTCATTTCGATTACACAGTCGTGACTGTGAGAATTCTTGGTTATAATTTAGTCTCGGGATCGATGCCGGTCATCGAGCTCATGCTCGGCAAAATTTCATCTTTAATTGACAATTCTCAGTTTCTTGTTATTGTTTTTTTTTCAAACAAAATTCACTTTCAATGTACGTTTATTTATATGGGTGAAAGTTAACAGTGAAAGTGTGCCCTCTTTTTTTATAGTGATTCATTCTCATATTAAATTGATAATAAGCAACATGTTGGAACAGGATCATTTTGAAAATTCTTGCCGCGATTGGATAGAGTTTCTTACTCAATATCGGGAACTCCTTCAACGGGTAAGTCCCGTTTTAAATTGAGAACATGGGAAATATTTTTTTTTACTCGTGAAAATAATTTTTCAAGCTTTCATTACATAAAGTTTCAAGTCGTTTTTTTTTTTTTTTTCTTTTGAATCGTTATACATACATTGAGAATATTCTGTCGCTGGGTAACGAAACGTCTTTCTATATTAAGAAGAGAGTGCAATCTCCGCTTAGAACAGATCTTCTATTTTGCTCTTCTAATTCTGTTAGAAGTCTTTAACTATATTCAAAACTCGTCACATTCAGGTTTCTATTTGCGAATATTATTTGAGAAAAATTATTTTTATTGGTATATTTTAAAAATTAATTCCACTCTTTTTATTCGTTGACCTTTGAAATTTCTCAATCTTTCTTTTTGATTTATGATGAAAATTGTCTTAATTCTTTGAAGGACCAAATTTTGAAAGTCAGGTAAAAAGGCAGTCAGTTATTTTTCCTTTATCATGAATATTTATGAATCACGCAAGTGACAAGTTTTTTTTTTTCAATGACACGTGGATGTGTTTAATTTTTAATATACTTTTGAAAAAGAAGGGAAAAATAAAGTTGTTTAATAATTAACTTCACAGCTTTCTTTATTCTGTATTCATGATCAATTTTTTGATCATTTCTTCATTTGACCTTCGTGCAGTGAAAGTTTCTCTAGTATTAAAATACCTTTAAACAATTAACTGTGCAAGTCAGCTGATTCATTCTATTTTTATCTCATATGCTTTGAATTCAAAAGCAATAAAAATTAATATATTTTTTTAAATAATTGAAATTAAAAAAATACTGGACAAAATTTTTTTTTGAAAAACACGCTTTATGAAAAGAAATTGAAATTGTAACAAAAATTGTCGTTAATCTTTATAGTTAATCGTTGCAAAAATTTGAGAATAATTATTATTGTGTTTGTAAACACGACGGATTAAAGTAGAAATTCTTTTACCAGTTACTAGTAGAATTTTGAAATTTTTGCTCAGGTATTGTTAAAATAATGATTACGAGTTCAAATTCCATTTTTTTTAAAATAATAAAATAATTTGATTAGGAAATTGATAGCAGAAAAAATGTTGGATCAAAAAAAAAAATTTTGTCGTGTGGTTTATTTTCGTGTTGACATTAATATGATAACGCGACGTGCTAAAAGTTTTCCGGATTATTAAGGAAGTAACAATTAAATGTGATTCATTGCAATTTTTCAATTTGACACAAATTTTTCCGCTTATTTTTTGTCATCGCTATAGATGTAAATTTTATTTGCACGTGCTTTTTATTGTTTTTTTTTGTATTGTTAATTTTTTTAGACAAAAATAATTTTTTTTTTATTTTATTTATTTGATACATTTTTATAATTATTTATAAAAAGATAAAAAAAATATTATTCGTTTTACTTATGATTTATTTTTTATTGCTGTATTAATGAATAATTAAATCAAGGTTCAATAGAGATTTTTCAAGGTTTTACCTGTCACTTTATTGTAAAATACATTTTTTCTCTGACTTTAGATTTTATTTTACAAAAATGCAATTTAAAAATTTTGAAATTTAGAGAATTCAGAAAATTAAAATAGTCATTAAATTTAAATTACAATAATTAAATTTTTATTACTTGTACTAATTCTATTGAGTGTCAGCTGTTTGATTTTTTATTTGAAATTTGTGCTCAATATGTCTCAATAATTCACATTAGTGACTTTTTATGGGAGATTTCAGTTTATTAGATTTTTTATGGTACATAATTCTTTTTCAAAAAATGTCATTAGTGACGTTTATTAATCCATTGTAATTATTATTATTTTTTCTATTGTAACCTGTTATCAGTCAATTGAAGAAAAAGATTCTGTTATTTCTTTTTAAAGTTTCATATGTCTCGATGCACATATCATTGAATAAGATCAGTAGAGTCATTTGACCCTTACAACACGTGGAATAGTAATAATGAATAACTTACTTCGCAATCTGAAACTAAAAAAACTTTTTATCTCATATTAATGTTTCTTTTTTCAAATTATATTAAAGTTTTGAAAATTAATTTGTAAAAAGCAGCATGGAGACGGTTTTAATTTTTTAAATTGACATTTTTTGTAAAAATTTTGTTTTTGGTTTTTGTTTCCAATCCAGGGATAAAAATATTATTCACAGAATCAAGTTCAAGTTTTCTTGAAGTAGATTGTAAATATTTTTACCAATCAGATTAGCTATCGTGTTTCATAATTCATATCTGAATTTTTTTTTTTTTTTTTACTTTATTAAGAATTTCAGTGGTAGAAGAAATATTTTTGCTGTAAATATATATTTTTTTTTTTGTTGACAGTGTAGAATATTAATTGAAAGTTTATTAAAATAAATTATTCAATGACCTAGGCAGTTGTCAACTGAATAAGGATATAGTAAAGACGTTGGTCGAATAAAATATTTAGACCTGACATTGGGCCATGCACCAAATAATGCATTTTGGCTTTTTGCCCATTTTAAACTTCTTTTACAACGGAAGCTAGATGGTTTCTTGCCTCTCTAAAGTCGTCAGTGATTTTTGTGTGTCTTATTTCCTCAATTAATTTATTAAAAAAGAAAAAAAAACTTTTTTTTTTATTTTATATTATTTAAAATGTCTTGTTAATCTATTCGACACTTGAAAAGAAAAAAAAAATACGATTTTTTAACAGAAGAATCATCAAAAATGGATTCCTTGGATAATATCGAGAGTGACATTTTACTTGAAATTTACGTCAAGTTAAGTACCAAAAATTATCCACGTAGTGAAATAGAATTTCTAAATTACATGTAGCTATAGCTATATAATATAATGATAAGGAAAAAATTTACATTAAAATTTTCAATACACTTGTGAAATAAAAATTTCGTAATTCTTTTTATTTACACATTGTCAAAAAATATATATTTCATATTTTACATTCTATTAAATTAAAATGAATTCAATTATTTATATTCAGTGAATATGTAAAAACAAATATTATTTTTACAAAATATCCTTATAATTTTGTTATATTATTTTTTTACAATTGTAAATTTATTCCTAATTATTCGCAATTTGCAATTTAATTTCAAGCAATATATATAAATCCGGTTCAAGGCAGTTTTGAAAAAGGCAACAGATAGCAATGTGAGAGACGATTAATATCACGAGAAGAGCCAATTGGCACTTTGGTCAAAATGATGTGAACGAACGAGTAAAATTGAGTGTGAAAAAAATATAATTTTTCCATTTTGAAACTTTGCTTTTTTTTTCTTTAAAAACAAAAAATATATTCAATGTTTATTGAATATTGTTAAGTAATCTCAATTTTCAAGTATAATTTTTTTTTTTCCTTTTAAAACTCTTGTTCATCTTTTTTAATTTGGCCCATTATCAGAATTTGTTTACTCTGAAGAGGGAATATATCGTCTTTTAAATATACATATATATATAATAATCTATATCGTAATTCATTCTTTTTCTCGCAAAGGAAAAATTTTATCGACTCAATTGCAATTAAAATGAAAAATTTGATGTGAATGTCAATTTTACTCGTAATAGGCATTGATTATATTTTCACGTGTTCTTGACATCAATTTAAAGAAGAAAAAAATTTTGAGATATTTCTGGCATTTATATTTTGTCATCTTAATCATTAATTATTAATTCAATAATGTGTGATAACAAATACTAATAGAGTATTAGTTGTTAGAATTAAAGTGATGTTTAATATAAAATAAAAAAAAAGAAATTAAGAAAAATTTCTGTTTTGCAAAAAAAATGTATAAAATGAAAGGTTTGATGAATATATTTTTTTTATTTTCTCCTTTTTTGGGAAGACCTCTTTAATTGAATCTTTTTCTTGGTCATGATTACAGTATATGGACATTGGAGAGGACATTGGAGTTCCTGATGATTTTACAAATAGCGAAATGATTTCTGGAATGTGGTGGAGACATTTACTTGCCGGAGGTATAGCTGGAGCAGTTTCACGAACTTGTACAGCACCTTTAGATCGGATAAAAGTTTATCTGCAGGTAAATAATATTTAAAAAAAGAATGAAAATAAGGGAAAAATAATTTTTATTGGAAAAATTTTTTTTTCTCAGGTCCATGGGACAAGACATTGCAATATTTTTAGTTGTGGCAAATATATGTTACGTGAAGGTGGAGTAACGAGTTATTGGAGAGGAAATGGAATTAATGTACTTAAAATAGGTCCTGAATCTGCGTTAAAATTTGCGGCTTACGAACAAGTCAAAAGATATATCAAAGGCTATAATAACAATAAAGAACTCAATATTTATGAAAGGTTTATTGCTGGCTCAGTGGCTGGTGGATTTAGTCAGTCGATTATATATCCATTAGAAGTGAGTTTCCGTTTTTTTTAAGGGGAAATCCCATTACGACTGGTTCAAATTTTTTTTTAAATTAATCTTACTGTATGGAAATTCCCAATGATTTTTAAGTTGCAGACAAAAATTTTGTTTTGATTCCCACTTTCAAATTTATTCTGTAAATCTATCTATTTATTATTCTAATTTATTTATTTATTACTAATTATTTAATTCTATTTAAAGGTAATGAAGACGAGATTGGCACTGAGAAAAACGGGAGAATACACTGGAATTTTAGACGCTGCTAAAAAAATATACGGTCATGGGGGTTTAAAAACATTTTACAGAGGCTACGTTCCAAATTTAATTGGAATTCTTCCTTATGCAGGAATAGATTTGGCTGTGTATGAGGTGAGCAAAGTTATAAAATTGTTACCGATTAAGAAGAAAATTTTTTTTTAGTTTCTCATATAATTTTTTTTGCAGACACTAAAGAATAATTATATAAGGACGCACAATAAGGATGAACGCCCATCAGTTTGGCTGGTACTTTTGTGTGGTACAGTTTCAAGCACAACTGGGCAAGTTTGCTCGTATCCTTTAGCTCTAGTCAGAACACGATTGCAAGCTCAGGTTGCACCTGAAAGTTCTTCCAGTATGCTCGGAGTTATTCGAGATATTCTTCATCGAGAAGGAGTTCGAGGCTTGTACCGTGGCCTCACGCCTAATTTTCTAAAAGTAATTATCAAATATTAAATTTGAATTTTTTTGTGTTTCTTAAAAAGTGCTTTTAAAGGAATTGAAACTTTTTTTTTAATAAAAAATAAAAATTCTTATTTTAAAAAATGAGGAATTAAAATCAAATTTGATTTAATTAATAATCGATGAATTTTGTTGTCCAGGTCGCGCCAGCAGTATCGACAAGTTACGTCGTTTATGAGCATGTAAGGCAAGCTTTAGGAGTTAACATGACGTGATGAACATGCGCACTAGGAACTATTAATTTAATTAAATTATTCCGCAATATTTTTTTTTTTTTTTTTTTTTTTTATATATATAAACTAAGTACATTATCTATAGTATAGAGAATTTTACGAGCTTCATTTCTCGAACTATTCAACAAAAAGCTCGTAAATGAACTTTATTATAGTTTTCATCGTCATTTCTACTCAATTTATTTATTAAAATCTCTTCGAGATCGTTTAAATCTCATTCATAGAGAATAATTCTAATTCGTCTCGAAAAAAAAAACAAATCCATTAATATTAAACGATAATAAAAGGGAGAAGTTCCTCGAAATATCAATATAGTTAAAGCGTATCATCTATATGTATTAACGAAGCCTTCTTAAGGTGAGATAGATCTTCTCTTTAAAAAAAGAAAAAAAAAAACAATAACATGGCTCAGAATAATTACATCATATGTTGTAAAATAATTGACAAAGTTTGGCATCATTCGAAAATAGTTTTCCTTTTTTTCAGTCACTTTTAGGTATTTAATGAGAAATTATAAAAAAAAAAAATGTTACGCGAATGATCGAATTTTTCTCGTAAATCCCTGTGGGATCGATAAAAAGAGAGAGAGAAATAGAGAGAAAAAACAAATTACGTAAAATACGTTCGATCGAAGTTATACATACTTATTCTGTGATAAGCACGATCAGCGGAATTTCATTTACAATGTCCAAGTGTTCTACTATTTTTGACGTTGTTGCAATAAAATAGTAGTTTTCTTTTTCAATACGATTTGCCTAATAATAATAATAATTACAAAAAAAAAGTTTTGTCCTATTCAAAAATCAAAAATAACAATTTTTAGGCGAGTCGTTTTCTAATAAAAAAAAAATCGCGTCTCTTTGCGAAGCTATTCATTCCTTTTTAAATTAACATAATGAAATACTTCAAAAGAGTTACGGAACTAAAATGTACACAGGTAAATGAATTTGAAAAATTATATTATATTAATCTATTTTCGTTAAAAATATGAAAATTTTAGCAAAAAAAAAAAAAAAGAATTTTAGTAATTAAAAATAAATTTTATTTATTGTATTTATTTTTTTATCACTTTTTTTATTTATTAAAAGTAAAGAAAATTATTTTTTTTTGTTTAATTGTATAATGTTTTTTTTTGTTTGCTTTTTTTTGGTGTGTACAATTTATTTGCCGATATGCGTCGATTTATATACATGTAAATTATTATTATTATAGTTAGAAAACTATTTATATGTACGCCTCGGTGCTACGAAATCAAAAATCGTGAAAAACGATTTTAATTCTAGTGAAAGGCATTTAATCAGGAGAAGAAATGGAAAATGTAAATAACGCGAAAATAGGAGTAAAAAAAAAAAGATTTTGTAGCGCTGAAGACAATTTTTTCAATTAGTATGATAAGTAATACCCGTATTAAAAAAAAATTAACAACGCAGATATTCTAAAAAAGAATCGTTTAAAGCGCCAAAATTCGAAGCGTTTTAGCGTCGTGTACAGATAATTTTTATCGGGTCCGAGTATACATGACTTTACCGACAATTTTTTTTAGTTATTTTTTTTTTTTTTTAATTTTTAATTCTTTAGCTCAACGATGTCCATGTATAATTTAACATGAACGCCTTTTTTCTATGAATAAATGTAATTTATTGATCACTGTTATTCAATGTTGATATTAATATTTAAATTATATATATCTACAAAAGAGCTCAACGCATACACATCCAATTATCGCTTTAAATACAAAAAAAAAACATATATAATATCTTAAATTTTGTCCCTCTCTTTAAGCGCTTTTTCAACAAAAAAAAAATATGCTTATCTCAAGAATTTCCATGTCATTTTCAAAATTACCAAAGATCTTCGCGATTCAACATTTAAATATACAATTATACTACATTATTGCATTCTGTATTGAAATGGTGTCACTGTGATATATAGGCTTAATAATAATAATAATAATAAAAATATAGATTAACTTTACAAGTTGTTTAAATTTTTATTATTTACAAAACTGAAAATTATTTATTGAAAGTTTTTTTTTTAAATTTAAAATAGGATTTGACTTACGGATATGAAATAGAGAAACGGATTTACACTTTTAAAAATTGTTTATTTTGATTTATTTTCTTAATTAAATAATAAATCACATTATTTATAATAATAATAATAATTAAATCTGTCAATTTTTATGACAATTCTGACAAAACAATAAATTTAATAATACAACTAAATATATATTTTTCTTTATTACAAATGAAATAATTTGGAATTTTTCTTTTTCTTGGACACATTGACTAAATTAACCGTTTGTTTTTTTTTTAGTGATAATGTATTCATTAGTAAAATAAATAATTAGTTAATTAATAAATAATAATTAACTATAGGCTGTTAATTAATTATTTTATAATTAATTACACAATATCAGTTAATTAATTCAGCGTGATTATAATTTTCCTTTTAGAAATTAAATTTCTAAAATAATGTGACAAAAAAATTGTTTATTTATTATTTGTAGTTTTTAATTTTCCTAATGCAATAACGACAGACAACGACATAAAAACAAATATCTTGCTAGTGATTCTCATCCTCCATCTTTGTGTATTAAAAATTGAAAAAAATAATAGTTTGGCCAATTGTAGCTTTAAAAAAACCAAGAAATTCGCAATTATTAATTATAAAGCTATAAATAACTTTTAATTTCAGATCAAAATGCTACATAAGCGAAAATTAACATAAGATTTTTTTTTTTTATTTGTTTTCCATTAATGATATTTTAACATCGCAGAAATTTTATAAATTTGTAATATAAGGCAGCATTGATAAAAATCCATTCGCTTTTGTTTCAACGATAACAGTCGGTAATTTCTTTTTACTTTTTTTTTTTTTACTTTGTTTTGGAAAATCTCAAGGAAATATATTTAAGAAATTATATGCTTTGTTTTAAGTACGATTTCACAGATCGGACCAACAGCGTGTGTGTGTGTGTTTTTTTTTTATATAAAGCTCAAAAATTGTACTGTAAAATAGATGACAATCCTGCTCGGTAATGTTTTTTTTTTCATTTCAATTTTTGAGAAGGATCTGTACAAAATATACAAAAATTATTTGCACGTATTTATAAAAAAAAAAAAATAAAATAATTAAACAGACGTTGGAATGTTAGAGGAATTTTCTATTCTCTGTAAGGAAATATGGTCCAATAATTTTGCTGCATCTTGGTCAAGTATCCAATAAAGTGAACCGTCAATAGGTTGAACCCTCGTTGCTGGCAAATTTTCCTTATCCTTCAATATGCGCTTTAAAAAAAATTATTGTAAATAAAATTTTTTAAGATTAATAAAAAAAATATAGTATTTAAAATATAAAAAAAATCTCTACAATTTTAGGAAAATTTTTTTTTTTTTTTTTTGAGTAATAAAATAAATTTTTCCAAAATACCTTCACCATAGTTTTTTTGCTATCTCCTGAGATAGCGAAAATGCAAACTTTGGCATTATTAATAACTGGAAATGTTAAAGTAATTCTTGATGGAGGAGGTTTAGGTGAATCATTAATGGGACAAATCCAGAGACTTGTTTCCTCTAGTAGACGATGATTGGGGAATAATGAGCATGTATGACCGTCTGGTCCCATTCCCAATAATAAAACATCGAACCTTGGTACGCAATCAGGTGGAAAATAAACCGACATTTTTTTAATATAATCCTTTGCTGCTTCCTCAGCTATAAAAATATAAAGCTTGTATTGTTTCTTTTAAAAATCACAATTATTGTATAATTACTTACCAGAAAGTTCTGGATCAACTCTTATAAATTGATCCTCGGAAACTGGTATTTTTCCTATAAGACTTTTTTTATATGATCCATATGTCGATTCAGCATGATCAAATGAGACAATTCTTTCGTCGCAAAAGAAAAAACGCCATTTACTCCAATCAGTGGAAATTGTCGGTAAGCCATCGACCAAAAAATTCACCATTGATCCACCTTAATTAGAAGAAAATATTATTAATAATTTCAAAATACAAATTTATTTTTGAAATTAAAATAACACATAAATGATTAATAACATTTTTTTCTAGAAACTTTAAGTATTTTTTTATTCAACGTAAACTGTAAAAATTTACATGAAAAATAGTAAATTTGTTTTTTCGTTTTATTTATTTAATTAAAGAAACGAAATACAAGTACACAGAAAAATGGTATTAAACATAATCAAATTGTTTTTAAAAAAAGAGTAAACTTATCGCTATTTTATATATGGAATTATAACCTTAACCCATCAAACTTACCAGACAAGCCTATTTTGAAAATATCGTCACTAGCGATGGCTTCATTTGCACTATTTTCTATAAGTGTCGCTAATTGTTTCACTATACCACTTGTTTCAGATTCAATTAATATTTTAACCATCTTTAATAATTAAAAGTATTTTCTTATTTTTGCCGGAGAAAAACCGAATGACCATCAAAAATCAAAAGAATGACGAATGACCTTGGCAAAATATTATGGCGCATTTACAAAATAATTCCTGTTTTCTCATTCGTTTCAATAATCACCAATCATAATTCAAGATTCAAAAAATGTTTATCTTAATAAAAATATAAAATTTAAAAATTTAAATTTGTTCCACTCATTAGTTTTAAAAATATTAAAATTTTTATATTATTATTTTTCAAAAAATAAACATATATTTTTATTATTTTATCATTACATGAACAGATGAAATAAATTCAAAATTGGACAAAAAAATTGTCGTCTCTTTTTTCCTTTGTATTCACTCAATGCGTATATGTCATTGTTGTGACAGTTGCGCTTGTGTGAAGTAATTAAATATGTAAGCTTATCAATAATAAGATTTTGTCTTAAATGGACAGTGATATTATTTGTCAAAATTAGTATAGTTTTTCTATGAAAACAAATTCCAATTGATTTTCTACTAGGAAATTACAATTTCAACTAGTTGAATTCACATTTTATATATATATGTCTTTTATTAATTTTCTACTGTGCCGGGGATATACAAAAAAGTGAATGGTCAGTGCACTCTTTTTATCGATTTTCTCATTAAATAAAAAAATATGCATGCGTAATTTGTTTTTTTTTAATAAAACAAAATTTATCCTTTTTTTCATTAAAAATGTAAATTAGTATCCTAAAAATTTTTTTTTATAATTATAAATAATAATTAGTTATAAACATTGTAAAGAGTAAAAATTAAATTAACAAAAAATCAATTTTTTTTCAGTTATCTATTACAAAAAGAAAATGATTCTCCGTTGCTGTATTTCAATTTTAATTAATATTATTTTCCTTGTCGATTATTCGTCGGCAAACTATGATCATCATTCTAAAAAATTTGAACCAAATTGGGATAGTTTGGATAAACGACCCTTGCCTACTTGGTATGAAGATGCTAAATTTGGTATTTTCATTCATTGGGGAGTTTTTAGTGTTCCCAGTTTTGGATCTGAATGGTTTTGGTACAATTGGAAAGGTAAATTTTTTGAAATTATTTTAAATAAATGAAATAAATTTTTTTTACCAAAAAAAAAAAAAAATTACAGCTGGAAATCCAATTTACACCGATTTTATGAAGAAGCGTTATCATCCAAATTTTGCCTATCAAGATTTTGCTAAAGATTTTACTGCTGAATTTTTTAATGCCACACAATGGAGTGAAATTTTTCAAGCATCTGGAGCAAAATATGTAATTTTAACGAGTAAACATCATGAAGGCTATACATTGTGGCCTTCAAAATATTCTTTCAGTTGGAATGCTAAGGACGTTGGTCCACAACGAGATCTAATAAGTATAATTCATTTTTTTACAATTAATATTTTTGCGTAGTTATTTTAAAATTAATTTAATGTTTTTAATTTTGTAAATTTTAGGTGAATTGGCAAAAGCGATTCGTAGTAAGACAAATTTAACATTTGGTCTTTATCATTCTCTCTATGAATGGTTTAATCCTTTATATCTTGAAGATAAAAAAAATAAATTCACAACTAATAGTTTTGTTACACAAAAAATAATTCCTGAATTAAATGAACTTGTTGATTTATATAAGCCGGAAGTAATTTGGTCGGATGGTGATTGGGAGGCACCGGATACTTATTGGGAGTCAAAGGAATTTTTAAGTTGGCTTTATAATTATAGTCCAGTTAAGGAAACTGTTGTTGTTAATGATAGATGGGGAAGAGATATTCCCTGTCATCATGGAGATTTTTATACATGCACTGATCGTTACGATCCTGGTAATTTTCAAAATATGAAAAATTTATCTTCTATTTTTTGTTTAAATTAATCTCTTATTATTAATTAATTGTAGGAGTTTTGCAAGTTCATAAATGGGAAAATTGTATGACAATTGATCGAAAATCATGGGGATTTCGAAGAAATGCTGATTTAAAAGATTACATGTCTGTTAAGGAATTAATACGAGAATTGGTCATTACTGTCAGTTGTAATGGAAATTTATTGATGAATGTTGGTCCAACAAAAGAGGGAATAATTTCACCTATTTTTGAGGAAAGACTTCGTGAAATGGGTGAATAATAAGAAATAATTAAAATAATAATAATTCATAATTAATTAATTAATTAATTGTTTTCAGGACATTGGTTATCAATAAATGGAGAAGCAATTTATAAAACGAAACCATGGGATGTTCAAAATGATACTTTGTCTGGTGATGTTTGGTATACACAAAATAAAGATGGTACAAAATTATATGCAATACTTCTTTCATGGCCAAAAAATAATAATTTGGGATTATCGGCAATTAATATTCCGGCATTAACTCCGATAAATCTTCTTGGTTATCCATACGAACTTACGGTAATAAAAATAAAGAAATTTTTTTGTTTAATAAAACGTTAATATTTTTTTCTCCTTTTTTTTTTATAGTGGGAACAGCGCTCAAATTATCTTCTCATTGATTTGCCAGTAGAAGCCCACAAAGGTTATCCTGCTTGGGTTGTAGTGATAAACAAATATTTGTAATTATTACCAGATTTTACAATTTTACACCTTGTTATAAAATTGATTTGCTGTACTTTTTGATAAATGTGCTTACAAATCGTGAATTTTGCTTTCTTATTTTCCTTCTCACATATTTATTTTATTGAAAAATAAAAGAATATGAATAATAGAATATTTTTCTGATTAAGTTATTAATTTATAAAAACAAAAATTTCAAGTTAATAAAACTTTATTATCCGTATTCTTTATAAATGTATTAAATTTGTGAAAAATAATAATATTCATACCACAAACCAGTTTATTGTGATGATCACAATTTCCGAAATAATACAAAAAAATGTATGATTCTGGCACTGTTCGGAAATTCTCTTCTGATATTATTGTTTTAAAGTTGAGCAACTTCATAAAGATATGCTCCAAGTAGTTTTGTCTATAAATATAAAAAAAAAATATTTTTCTTTTAATTGAAGAAAAAATTAATTTGTAAAATAAAAAAAAATTGGTAATTTCTAAATCACTTACTCCTTCAATGTAATTGCGAACATCGACTTTTTCATTCTGTGAATGTGCGCCATCATCACCAGCACCAACTGGCAATAATAGAACACTTTTGCCAGTGACTTCTTGAAAAGTGAGTGTCACAGGTATAGATCCACCTTCACGGGACAAATCTGGATCAATTTTATAAACATGTTTTGTTGCAATTCGTGCTGCTAAATAATTAGGATGATCTGGATTTTCAGTCCATGCTTTTCCTCCATGATTCATTGAAATTTTCATACTATTTGGACTCTTTCTTAATGTCCATTGTTTTTGTAAATAATTCACTACTTTTTGTTCCACCTCATCGGGAGTCATATTTGGCACTATTCTTATCGAAAATTTACCAACAACTTTTCCTGGAATAACAGTTTTTGATCCCGGTTCACTGAAAGCACCCTCAATACCATGAAGCGAGAGACTCGGTTGTCGCCATCTGTGCATCAGTAATTGTTTCTAAAAAAAAGAATTTACAAAAATTAAAAACAAAAAAAGAACTTAAAATTAAATCTAGGTATTTAATTTAATACCTTATCCTCGTGAGCAAGTTTAGTGCATCCAATATTATTGCGAAATTCTTCAATATCAAATTCAATATTATCGTATGATTTTATTTCTGTTTCAAGTAATTCAGCAACATTATCATACATTCCATCGATTAAAATTTTTCCCTTCACATCAACTAATGAATTCATAAGATAAATAACATCTGACATTGCCTCATGAACTGAACCACCAAATGAGCCACTATGTAAATCTTTATCGGCACATTTAACTTCAAGGAAAAAATAACAAACACCCCGAAGACCATAGGTAATACATGGTTTTGTTGTTCCCAGCCAATAATTATCAGAAATACAAACATAATCAACATCTTTGAGAAATGATTCTTTTCGAGCATATAAAAGATCATCTAAACCTTCACTTCCACTTTCTTCCATTCCCTCGAAGACAAACTGTCATTGAAAAATTCAATAAACACATTTATAAAAAAAAATAAATAAATTTAAAATCATAATAAATATATTTATACCTTAACATTAACTGGAATGTCAATACCCAATGCTTTATAACCTTCTAAAGCGTGAATCCAACATAAAACTGGACCCTTATCATCTGTACTTCCTCTTCCGTAAAGTTTTCCATTCTTCTCAACTAATGTGAATGGTTCAGTATCCCATCCATCTTCTTTTAAGGCAGGTTGAACATCAAGATGTCCATAAATAAGAACAGTCTTTTTCTTTGGATCTGTTCCTAATTGACCAAGTAGAACTGGTGGCAATGGAATTACCTGTCCACCAGGTAATTCTTGTTTACCAATATCAGCTAATTCGGTTGTTGCACCCAAAGATTTCATTTTTTCTTCAGCCCATTTCATCATTCGTACAACCTCGTCTCTTTTGTCTGGCCATCCTGAGACCGATTTGATAGCAACGACTTCTGCAAGATTTTTTATGTATTCCGATTTATGGGCATCAATATGCCTGAAAAAGAAATTATTCACCTTAATATTTAAAAATAATTGTTAAATTTGATATAATTTCTATATTAAAGGATTTCGAAACAATTTTAATAAATATGACTTTGAAAAAAAAAACACTTAATACCTTTCAAGTGTTTTTTAATGATAAAAAAATAATTCCATTGACTGATACGAACAAGAATGGTTGAAAGTCCAAATTAAATCAAATATTTTTATAATCTAATATATTTCTACATGTACTTCTGTTTAACAATTTTTAGTATTTTTTATAATGTAATTTAAACATTCCTATTGTTGTAATAGAATTATTAATTCAGAAAAAAATTTATATTAAACATATTTTAATACTTTTTATAACCCTTTAAATTTTTCAGCAATATTTTGATATCGATAATAGAAAAAAGAAATATAACATTAAAAATTAAAAAACAGAATGTAAAAAAAATATTAAAATCAGTCAAAAAAGATAAATAAAACTTTTACCTAAACAGATTTTCCAGAGTAGGTGGTAAAGCCATGATTACTAAAAATTATATTTAGAACACCAATTAATTAAAAAAAATTACAAACGTAAAGAATCTTTTTTTTAATTATTACTGCTCAGCAGTAGGGCGTTTATTAAAATTTTATTTGTATAACTTTATAAGTTGTAATCAGATTTTTTATCACATCTGATGACAAGGTGCACGCCTTCCTAAAGCCGCATTTTCATTTATATTTGGACTAATTTAGTAGCGGGAAATACAAATAGTGTTTTTTTTTTTAAATTTTATTTTAACTATTAGTATTATTTTTAAAAAAATATTTTTAAAAACAGAAAATAATCATAATCAATGATTATGTATTAAATTAACTATAAATTTTATTTCCACATACATTACATACATCCAGGATGAGGGGTTATTCTATTAGTCCTCATTACAAATTTAATTTTTCGTGACATATCTTCATCGTAAATAGCTTTGCAAGTTTGATAATTAATTCTACGTCGTACGAGAAATGGTTTCTCATAATATCTTGTACGTCGATATTGATCAAAAATTCCTTCTCTGCCCAAAACTCGATTTAAAACACGACATGCAGAATCGACATCTTTATTTTGAATTAAAACTGTCCTTGCCAAAAATGCGGAATGACGCCAACCCATCTGAAATTATTAATTATTAAAAACTTATTGATGTGATTAATCTTCTTTTTAATAGAAGAGATAAAAACAAAAATATTTGAGGTTTTAAATTCACTTTTAACATGACATCATCATTTTAATAAATATTACTAACATGTTTATTTAGTCAAATAATTAGAATGTTTAGTTACTAACTTTAAAAATTATTAAAAAATACATTAAAATATTTTAATTAAAGAAAAGCTTTGATAGATTTAATTTATATTCCTAAAAAGTGAGGTTAGAATCTTTGAACTTAAAATGTAAACAAAATTGTCCAATTTCTATATTTTATTGGTGTTATTCATTTTTTAAAGCAAAGATATTTTTATTTTAGCAAGGAAATTTTATTTTGAAATAAAAAACAAATACCTTTATATTTCCTGTTTATCTTTTATTCGTATTGAATTCTTTGAAAGCTCTTCTATGTTCGTGTTCAGTTTTACAAATCTGCTTCGACGCAAAGCACGAACTTACGACATTTGTGATTGTTTCTCACGATTTGGCTTATCTGTGATTATATTTTGTGAAATGATGACCAAATAATCTATTAAAATATGCTAATAATCGTTAGTGAACAAAACTTTTTAAAATATTTAGAAACAGAATTGATAAATAGAACGATAACGATAAAAAATCATTTAACATTAGGTTATATCAGACATAACCTCGAAAGAAGAGATACATTTCAATATATAAAAAACTGTTCACTATAATATTGTTATTTCGGTATGAGCAAAAATCAACGTTATTTCATAATAATAGCTTCACAATTCATTGTATTTATTAAAGAATTATTTCATTAAATTTTGACTGGAGAAAGGTCATGGAAAATCATTCGGCATGTGGGAACACCACATATTTACCTTTAGATAGTGAAGATTTATTAATTTCGGAGAATCATAGTAAACATCATATGGAATTAAAAAAAAGAGAAGAATTAATTTTAACCACAGATAATAAAGGTGGTTTATCAAATCCTAGAGCTTTATTATTTTTAACATTGTGGTATGTCTTCAGTGGCTGTACTCTCTTTTTAAATAAATTTATTCTTTCGTATATGAAAGGAGACCCGACGATTTTAGGTAAAAATGAAATATTTTCTTTCTATGTGAAAATTGTTTAATTGAAAACAAATTAACTTGAAGAAATAAAAACTAAAAATTTCATTTTGATACATTGAAATTTCTTTCGTTAATAAATTCACGTTATTTATGAATTTAATACTGTTTTTGCTTATGCTTTTTATAAATTGTAAATAATTTACTTTTTGCTAAAAAAATATTAACAAAATGACTTATAATAAATGTAATTGTGATAAAAAAAATGAATTAAGTTTTTTTTTTATGCTAATTGTTGTTTCTTTTTACTGTAATAATTTATTTTAAAAAAAGTTGTCAATAAAAAAGGTAATATTTATGGAAGGTTAATAATATACATAAACATATAATTATTACTTTAATATTTATGTATTTTTTGAATTGTAAATATTACTTTGTACTTGAAATTTGCTTTAAATGACAAGAAAACTTGAAATATTAATATACGAATGAATTAATAAATAAAAGAAATTTCTGTGCTAATAAATTAACTGTACTAACTTGATTTTAAAGGTGCATGTCAAATGTTGATGACAACAGTTTGCGGCTTTATACAAATGTACTTTCCTTGTGGTATGTACCGAGCAAATTCTCGGTTGATGAGGCCTCCTGGTTTTTACAGACATATGACGTTAGTTGGTTGTACACGATTTGTGACAGTCGTTTTAGGACTTGTATCATTGAATTATGTAGCTGTGAGTTTTACTGAAACGATAAAAAGTAGTGCTCCTCTTTTCACCGTACTTATAAGTAGATACCTATTAGGTAAGTATTAGAATAGTTTTCTTTATTTATTTATAACAAGTATTTTTTCAATTCCATGATTTTGATTTTAATATTATTTTTTTTTTACAGGTGAATATACTGGCCTCTATGTCAATTTATCATTAATTCCCGTTATGGGAGGATTAGCTCTATGTTCGCTGAATGAAATTAGTTTCGATCTTAGAGGTTTTATTGCCGCAATGGCAACAAATTTGACTGAATGTCTACAGAATGTTTATTCCAAAATGTTAATTAGTGGTGACAATTTCAAATATACGTATGTATTGTATTTAAATTTTTCTATTGTTATTTATTTATTAGTAATTATTTTTTTTTTTCAAAAAAGGCCTGCGGAACTACAATTTTATACCAGTTTGGCATCAGTAGTGGTGCAAATTCCAGCGTCAATTTTATTGGTCGATCTTGCAAATATTGAAAATACCTTTAGTTTAAGGTTATTGGCAGCGTTCATTTTGAACGGGATTTTCTTCCATTTTCAAAGTATTACGGCATATGTACTTATGGACTATATAAGTCCCGTTACTCACAGGTAAATGTAAAATTTATAATCCAATAAAATTTAATTAATTAATTCTAAAAAGTTTTTTTTTTTAGCGTGGCGAATACGGCGAAGAGAGCTTTTTTGATATGGTTATCGGTGCTATTATTCAACAATCCTGTTACAGGTTTATCTGCACTTGGTACATTTTTGGTAATTGCTGGGGTTTTGTTGTACAATCGAGCTCAAGAATATGATAAATTAAAGAGCACTAGTCAAAGACTTCAAAAATCCACGAAAATCAATTTACAATAATAATGATAATTAGAAAACGAGCTTAATACATTCGAGTAGGATTAAGATTGTTTATATATAGAATTTTACCGAAAATAATATTTAAATTTTATTTATTATTCTTTATTATTATTAGAATATTTAGGTGAAATTGTTGATTCAATCATCACTATACACAAATATTAATTAAAATTGCAAAATGACACTTTGTATAAAAGAAATATTCATTTTAAATTATATCATAATTTTAAGACACTGCAATTTTTCCAACTCTCTATAATTTTAATGAAATAGAAAATTCTTGCCTTTTTATGTTTCCATACGTAATAATTTATAATAGCCTTGTATGACAAATTTTTATGAAAAACATAATAAGCATTAAAAGTCAGAATTTGTTTAAATCAAGTCTTATTTTATTTCATTATTCAACTTTTTATGATGAGATGAAAGAAAAGTATCGATTGATCGTATTTCAAACCAGTATGGAGGAACAGTGACCACATAAAATAAGAGAAAATATTATTTTCTATATATGAAATAAAATATTCTTCATATTTATTATATATAGAAGAAAAGAGATAATTTATTCTACTTTTTTTTTTAATCCTGTTTATATCAGGAATCATACATGTATAAAATAACAGTGTAACTAAACACTTTAAAGAGTAAAATTTTTTGCATCAAACTTTATCGTAAAGATATAGAATGATGAATAGCGTAATTTCTTATTAAGTTGTCTTTTTTTATGGTAAGTATAAAAATATCTTCAGTGTATCCTAAAAAAAAACTTGCGTATACATTATTTTTTTTTTTAGTAATTTTTGAGAACATTAAATATTAATTTTTTTTTTCATTAGATATTGAATGCGTCTCTTAAAAGTTAATTTAAATATTAAAATAAACTACAATTGCTTAGGTATAAAAAAACATTTCTTTCCACTATTAAAAAAAAATTAAATTCATCAAAGAGTTTAAAAAAGCAGATACTGCTTGCGCATTAAATTTTAATTTTCTAAATTTATTGAGAAGCTTTCAGTGCTTGATCAAGATCAGCGATTAAATCATTTTCTGTTTCAAGGCCAATTGAGAGCCTTATTAGCTGATCAGTGATACCCAATTTCTCTCTTTCGTCATCTGGGATGGATGCATGAGTCATTATAGATCTAAAACAATTTATAAAATTAAATATTTCTGATATATATTTTAAATACAAATTGATAATACTTTTTTTATACTTACGGAAGTTCAGCAAGTGACTCAAAACCACCCAACGATTCTGCTAATATAAAAAGTTTCAATGATCTTAAAAATTTATGTGAATCGCCTTTAATATAAAATGAAATCATTCCACTATGTCCTGTTGTTTGTCTCAATGATAATTCATATTGTGGATGAGATGGAAGATCTGCAATAAATATTTTTGATTACATAAAGAAGATATTGAAATTTTTAAAAATAAAAATAAAACTTACATGGATGAATTACTTTAGTGACAAATGGATGATTTTCTAAAAATTTAGCAACTGCTAATCCATTTTTCATATGCTGTTGCATTCTTATTTCTAAAGTTTTCAAACTACGATTCACTTGTGCACAATCAAATGGTGAAGGAACAATACCCATTGCTGAAATTAATTTATTAATTTAGTTAAAAATAATTTAAAAATAGATCATTCAAATTTTTAAATACAAAAAATAAATTAAAATTAGTGGGAGAAATTTTACCATTTTGAATAAAACGTAATCTTTGCTCCAAATCTTCTCTTTTTGTAATCGCTGCGCCCATAATTACATCTGAATGGCCATTCATGTATTTTGTTAAAGAATACATTACAATATCAGCACCAAGATCCAAAGGTCGCTGTAATTATTAAATAATATTTAATTATTTTCAATTAATAAATGAAAATTAATTTAACAATGTTTTGAAAAATACTTATTATTAAATTTTCCACATACCTGAAAATAACATGTTAAAAATGTATTATCAACAACTAAAATTACGTCCGATCTGATAGACTTAATTCCTTTAGAAACAGCTTCGATATCAGCTAATTTCATTAATGGATTCGTCGGAGTTTCCAACCAAACCATCTAAAACAAGAAATTCCAATTTTGATTACATTGTCAATTTGATATCAGCTTATTAAATGTACACGTAATAATAAAAATCGAAACATAATTGAAATATTTATGTGGATCATAAAATAGAGTTTTATTCCATTATGAACATATTTTCTATTTATAGAATTATATCAACTCTGTTAAATCAATAAATATTTACATATTAAAAATATTTATATGCTAATAAAATAAATTTTTTTTACAATTGAATTGAATAATAATTACCTTTGTGTTTGGCCTGAGGGCATTAAGAACATTTTGTGTTATGGAAGCATCGACAAATGTCACTTTAATACCCATTATGCATTTTTGTAAAAAACGATTTGTCCCACCATAAACATCATCACCACAAATAAGATGATCGCCAGGTTCTAACATTGCTGTTAAGGCAGTGAGAGCTCCTAAACCAGATGAAAAAACAAGACCATGTTTTCCATTTTCAACAGCAGCAAGACATGATTCTAATACATTTCGAGTTGGATTTCCACTTCTACCATATTCAAAACCCTATGTGTGTGTGTGGGAATAAAAATTAGTAAATCTTGATTTTATTTATAGTGAATGATTCTATAATTAGAACCAATTTGTTAGTAAAGCAATTATATTCTCTTTCTTCATTATATTTATACTAGAGAACATCGTATCATTTAATTAGAACTCATCATTCATATTTGTGCAAATTGGTTACAATTGGTAAAAATTAAAACCACATAGTGACCTAATTTATATTGAATATACACTTTCATCAGGTGATTCTAAGAAAAATTAAAAAAAAAAAAATTTTTATCCAACAATCTCAAATTAAAATTTAAAAAATTGAAATTTTTTTAAAATTTAAATAATGATAATTATATAAAATAAAATCTTTTAAGTATTTGTCGGTTTTTGTCATTTTAGGATAACTCACTCTGTGCTGTGCTGGACCATCTTGTTGAAAAGTTGTTGACATTACTAAAGGTGGAATTACTGAATAATGACTCCATTGTTTAGGATCCTGACCAGCATGAATCGCCTTTGTTGCAAATCCTTCCTGAGTGTAAGACGGCATTTTCTAAATAAAAAAAAAAAATACAAAACAATTTTTTTTTAAATATTTTTTATATCTTGTGAAATTATGGAAAAACAAATCAGTAAGTGCGTCATAATTTTTTTTCCAAGAATGGCATTTGTTAAAAATAAATATAAAAGTAAGCACAGGAAAAAAAATTCCCGCCACCCCTGAATATTATTTATTTTTTATTATAGAGTAAATTACAAAACAAAAAAAATTTTTTTTATCAGAACTTTGGAATTTACAAAAAAACGTGACTTTAATGCGAAGATAAAGATAATTGATATTAATAAGGGGGAATTTAAGAAGAAGAAAAAAAATAAATACCGGTTTTTTTTTTCAATAATTGATAACATTGTTATAACATTTTGTGACAATATTAAAAAAAAAACTTTTTAACTTATCATTCTTGAACTCTTTTATTAGTTAATACAAAAAATGAGAATTAAAAATCATAAAAAAATGCAATGAAATATGAATATGGAAAAAAAATCTCTTATCATTAATTTATATGCGCATTGTAACATACATCATAAAGAGCAATACCCTTATATTTTTATCACAAAGACCGCTGTGTTTGCGCTTGGAAAATCTCTCTTTGTAAATGCTAAAACCTTCCAATAATGCAAAAAAAAATCAACTGCGTAAAATTTTTACAAATAAAAAAAAAATTGAAACAAACCATCATTACTAGACATTTTTAATTATGAAAAATTGAGCATGACGGGACATTTTCAATTTATTATGTTTTAACTATATATATATCGTTACAATTCTCCGTTATTTCTGATATAATTTGTTGCACCACTTAAATCAGTTAAATTATCTTTACCTATGACTGGCATATTTTTTCATTTAGTTTTTAAATATTATTTTCTCTACAAAGAATAATATTTAACATCATAATACTATAATTTATTTTATATCATTATAATTAAATAAAAATCGTTAAAATGAGTATTGTATTTTTTTTTATGAACATTGTACAAGGCTTTTATGTTTTATATTAAAACTACTTCATTTGAATAAACTATAAGGAAAAGTTTTAAAATTGTCAATATTTAATATTATACATGTAAATGAATAATAACTAATTAAATTTTATAATTTAAAATATTTATAGTTTGCTTTTAATTAAATTGATCTGAAACTTACATTTTTGAAATAATAAAATAAATACATATATAATTTTAATTGTTTCCAAAATAATTTAATTTTCACTAATTTTTTAGGTTTATAAATACGTTTGTTTATTAGACATCTATATAAATTATCTAGATAATATAGACATTAACAAACGTCATATCCCACGTGTTCTCGCACCAAATGTCATTTTTATCGCTTGTTTATTGCACATTTTTTCCTCCTAATGAGAGGAAAATTAAATTTCTTTAAAGTGTAAGGAGTTTTTGAAAGTTTACTTTCGTTTATGGTGTTACAGATATACCAGTACACATTAATAAGTTATTAAAAAAAACAGGTTCAATAACATGTTTCATGAAAGAAAAAAAAATTCCGTTATTTATACATAAACTACAAATAAAAACAAATTAAAGCAATAAAAAAATTTCGTGAAATTAAAAACAAATATATTTAAACTAAATTAATCAATTGGTTCAGATTCGTGATAATAAATTGAAATCTTTTGTATAATTCGCCGGGTTGTGATAATATATACATATATATACATACATATATGATGGCAGAAAGATAAAATGATGTAAGTATATAAATTACTTTTTCCTTAATTTAATGTCAATTATGAATTTTCTTCATTTTGTAAAATTAAATACACTTTATTTTAGTATTTAAACAAGTGTACTCACCTGTTTATATAAATGATAGAAGATGATGAAATGTGAGTCAAATCGTAGACATGCAGCAGCACAGCTCAACGACAGGCGTCAGACTGAAATAATCGTAACATCTGCCCTGAAAATATAGGTTTGCAATCAATCCCCCTCTTTTCTCACTTAATACCGAACAAAAAGTATAACATATACAAGTCGTTTCTAAAGAAACTATAATACATTACTAAATAAAGAAATGTTTTTCTATATATCTATCTAAATTCAACATAACCTTGAACCCTAAAAAGAAGCTCCAAAAACCACTAGAGCAGACCACGTGTCATAAAATGAACTGAAATTAGCTGCAAATATTATTTGAAAATCAATTTCTATATCATATGAAAATTGTTCTTGGAAAATTTTTCTAATTTCTTGTAAAAAATTATAATTTGGTAATTCTTGTATTTTTTTTTCAATATCGCAGAAAACTAAAAAAATCATATTTACATTTTTCTTCATTTACCTCTTTCATCCAGTATTTTTATAAACTAACAGTTTATGAATTTTAACATTCAATATTTGTATGTAAATTGCTTCGTTTTTAAGTAAAATTCGAAAGAATCTATTTTTTGGCTTCATTTTTAAAATACCCGAAGCCAAAATGTTATTTATGGATTTACGTATATTTTTAAGTTAGCTTTTGGGTTATTCCACTGAAAAGGTAAAATACAATATTATTAATATGAGAAATTATTTATATCCTTCAATATTATTGTTTTTCTCTACTTATTTTTAAAATAATTATGATCTTTCGAAGAATAAATAACTTATTAATAATTGTTATTCTTTAATTCATATATAGAATATTATCATTATCTTTGAAAATATGAGTTTGAAATCTTGTAAGTTATATTCTAATTGTCTGAATATTGTTACAGTGTCTTTATTTACCAATTATTTCTTTTCACACAAAAATAAATTATCTTTGATAATTTTTGATTATTCGGAAGAATAAATATTCAATTTTTTATCTTAAAAGAACAAATGATTCACTATATTTATTATAATGATAAAGATGTGAACTTTTAACTTTTTTAATTTATAATACAATGCGATTAGTAAACAGTCGGAAGTGTCAGTCATAGCAGACGACACGTATATTATCTACAGTAGTCAAAATTTGATTGGTTCATTTTTCCCAACGAGTTTAAATCCACCAATAAGAATAAAGCAGTTTAAATCGATATTCTCGATTATTCCTCTGATGACAGACGACAACACTGTATGACTTACACATAGTTTACTACACAGTTTTGATAAAAAAAAAAGAGAAAGAAATTGTGCTTTATTGGTAAATTGTTACAATGACAAAATTCAAGGAGTGTTTTTTATTATTTTTCCTAATTTTTATAAACTTTACTTTTGCTGATGTGTTTTTTAACGTGGTGAATCGTGAGGATCCTTGTCTTAACCTCTGCGAAAAAATACCTATTACAATTTCAAAGGTAATATGATAATATTTTTAGATATAGTCGTTTGATTTAATGATATTTATAATTTTATTTCATATTTATATGTATATGTGTGTGTATTTTTACAAGTTAGAAAAAAAATTAATAATATTCTAGGATACTACGAAGTACATGAAATCGTGTTGTCAAAGGGGTTGTAGATTTTTTAATTTAGTCGATCTCAGTCAAGGATTTATAAGTGATGGTTTCAATGGAACGGCAATTGTGGCTTGTGAAGCATGTAAGATTTTTTTATATTTTTTTTTATATATATAAATAAGAACGTTAATATTAAAAATTACTTTTATTTTTAGCATGTTCAGAAGCTTACACAGTAATCCAGGATCGTAATGCATGTAAAGCAGGATGTAATTACATGGCAAAACAACGGATCTCTGATTTATTGTCCCTTTTTTCTGTGGCTATTTATGTTGAAGAAAATGTTGGCGTCGATTCCAATGCTTTAATAATGCCTCCTGAAATACCGGAAAGTGATATTTTAACTGATCCCAGCTTAAGAAAAGAACTACTTCCTGGCTGGTGGGATTCTGATGGATTTAAATTGCCTCAAACTTTTGTCAAAACAGTTCCAATGGATTCTGGGGTAAATATATATATATATAAAGAATATTAAAATAAATAGATATATATTTAATAATAATTTTTAAATATTTTGAAAATCAAATAGACTGTAGATTATGGAATTCCATCTGATTATTCTGGTGAAAATGAACAATCTGTATCATTACCTGGTTCCGATTGGTTACAATGTGCATCACGTCACACTGGAATTCCACGTTGGTTATTGGGTTCTGCAATTGTTGGAGCTGCACTTTCAATTCTTTGGCTTTGTTTATTTCCCAAGGAACAAAGTGAATTTGACATTGGCATCAAAGAGACTGACACTGAAAAGCAAAATCTTCCAAGTAAAATGATGGTCTATATTCCAGATGAGGCACCATTATACCAAAGTCCACCACCTAAGTACAGTGATTTAAAGGTTTAAAAAATAGAAATGAGGTATTTTAATTTCTTTATAATTATTTTAAAATAAATTTTTTTTTTATGTAAGTCTGGAAATCAAAAACAAATTTCAACAAAAAATATTTCAGTATATATATTTAAGATAATTTAGTCACTTAAAAGAATATTATTAATTAAGATTAAGACATACCCAAAATTATAACAGCGTCAAAATACAATTTTTTTATTCTTATAACTCAAGTTCATAATTAAGAAAATTTTTCTTTGAAATTTAATAATTGCTTATGCTAATTTATTAATTTCAGATTGAATAAAATCAAATTATCTCTTTTTTCTTGCTTAACATCAACATTAAATTCTTGCTTTCTCATAGAGGAAGTAATATAAAAAATTATCGAATTTTCAATGTTTTTTTGATCTCATTGAAAACAAAGTTGAACACCTACAAGTGTTTTTCTTTAATTTTTTTTTTGTAATTCTGTCATATTATAGAGAATTAATATAAAACTTTTTCCACCCCCAAATAAAAAAACCTCTATGAGGAAGTAAAATATATATAAAAAAAAATTTTTACTTCAACTTGGCAGTGCTTTTTGCAATTTTTACTAAATACTTATTGTGTATTTTGATGCACTGATATACAGTGAAAATAATAGTGACAATTATTGACGTATATTTTATTTTTTATGATAAAATCCATAAAAAAAACATGTCATAACCAAAAAAAAAAAAATAATAATTGTTTTGATATAAACTTCTTATAGGTATATATAATATTTCAACATTTTTAATCAAAAATGTTATATTTTTTTCTAAAAATATGAGAGTAATTTATATTTGCTAATTAATGATAAATTCTGGCTATCGTATTTACTATATATAAATTATTATCCTATATAAGAAATACTTCAGGATTGAGTTACAAATTTTTTTTTGAGAAAAAAAGAACATATAATGTTTTTAAACTCAAAAAAAAAAAAAAAATATACTATACATTTTTTCTAAATATATGTACGTATTTATAAGAATTTGAAAGAATATTAATTAATTAATGAATATTAATTTATATTAAATATTATTAGGAGCTTGTATAAGGAATTTTTGAAAAAACAGGGAGATATGTACGTGTATTAATTTATATACTCGTATATAAATCATATATGTTATATCTAATCTATTTGAAATGTTTCGCTTTTTTACAATACAATATTCGATATAACTCCAATAATTAAAAATTATATTATTTATTTCTCAAATGAAGTGATCATGTCATTATAGTACAACGAACGCAAAATTTTTCTGTTAAAATCAACAAAAAAAAAAAATAATAATAATTAATAACTTGTGCTCAAGAAATTACAACTTGAATGATATTTAAAAAATGTTGTTCAAAGAAAAAAAAATTGTGAATATCTTGGCAAAATTTAAAAAAGTTTACTTCACTTGAGTTTTTGTCTTTTGTTTTGAGAAAACATAAGATAAAGAAAAATATTCTTTTTTCTTATTTAAAAAATATTGATGAATGCAATTTTACCATTTGCGTGTTTATCGTTGAGTGGTAGAAGTTATGAGACTGTTAAAAAAGTCATTTTTATTTTAAATCTATCAAATTTGCTGTCGAGTAAAAAAATAGATATTTAGCTATATTCAAAATGTGAACCAAAAATTATTTTTCACATTCGGAAATATATCTAAAACAAATAAAGTATGTATTTGTCTTTACTATTAGGTGTGTTTTTCAAAGTCGTTTCTTGTGATATTTAGATATTAGATAATGTTAGACTCACAGTGCGTGTGTATATTATAAGTTTTACGACTTCAAAAAACATTAAAAAAAAGAAAAAAAAAAACCAAAGCGTCTGATTCCTTATCTTATAGAATTTGCTGAGAGCATATTTCTCTTGGTATTGTAAACACGATGAAAAAAATAATAGAAATGTTATTAAATAATTTATTGCTTTCTTCATTATTTCTCACCAAAAAAAAAACTCTGGTTTATATATAATAAATATCATTTATTATCAGGATAATTTTTTTTTTTATATAAAACCAGCCAGTTTTAACACTTGTAAATTTATACTGTCTTTATACATAACTATATTTAAAAACTCACATGATAATAACACTTGACGTTGAGAATCTATTTTTTTATAATTATTTGCATCAGAATAATTTACTAATAATTAAATAATTTTTTTTAAATAAAATTAAATATTAAATACATTTATAGTATCATTTAAAACAAAACAATATAACATTAATATTGTTTTTCTTTTTGTTACTGTAAATCACTTAAACTATTAGAAAATAATTAAACATTTTTTTTTAATTATATCATTAAAAAATTGATAATCTACTTATAGCCAGTAAAGTTTTGGATCGTCCCTTCGAACTTGGAGTTTTAAAACATGTCTATAAATTTTTAACGCTGGACCCAGGAGCAAATCTAATCGATTAAGAACATCGGATCTCTTCATCATTAAAAGAGAATGTCCGTCTATGTCCTGAAAAAAAATTAAATGTCAAAAAAAACATGTTTCTTAAAAAATTTTCATCTTTATTAATATTACATACCTGATGTCTAAAAATTTCTGCCTCCTTTGGAAATAGTCGGGCAAAATATTGATAAACTTGCTCTGACGTCCAATCGGAAGCATCGGGTATATTTGGATCGATTCCATCACCAGAAATATCGTCCTCCATGTGATTAGGAGATGATCGATTTGGAGAAACTTGTGGACTAAGAACTGGTGGTAGTACTGTTGTATTATTTGGTGATTCCGAACGATTTGTTATTAAACCAATACTTTGGCTTAATGTTGATTTAAAATTCTTTTGCGTACAATCGTTACAATGCCATTTTGAATTTGATTTATTGATTCGCGGTGAATGACAAAATGAATGATATGCATCGTCACAATTATAACAACTTATCAGAGGTCCCTGTAGAAATAATAAAAAAAATTAATTTTGAGGTTAGAAATACACAATTATGTTTCTAGTTTAATTTTGCTATTTTAATTGATAAAATTAATTATATCGTAAAAAAGGTATTTTTTCTCATATGCTTAGAATGTATAATTACATGAAGTTTTTTTTTTATAATTAACAATTAAAGTAAAACTTACTGCGTCGGATGTTTCACAGCAGATGACACAACTTTTGCATCGTTCACATTGCCAACTGCTACCGGATTTGTGGTGCAAAACATCGGAGGTATAGACACAAGACGGATGCGCTGAAAGAAATTAAATTTTTAAAACAAATTATCAATCAATTGTCTAAAAATTTGAAAGCCTCATAATTTCAAAAGGTCGGATATTGAATATTTTAAATTCGAAATAATAATCACTGAAAAGTTTAAATTCACCATTTAAATTTTTTGTTCTTTTTTTTTTTTTTTTTTTGTTAATAAATACATACCTCTTACTGTACAATCACGACAAGCAATAAGAGATTCCTGTTTTTCTTTAGAGCATAAACTACATTGCCTGTTTGGTCCATCTTTCGCGATAGGTTTCAATGATTCTTGAGAATCTTGAGATGTTGTCATAGTTTTATTTTGTGACGTTGGTTGCCTTCCTCTTTTTCTTTTAACCAAATTATTGTCTGACGGATCGAATACTTTCTTCGCACGCTGAAAATACATATTTTATGGATGTCAAACGTAATTTAAAATTATTCTTTTAGTTTAATTAATTTTGTTCAAAAGTTTAGAAAAAAAAACGTATATAATAATATATACAATGCAAACTTTTAAAAAAATAAAACAATAACAATCTACTGAAAAAAAGGATAATTTAACAAAATTCTAAATAAAACAAAACTTATGAAAGTTGAAATCTTATATTTTTATTTAGAAATAAATTAATTTTATTTACGTGATTATCATACCTGATCTCAATCTCTCGTCAAAATACTCGATTCAATTTAAATTAAAAATTCCATTATTTTAGTTTAAGCCTGATTAAGGGGAAGAATAATATTATTATGGATTTCAACTTTCAATTCCGACAATTCAAAATTAGAGGCATTCAAATAATAATAATAATAAAACAATAGTAAATAAAAGAAAACAAATGAGGTCATCATACTTGCTACCAAATTAATAACAATAAAAATGTTTGAAATTATAAACATACCTTTCTACGTGCACTTCGAAAAGCTCCAGCATTAGCATTAGAAGGTGTTGGTGAAGGATTAGTGGAACTTCGACCCGCATCCTCCTCATCGCGATCCTCGCTAAGATGACCATTTTCATCTCTTCTTTCCTTTTCAACATAATCCTTTATATTTTTATTATATTCATCATATTTAATTTCAATATCAGCTGTGTCATCTGTTCGCACACATAATTTCTGCTTACGTTCAACTTTTCCTATTTTTTTGAGGTTAAGATTTTGAGTATCAAGTTTTTGTTCCTCTTGAATATCTGAAGTTGATGATGAACTTGGCAATGGTGTTTTCTCCTTTTTTTCTCTATCCTCCAATTGTTGTTGTTCATCTTTTTTTGTTGGTGTATTATTTCCAATTTCATAATAATCATCTTTATTTTTACCTTGTTCAGATTTGGGACTTGCCTGCCGCGATGATCTTGGTGTATTTGACAATGAATCAGGCATTGTCATATCATCTGCTTCATCAAAATCATAAGGACTTGTAATTGATGATGTACTTGTTGTTGGTTCTTTATTATTTTTAACACTACCACTACCATTTTCCATGATTGTATCTTGTCGTAAGTCAGTTGTCGCGACCAATGAATAATTTCCATTCGCAAGTCGCGTTAAATTTCCACTAGCAGTTTCTTTATTGAGAAAATCTTCAACCATACGTCGTGATGTTGGATTTGATATTCCATCTAATAATTGTTCAACTAATCTAAATGCAGGCACACCCTGATCAAGATAATCTGGTTCCTCCACTACTAATTCAGCAACGGCGCCAGCGACCATTGCCGAGTTAAGTTTATCTTTCACAAAACCCTCGGGTCTGTTTTTATAGAGTTGAAGGCGTGACCATTTAGAGGCATTACGGTAACTTGTATTTCCCTTATAATCAACCTGTATTACTTTTTCCGCTTCTATCAATTTATGAAGGTCAGCAATTGTGTCACGTGCATCAACTGAGAATTTTCGTAATAAATAATTACAAATTCTATCAGCATCGGGACGAGCTTTTCTTCTTCGTAATTGATCTATTGCTTCCAAAATTTGTTCCTCATGTAGGATATGAGTCTCCACCCTATGTTGCTGCATTACCAGTACAGTTTTTTTTTAAGGTGTCACTTTCTAATTACGCTTTGAGCGAACTCGATTCTTTTTTCACCTATGTAAAATATTTTAAAAACCAATTTTTTTAATTAGCAAAAAATTACTATCGTATGATAAAATAATTTAGAAAAAAATTTTACATTTAGAAGAGACTAATCTTTTTAGGGTGCCGCAGTTTATGAACACGTACGTATTGTCTATATATATATGTATGTATATACATATATATTCTAACATATATAATTTCGATAAATATTTTGATCAATAAATATTAAAAAGAAATTTTCTATCTATTAATTCACGTGTATATTACAGTTAGTTATTAAAAACAAAGTACTAAAAATTTAAATTAAACGCGATTTTGGCGGGTAAATTCAAAATTTAGACTCCATTTTGAATCATATACAAAACTGCATTTTTTAAGAAAATATAAATCGATATTAAATCTAAATACGCATATATTTATAACTACTGAATCTAAATAAGAATAATTTAAGAATATTCTTTTTTACTTATATTAATCAAAAACAACAAAAGAATATTTTTTTGCCCCCCAAAAAATGATGAATAAAAAATTTAACCTATATTTCAAAATAAAATATTATAATGGGTCTTACACAGCTTCCCAAAGGAGAAAAATTTAGGTAAATATTCCACACTTTTAAAACAATAATATATGTAAGTAACAAAAGTTTTAATTGTAATGATAAGATAATTAAGATTTATAATGTAAATGATAATATCGGAAAAGCAGATTTTAATTGCACTTTTATTATTCTTTTTTTTTTAAATTCTCTATCCCTTAAGCCTCAGTGCATACGCACAATCTCACTTTCACCATCAGAAACTAATTTTCTACACTGTTATGAGGTTTCTACACGTAGTCAATAGCTATAACTTTTCTATTTTATTTTCTGTAATTACTGCGCTTTTTTAATAACTAGTTGATGCAAATTTTTTTTAAATATGTTTTATTGGTTATTTTTCGTCGCGGTATTGCGTCTATACAAATATATAAAGATCTGAATCACCGGAAAGCACGAAACGTCCCTGCAGTGTTGTAAATTGAATATAGAAACATAATCTTACGTGTCCAGAGGAGATTGGATTTTCTTGAAAAAAAACAACAAAAAAAAACAAACATAAAATATTTTCAAAAAACTCCGAAAGAACGTCAATAAATTATCTAAAATAACACGCGTGACATACGCCTACAAAGCGCGCTTTTTTCTTTTTCTTTCTTTTTATTTTCAACACCGCACAAGAGAGAGACGAATGAGCCTTCGTTTTGTTGCGCGACACTCGAACGACCCTTGAGCAATAAAAGATTTAATTTTCCGAGAAATGTAAGCGCACTTATTATTACACTCACTATTGAATACAGAAATTATTAAAGAATCAATTGCACTTACAAGCGATACAGTCCGTTATCTTTTTGAAAAGTAATTTTAATTAAAGTGAAGAGCTTGAAGAGCACCGGGCGGCGGCTGCGAAATTTTTGCGGGGCAGCGCTTTGAGGGCGCTGATGTTGCAGTAGCTTGCGCGCGCGCTTTATAATAGTTTTTTAATGAATTTTTAATTACCTATATTGTTTACTAATTAAAATTTAATTTTTCTAATAGATAGAAGTTATTTTAACACAAGATTCTTTTTTACTAACTTACAAAAAATATTTGAAATTTATTATTAAAACCTACACATTTAATTATTAAAATTTTATATTAGTTAGCCACTTACTGGAAATAATCGATATATATATTTTTTTTTCTCAAAGAAAATGAAAATATTTTAATTAATATACTTATTTATTTATATAAAAACATGAAATCAATTGAAATTCACATATAAAAAAAATTTAACAATTGTTTATCATTATAAAAAGTAAATAGTAAATATAAAAATGTAAAATAAATATAAGGCACCATATCTTATGAGAAATTTTCTTTTTCTGCTTCCATGTACTCATCACGGCGTCTCTGTGATTTTGTTATCTGTAAATAATAATCTATTATCAATCAATATTTATAATAAAGTTTTTTTTTTTTATATAAGCAAAAATAAAAAAAATTTAAAAGCAGTAAAATCAGATTTTTTTCACGAATATAATAAACTTACTAAGTTAAAACGTTTACATTTTAAATCCATCTTGTTGCTTGTTCTTAAAGGACTTTTAGGTAGTGAACTTGTTGATTTATTTGCAGAATTAAAATTTTTTTGTAAATTCGATGAGCTGGAATAACGTGAGGCATCGGAATATTTTGCTGATTTATTTAAATCATTCATTGATTTTCTTCTTTGTAATGTTGGAAGTGATGAAAATTTTGGAATTGCCGATGGTGTTCGGGGAGGTTTTAAAACTTTTGGTGTACTCGCTCTTTTTGGTGACGATGTATTTAGTTTGTTTCTAAAAAAAAAGGGAACGCATAATGAATAATATAAAAAAAATGATAAATTACCTGAAAAATAATTATTACGTACTTTTGTGGACTTTCCTTGGAGGCCAATTTTTCAAGATTCGATTTCACAAATGGCGAAACAGGTGAAATATTACATGAAAGTTTACTACGACGTGGCGATTTGGGTTTTATTATTGTATTTTTTTGTTCTTTACTATCTGGGGTGGACGATGCAACTGGTTTGGATTTTGATTTTTTGAAAAGTGATGATAACGATGAATTAGGTGTACTTGTAGGGACATGAAGAGTAGATTTTTCAGGTGATGTTCTTATAGAAGTTTCAAGTTCAGAAGAACTTTTTTTAACAAATGAACCTTAAAGACAAAAAAAAAAAGTTATACGTATTTAAGAAAGCAATAAAAACTTTCACTTAAAAAATTTTTACCTCTTCTTTGTAGATTTCCAAAAGGTATTGTAGCTTTCATTGGCCCTTTTTTAGTAACAACAGATTCAGATTTGCATTTTAATTTATTTCTCATTGCACTCGTCACATTTGAAAGTGTACTCTTTTTTGTTTCTGTTACTGTTACAATTTTCTCACTAACTTCTGTATATTAATTTTTAAATTAGATTAATAAATAGAATCAGAAAAAGAATGCAAAAATTATTAATTTACAAACCTTTGATGGAAATCTTCTTCATACTTTGTACGGTAGAAGAAGTTTGATTCGAAGAAGTTCCAAATGAAGAGTTGAAATCATTATTATCACTTGAAAATCTTTTTCGTACACCTCCGGTTTGTGATTGTCCCTGTTCTTTAGGTGATTGTGGTGTTTTCCTAATCATTTGTTTTTCAGGAAAATTACCAGGATCTAATTTTTTAATCGGCGTTTTAACCTGAAAAAATTTCTATTAAACTACTGTTTTCCAATGAGAAAATTTAATTAAAATAAACTCACTTTTGAAGGTGAATCACGTTTTGAAAACGATTTAATAAATTCACTTTTGCCTTTCTTGATTACAAAGGAAGATTTTCTCATAAGATTATCCTTTACATTTAATCCAATGGATTTATTTTCTTCTGGTTCAATATCTTTAATTTCCTCGAGTTTTGTTTCTAAATTAATATTCTCCGTTTCTTCATTATTAACATTATCATTTTTATCGATCTGTACATTATCCTTTGCATTTTGTAAATAAACATTTAATAAATCTGTATTATTTTCCCATTTGACACCTAAAACTTTTTCAAGATCATTCAATAATTTTTCTGCATCTGGATTCTTTTCGGTTTTAATTAATTTCTCGAGTTCTAATAATAGAGATGTGACGACAATTTTTTTATCTGGATCCACAGGTTGTGTAAATTCCATTTCTATTTCTTTTATTTTATTAATTTCATTATCAGTTTTATTAATTTGTTGATTTTCGTTTTTTGTTTCTAGAGAATTCTCAGGCACATCTGCTGATTTTAATGGTGATACGGGTAAATCAATGAGATTAACTTCAACTTCATCATCAGAATCGGGTAAGTTATCAAAATTAAATTCTGTATTACTAGATAGAAGATCAAATCCACTTGCTATGAAAAGAAAAATAATTATAAATTTTTTATTTATAAAAAAGTAAATTATAAATATAAAAATAAACACTTACAATTTGACTTGTCCTCTGCCATTTCCTCAAAAGTTTTGGCAATTTTTCTAGCTTCGCTTAAAATTGATTTATCCATAATACTTCTCTGTAAGAAAAAAAGGAAATTAATTATTTCTTCACAAGAAATTTAATTATAAAAAAGGTAAATTTAATTCTTACTGTAAATACAGAATCGGAAGAACTATCTGATATTGAGTCTTTACTTTTGGAAGATTTAGAATCGTTCGAGGGAATAAAAACTTCAACGTCAATTAATTTTTCTTCTCTTTGATTAATTTCAAATTTATTCTCATTGATAGAGATTTTTTCTATACACTGATCATTGGAATTGGATTCCTTATTTTTTGATATTTCTGTATCTTCAAATTCACTAGAACTATGAGATAATTTCATTTTCAATGCTTCAAATTTATTTCGTAAATCCGAGATATCGCTGTATACATTTTTTGAAACATTCACTGGTGATTGAATGATATTTGGTAAAATTTGCGAAGTAGATGAAATTGAACCACTTTTCATAAAAGCTTGATTCATTGTTCCATTTGATAGAAATGAAAGAGAAGAATTATAAGTCGATGAAATGGAATTTAAACGTGTTATTTCGGAAATATTGGATAAATCAGAAAAAACAGAATTATCAATATTTGATTGTTCTTGTAGAAAAGCTTTATTCATTTCATCATCATATTCCATAGAACCAACGCTTGATATTGTACTTCTTTCACTTCTATTTGGTTTTCTTTTACCATTCGTTACTGATAATGTTCTTTGTTTATAATTGAAATTTTTTGGTGAAAGTTTATCACCTTGTGAATGACAGCGTTTTGCTTTTAATAATGATAATTGTTTATTATTGCCTAAAGTGCCTTCTGCTTCCATAATACCTTTTTGAATACAAAGAGAAACTCTTTTAGCAACAAGTGATCGAATTTCAGTTTCTTTAAAATTAACACTTGACTCAATTAGTGAATCATTCATTGCTGAATAATTCAATGTTGATGAATTTAAAGGGCTAGTTGGTTGTATAAAAATTTCAGGTACATTTTCCATATCATTGTTTCTCACTTTTAATAAGTCACTAGAATTAAATTTTTCCCTTATACTATTATCAATAACAGAATTATAAATATTGAAATCATTATCTAATACTGAATCATCCAAAGTTTTGTTTAATTTTAAAACATTAGTATGTTTTTTGTGTTTTGGTATAAAATCATCCTTGAATTCAATAGAATTGCATTTCGATTTTTTACTATCATTAACATTTTCCAAAACCAATTCAAATGGATCTTCTTTTTTGCGAACATACTCTGTTGTTTCTTCAAAAACTTTGTCAAATGGATTATTATCAAAACTATCACGCTTCTCATCTAGAAAATGTAAGAAAATTAAATTTTAATTTATCAAATTTTCAATACAAAAATTATGATAATTTAATTAATAACAAATTAATTTGATTATTCAAATATTTTTTTAAAAAAATTTAAATAACAAATTTTACCTGACATTAAGTTTGGTAAGCCGTTTGTGTTTGAGGTGAGATCATCTTTTTCAGTTCGTGCAGGAGGTGGAATTAATGGAGAAGCGAGTTTTCTTCTTAACACTTTATCAGTATCGGGACTATTTAGATCAATTAGATCGCTCATATTTATTTTTATTAATTAAAGATGAAGAACTATTTTCAAATCTTTGCTAAATGTTGAAAATCGTATAAAATATTCATACCGAAAACGATTATAAACAATATACTATTTACGCATATCAAATATATGTTATTTACAAATAATCGCACAGTCTTTGAAAGTAACTTTATTAATAAATAATGCAAATATAACTAATAAATCAGTTGTAAACGTTGTAAATACATGTTCAGACACACAACGGTTAGAAACTTACTGCTATACTCCAAAAATCAAGGTTAGCTTTTTAAATTGCGATCGCAGTGCCCTCTTTATTTATTAAATTCAAAATTCATTTATTTCCCACATAATTTTAAAATAATATTAAAATAATCTTTATATAAATAATTTGAAATTCAAAATAATAATAACATTTCCTTTTTTTCAAATAAAAATAGATTGAAATATTTTATAAAATAATGAAAGGATCTAAGTGAATTAAATTCCTTTTTAAAATAACGAAGTCAACTTTAATCTCTGCACAGAAATAACGTATGTACAAATTAGAATACTTTAAAAACTTTGTTTTTTCTAATATTCGACATTATGCATAACAGTTTCATACAATTTTCAATAAATGCGCTCTTTGAAGTTTTAATAAACTTCATTAAAAGCGCATTTATTTCCTATAGGAATACATGATAAATTTTTTTTTATATATATTATACACACTATAATTTTATATGAAATAATTAAAGAATTACCCAAGGGTACTTTTTTTTATAATTTAAACTTGAAGTATGCAAAATAAGTATTGACTTTTTTTTTTATTCTAAAAATACTCTACAATGGGCATTTCGTTTTTGATACATTGTACAAAATTGAAATGTTTCATTTTAAAAATGATAAAAATCTTCGTACAAGACTAGACTTTATAAAGGGGGGGAGGAAATGAAAACTAGTAGAAAAGGACAATAATTAAGGGACTATGCAAAAAAAAAAAGAACAAATACTATTTTTATCTTTATAAGTACTTGACGCCTATTCCAAATTGAAATTGTGTCAAAATATCGCTCCTTGAAAATAAAAGTGGCATAATTACATTTAATTCTATCCTCGCGATATTCCCTAAAATCATTGCGATACCACAACCCATTGAACAGCGAACATTGTCTGTAAAAATTTTCAGGTACTCATCATAGTCGCTACCTGTAGGGAAAATAGAAATTTTTATAAAATTAAAATTATTTTTTAAAAAAATAAAGTAAAGTGATTGAACTTACCAGTTTTAATAAGTGCTAGGGTATTCAAATTACCACCATTAATAAAACCATGAAGTTTCACAAATTCAGCAAAACTTGGTCGAAATGGAAGTGGCGTATATAAATGTAATGCTGATGCCCAAAAAATATCGCCACCCACAGCATTACCATTTTTTTGTGGTCCACAACCTCTCATTTCAAAACCACGAAGACTTAATGGTCCACCAAGGAAAAATTGATCTACTATATTTATTTGAAGATCATTGCTAATACCTCGCAAAAATCCAGATTGAACGCCCAATTGGAATGTCTGTAAATTGTTTTAGAGTTATTAATATTCCAAATAGTAAAAACTTACTTTTTCTTTCAACTTACAAAATAATCGAAGAGTGTCCAATTGGTTTGTAGATTTAATTCATTTTTCACAAATCCAATATTACCACCGAGGCCAGCAAATTCTGTTGTCAATTCAATAAGTGAACCTTTAGTGGGAAATAAACTGGCATCACGTTTATCAATTGAAAAAATATGCCTCACTGATGATTTTAATGTTGGACCACATTGTTCACGTACTTGAAATGCCGCTTGCTTTGATGCAGTAACATTTCTAACATCCGCTTCATATTGAAAATTATGTGTAATATTGTCACGTTTACCCTGTGTTAATGCGAGATTTATTAAAAATCCCATATTACTTAATTTATATCCAGACCATGGAAAATCACTTGATGTTCTAAATACACTTGTCGTCAAACTAAAAGGAAAATTAAAAATAATTTCATTAAAAAATTTATAAAATATCTCATGTATAAAGAAATAAAATTCTTACACTTTTTGATGTCTACTATCAAAAAATGGTTTAATTGCCGAAATATTAATTTGATTTGATTTTGTTCCATATGAATATTGAGCATTAATACGTTCGCCTCTTCCAAACATATTTGGTGTCTCGGTGGTAATTGTCACTGAACCCTCATTAGTTCCAACTGATGTATTCACTGAACCTCTGAGTCTTCTAAGTTCATTGACAGTGAATGTAACCTAAATAAATTTTTGTTAATTATTTCCTCTTAGAATAATTTTAATTAAAAAAAATTTTTTTTTAAATAACAAAAATTTACTTCTATTCCATCTGGTGTGGCATCTGGTCCTCGACTTGTGTCAATAAGAGTGTCGATATTTTTAAAACATCCTAAAGATTCTAGCCTCCTTCGAACATTATATGTATGTTGAAGTACATCATCGAAATTTTTAGCTTTAAAAAGATCTTTTACTTGTAATTTTACTATATCATCTTTAGTACGCACTAGTCCATCCACGTGTACTTTATCAACACGAACCTATACATATTATTTAACATTAGCTTTATATAATTAAAATTAAATAAATAAAAAGTTAAATTATTTACCTTAACATCTGATAAATTTGCAACTTCTTTAGCTTTCGTAGGCTGTTGAGATTTTTTATAATACATCTAGAAGAAAAAAATGTCAATTAAAAAGAAGAATTTAAATGATTTAGAATTTAGATCAAAAAAACATACGTCTTCGTAACCTAAATTTGGATTTTTGCTTTTTATATCCGAATCCAATATATCTGCTTTAGGTTCCTGAAAAATATATAAAATTTTTTTAATTATATGCAAAGTGGAAATTTATTCAATCATATGTTAAATTTATTAACTATTATTAATAGAAGAATAAATAATTAAAGTTAGCGAAAAATACTGATATTTTAAGATTTAAGTGAATAAGGTATTATTAGAAATTACGTTAACTTTAAAAAGAAAACCATAAAATAATTTTAGAGAGGTTATACAATGTGGATTGCATCAATATTTACCTTGGCTTGAACGGTGCCCATTTCTTTTCTAATTAAAAAAATTATCGTATTTTTATTTGATATTATTCTATAATAACGATCAATTTAGGATTTTTGTGCATAAATAAACGAAATTTAGTAAGATATTTTTTTTTTTTTAAAGCAAACAAATGAGGTCGACTGGCCGAACCGGCACTCTCATTCTTTACCGACATGAATGGATAAGTCAGTTTCTCCATAACAGTTCTATTTTTAAAAACTAGTTAGCGCTGTGAAAATTTATAGTTGTTAAAAACATGGCGGTAACAGTATCACCAAAAGACGTTGGCACGTTTTTAAGTCAAAAACAAAATGTTTCGGATAAAGAACTCGCTGGAGAATGGGCACAATTGGAAGAACTTTACAACAAAAGGTAAATTATCAAAAAAAATAATGAATTTCATTTTTTATTACTTAGAAAATAATTGATAATAATATCACAAATGGTCCGGTGACTTGCAGACTTTGGCATCAGCTGACGCTTAAATTAGAGACTTTTGTCAAGCATCCAGCTTTACAGAAAGAAGATAATTTGGTGCAACTTTATAATAATTTCTTATCAACATTTGAAAATAAGTAAGTTGTTTTTCTTTTAATTATGTAAATTATTGCACCATAACCTATATTTCGAATCCTATCTATCATGACTTGCTCATTATAAAAAATTTCTTTTTCAGAATCAATCCACTTTCATTAGTTGAGATTTTAGTTCATGTAATAGCACAATTCCCAGATAAACAAGAAGCAATAACATTTTTGGAAAAAACTGAGGTTAAAGTAAAAAATAATAATGAAGCATTGTCATTGTGTAAAGTACTTGCGGGACAAATTTTACTCGATATTCTTAATGATCAAGATAGGGCAAAAAAAATTATTGAAGATGTTGAAGCAATGCTCGATAATGCCGATGGAATAACTTCAGTTCATGGGAGATTTTATCTTTTAGCTAGCCGTCTTTATCGACTACAGGGAAAACATGCTGAATATTATCGTACCGCCTTAAGGTATTTAAAGTTTATTTTTTTAATAATAAAATTCTCTTTATTTTCTATGTGAATAATTTATAATTTTCAATTTTAAATGCAGATATTTAGGTTGCATTGAATTGAATACATTAAGCAAAGCCGAACAGGAGCAACATGCATTTTTCTTAGGTCTCGCTGCACTTTTAGGAGAAGGTGTCTATAATCTTGGTGAATTATTGGCACATCCTATTTTGGAATCATTAAAAGATACAGTTAATTCATGGCTTGTTGATTTATTACAAGCATTTAATGCCGGCGATATTGCTGCTTTAGAAAAATTAAAACCACAATGGAGTAAAGTTGCCGATCTTGCAGCTCAGGAATTAAAATTGAGACAAAAAATTTCCCTCCTGTGTCTCATGGAAATGACTTTTAAACGACAAGCCAATAATCGGTATTAAAAATTATTTAATTGAATTATTCCATCTTTTAAGTTTATCGTCATTTCTAAATTTATCTTTTTTTTAGACAACTAACATTTACTGAAATATCACAAGAAACTCGTTTACCAATCGGTGAAGTCGAACTTTTAGTTATGAAAGCACTGGCTCAGGGATTAGTTCGAGGTGCAATTGATCAAGTCGCTGGGACAGTGAATATGACTTGGGTACAACCACGTGTTTTGGATCGAACTCAAATTACAGGAATGGTACAACGACTCGATGGCTGGTGTAAAGACGTGAACACCATGGAAAATCTTTTGGAAACCCGGGCCAACGAAATACTTACACTATAAAAAGAAAAAAAAAAAAATTCTTTTCATCGTTTATTGAAAATTTTGTGTTTTGTTTATTTCAATTTACGCGACATACGTCCATTTTTTTTCTCAGTATGAATGAAATGCAGTACAGTTTTCAATCATATAAAATTTGTCAAACGCCTCACTGAATGAATGTTTAACTTAATTTTCAATATTAAAGAAAAATATATATAAATTTAACAACGTTTATCACAATAATCTTTAAAAATAAAATTTTCAACAAAAATTTATTTTTTCTCGTTATTATTCATAATTATCCAATTAACATATTAAATAATTAATATATTTTGAAAAAGAGAAATTTAAATTCAAGAAAATTAGAACAGCGCCAGTGTCGATATTTGTAACTAAAAAATCATTTTGACAACACTATCCTTTGTTGTTCTCGTATTTTGTGTAGGAAATATTTTGAAAATTAAAAAGAATGATAAATTTATTTACCTGATTATTTGATTCTTTTAATTAGAACTTTATTGTGAGTAATTTACTTTTCATTCATATTATTAATGTTATTATTGCGTATATTTATTTATTTCTATTTCTAACCTCTCTTTTATTGTATTTGTGTATATATTTAATGGTAAAAAAAAGTAGATTAAAAATAATTTATTTTCCCATTTATAATTAAATAGATTAATTTTCATTATTTATTTTTATAAATTTACATCAAGTTCTTATTTTAATTTAGTTATCTTTATGACTCATATATAAAGGAATCCCCCTTTTTTTTTGTTATTATATTGCGAAATTTTATAATAAATTTTTTTTTTTTAGGTATTAAAAAATGTCTTCCAGATAAATTGATAAATAAATTTTCTACAATAAATTTCTTCAATTTATTGATTAAATAATTTTCAAATAAACCAATGAAAGGAACAAAAAAACGGAGAAATGAAAAATATATTGTTATTCGCGATAATTCAATTAGTGTTGGTTTTAGCTAGTAATTCATTACTAGTAACTGGACCTATGTTACCACCAATTATTGATGAAACAGCAACTTATAATCATACATATAAAGAATCTTTGAATTCAACTATTGAATATATATTTGTTTACAAATCAAATGTGAGTATTTTTTTTTTAATTACTGTGATAATAAATAATAATTTTTTTGTTATTATATTTTAGAATGACACATTGGAAGGAGCTCGCATTACAGTTGAAAGTAATGCAACGACTGATTTTCCATTAATTGTAGTTGTTAAACAAAAAAGTGGAATTTTGTCATGGCAAATTCCTCTTTTAGATTATAAAACAACTAGTCGTACTTTATGTTCTTTAAAAACAAATTCAACAAGTGAAGAAGAATTTGTTACCGTTAGTCTTTCGACTTCAAGTCCGGAAAATATAACATTTTCATTGACATTAGTTTCTGTGACAGATTTTCGAATTAAGTATGTATTATCTATAATTTTCATTTTCTTTATAAATTTTTACTAAATTTCTTTTTCTTTCCAGAGACAAAGAGCAAAGAAATAATATAACAGTTTCACCGTCAGAACCAATTTATTATTTTTATTATCCTGATGAAGAAAGAAAAAATAAGTCTGTCATTGTTCATATAACATCGGAAAGCGAGATTTGCATGACTTTTTCAATTCAAAATACATCGGTATGGTAAATATAAATTTTTGTAATGTAAATTACGTTTTAAAATGATTTTCTTTTTTTTTTAGTGTCCAGTATTTGATTTGGAGAGAAATATTCAATTTTCCGGATTCTGGCAGACTGTCAGTAAACAAGGTGGAATTACTGTTCCCGTATGTATATGGAAAAAATTATTTTTAAATCGAAACAAAAAATTTATTATTGAATTTCAAATTTCTTTTTTATTTTTTAGAATGAAGACTATCCACTTGGTTTTTTTATAGTATTAGTAGTGAAAGGTGATGATCAGGATTGTACTGGCGTTCAAGGTATAATTACACCGAGGAAAAAAATTATTAACTTGACAATAACGCCTAGTGTATCAAAATGGGATTACTATGTTGCGTCTTTTATAGTCGCTGGTATTGGTGCTGGCTTTTTTTTAATTTATTTTTTAGGGTCAATTTTTTATAAAATTAGAGAAGGTCGAGCCATACAAGATGAACAATCGCTAAATGATCAACATGAAGATTTACCTAATCTTTATCTTCCAAGTCCTTCCGCTGTAGACGAGGTATACATTTTTTTTTTTTTGAAATAATTAATTTTTTTAAAAAAGAATACAAAAAAATTTGTATTATTATCTAATATTGAATTTAAATAATTTTAGATAGATCCTAATCAATGGAGCGTTCAAGAGGATTCATCGCTCGATGAAGATGATATTGATTTAATGGAAGATGCTCTCTCCGATAAGGAAGTAGTACGAACGAAACTTGTTCTTTCCGTTTGTGATTTAGCACGAAAAGAACCAAAAATTCTAAGACATAAATCACGTCTTTATATATATTATCTTATAACAATTGCAACTTTTTACACATTACCAGTTATTCAATTGGTAATAACCGATCAACATGTGCTACATGTAACGGGAAATCAAGATCTTTGTTATTATAATTTTCTTTGTTCACATCCATTGGGTTTTCTTTCGGATTTCAATCATGTTTATTCGAATTTTGGTTATGTTCTACTTGGACTTTTATTTATTTTTTTAACATACTGGAGATCAAAGGGCAATGAGGATGAGACAAAATGTAAAAGTTATGGAATTCCACAACATTATGGATTATTTTATGCAATGGGAATTGCATTAATGATGGAAGGTGTACTTTCTGGAAGTTATCATGTTTGTCCTAATCATAGTAATTTTCAATTTGGTAAGTTGAATTATCAAGAAATTATTTTATTATGAAAAATTGATAATAATTTAATATAATTTTTTTTTTAGATACTAGTTTTATGTATATAATATCAGTTCTTTGTATGGTAAAAATTTATCATAATCGACATCCTGATATAAATGCAAGAGCGCCGATAACTTTTGGTGTATTGGCACTAACAATATTATTGGGACTTGTTGGTGTTCTCGATGGTTCACTAATATTTTGGATTATTTTTACAATTATTCATTTAATGGTTTGTTTGATTCTCACTGCTCAAGTTTATTATATGGGAAGATGGAAACTCGATGGAGGAGTTTTTCGTAGAGTTTTAATGGTAATTTTATAATTTCCCTTTAAAAAATAATTTTTTACAAATTATTTTTAAATAATTTCAATATTTAATATCTTTTTTCTTTTAGACAATGAAACATGATGCTCGAGCAGGTGTGAGATATTTAGTGAAACCGGTTTATCCTGCTCGGCTGTTAATTCTTATAATGGCAAATTTGGCTAATATTGGTTTAGCAATTTTTGGTAATATGCATCATGAGAAGGATTTTGCTACTTATTTACTTGCAGTCCTAATGTCGAATCTTATTTTATATACATTTTTCTATATTGCCATGAAGGTATGTATATTTTAATTTTAAATATAATTTTTTAATTTGTACTTATTTAATAATTTTTTTTTTCTTTTTTTCAGTTGTGTTATAAAGAAAGGATTCTCATTCAACCATTAATTTATATTATCCTCTCTTTTATAACTTGGTCAGCTGCTCTTTATTATTTCATAAACAAAACAATATCTTGGGCACTCACACCAGCGCAGTCGCGAATATATAATAGACCTTGTATTCTTTTTAATTTTTTCGATGGACACGATGTTTGGCATTTTTTATCGGCTTTAGCCATGTTTTTCTCGTTTATGGTCTTATTGACTCTAGACGATGATCTCGTCGATGTTCATCGTAGTCAGATTCCTGTTTTTTAATACAGAAAATTAGTGAGTTTCTGTAGAATTTTTTTTTTTTTTTATATTTTCTACGCCACTGTGATTATAAATTTAGTGTATTTTTGGATTAATGTTCTCATTTAAAATCGAATTAATTTTTACACAATTAATATTGTGAATTTTTTTTTAAATGAGATCACTCCAAGATACAATATATCCAAAGTGTATAAGAAAAATTAAAAAAAAGTAAATCATTGATAAATATTATTTTACAATGATTTACTCTATGGACTGATCTTATACATATATATAGAAAGAATGTTGTGATTTAAATTTTTCGCTAAATCTAATTACATCATTCATATCTTTATAATATTAAGTCATTTTTAAAAATGATTAATAATAATTAAATATAAAAATTATTTATCAAAATCATTTTGTTATTCAAATTTTGAAAATTTTCTCTTCTAAAGTATTTACGAAAAATTTTATTGTACATATTATTAGAATAATAGTATCAAGTATCTCATCATTTTTATCCTTGAGAGATATATTATGAATTAAAAAGCAATATTAATAAAGAAATTGTTATTGTTTTTTATTATCGAAAACAATGCAACTATAGACGTAAGTTTTGTGAATATAATGAAAGAGTACTAATTGCTTTTGGTACTTATTTAAAAGAACAAAAATATTTATTGGGTTAGTCAGTTAACAATAAGCTTTACTGTCAGTGTCGTTATTTTTTATATGCAGTCTTAATTTTTATTTTGAAAAAAATCAATTTTGAAGTTGATTTAAGTTTATTAAAAAAAAAAAATTGTTAAATAAGTTCTCTTTTGTGATAACATAATTCATTTAAAAAAAATTGTGAATATTATAACAATTGGATGATAAAAATAAGGTAGAAGTAATTGTTTAAAATTATACCACCTTTAATTTATATGCTTAATAAATGAAATAATACAATTTTCAGTAATAATGTAATAAAAGTTACATTAATTAATTATAAGATATTAAAAAAAGTGTTATTAAAAGTTTATAATAAAAGTGTTTAAAAAATGTTTAATCTAATTTTCATTTTCATTTACTTTTCTGTTGAAAATAATAAAAAAAAAATTGTGATTGAAAAATACAAGACAACAATTATAATTTAATAATCTATTAATGACTAATTTAATTTTCCAAATGAATTGTATTTTTTCAAGTTCACATAATTTTTAATTAGATTTAAATTGACCATGAATTATAATGAATGAACAAAGAATTCTTTTAAAGGAAGCTTCGGAAATGACGAATAATATATTATTTGTCACAATTATATTAACTATAATTGTGACTAAGGCTAATTTACAAAATAATTCAACATTGTCACCCATTGTTGTGGCAGCTAATTATAATGAACTTTATGAAGGAAGTGTGAATTCAAAAATTGATAACATTTTTGCATACAAAAGAAACGTTGTAAGATTTTTCATTATACTTTTTTTTTAGCTATTAATTTTAATTTTTTAAAATTAATTAATTTCATCAATTTCAGAATAATTTTTTGAAAAAAACACGAGTTATTGTCGAAAGTAATGCCACATTTAATTTTCCATTACATATAATTGTTAATCAAAAAAATCAAGTTTTTTCCTGGCAGATTCCATTATCGAGAAATTCAAATTATACCAATTCTAGTCGAACTTTATGTACATCAAATCAAAATTCGACAAATAATGAGGAAACTATTACAATTACTCTTTCAACATTAAGTAATTCTAAAGTCAGTTTTAAACTAAAATTACTAACTGTTGAAGATTTTCATATAAGGTAAAACAAGAATTCATAATTTTATTATTACTTTTTCAAATTAATTTATGAAAAAAAAAACTTTATGCAGAACTGGTGAAGTGAGAAAAAACATAAGGATAACACCCTCAGAACCAGCCTATTATAGTTATTCATTTGATGAAAAATCTGAAAGTAAATCTGTTATTGTTCAATTAATATCAGACAGTAAGACATGCATGATATTCTCTATTCAAAATAAATCAGTAAGTAAATACAAATAAAAAATTTTTTTTTGTTCTATAAAATATTTTAATTTTTTTACTTATCTTTCTTTTTAGTGTTCCATATTAGATGTTGAAAAAAATATAAAATATGCAGATTTGTGGCAGACTGTTAGTCATAAAGGTGCAATAACAGTGTCTGTAAGTATTTATAAATTTATCAGAAAAAGCAAAAATATATCAGCAAATAATAAAAGAAAATTAATATTTCAGAAAAATAATTTTCCAAATGGCTTTTTCATAGTACTTGTTGGAAAAACTGATGATTCCAACTGTTTTGAAGTTGAGCCAAGTAAAATGTTATTATCATTATCTAAACGTGAAAAATTTGTTACACTCACCATTAATTCAGGACATGTAAAAAATGATTATTTATTTGCCTGCATTTTATATATAAGTGCAATTCTAGGTTTTGTAATTATTTATATTGTCAGCTCTCTATTATATTATAAAAAATTTAAATATACAAAATATATACTAAATCAACAAGATGACTACACAATTGATTTAGATAAGGTATAATTAAAAATCAAAAATTTCAAATTTTCTTTTCTTCTTACTAATAATAATTAATTTTAGGTGGAAAATTTAATTACTGATAAAAAATTAACCAAAATTCAAGTTTTATGTGTTTCTGACTTATCAAAAAAAGAGCCTGTTGATCTTAGTGAAAGATCAAGACTTTATATGTATTATCTTGTGACTGTATCAGTATTTTATATTTTACCCGTTTTACAATTAGTAACAACAAATCAAATAAATGTTGAAGAAAGTGGAAATCAAGATATTTGTTATTATAATTTTTTTTGTGCACAACCATTTGGTTTTTTATCATCATTCAATAATGTCTTTTCAAATTTTGGATATACATTATTTGGAATTTTATTTATTATTATAACACGATTAAGAGAAAAATATAATGATATAAATAGACAAACTTTATATGGAATTCCTCAACATTATGGATTATATTATGCAATGGGAATTGCATTAGTAATGGAAGGTGTACTTTCAGCATGTTATCATATTTGCCCTAGTCATAATAATTTACAATTTGGTAAGATTAAAAAAAATAATTATTATTATCATTTTTAAAAGATAAATATAGAAATAAATTTTTTTTTTTCAGATACCAGTTTTATGTATATTATAACTGTTTTATGTATGGTGAAACTTTATCAAATTCGACATCCTGATACACATGCGAAAGCACCAGTGACTTTTGGTGTATTAGCATTAATAATATTACTTGCATTAATTGGAGTTATCGATAGTTCATTACCTTTTCGGATCATTTTCACTGTTATGCATTTAATATTTTTTTCTTATTTAATTGCAGAAGTTTATTCATTGGGTAGAAGACGATTTTTTGGAGGATATTTTAGTTCATTCTATTTTGTATGTTTCAAAATAATTATATAGTAATACTATATGAAATAATAAATTAAAAAACTCATTTTTTTTTGTTTCAGTCGATAAAATACGATTTTCATAAGATACGGGAAGAAGATTATAGTTTTTTCTATGTATTGAAATTTATGTTTTTTTTAATGGCACTTGCGTCAAATGTTAGTCTTGCAATTTACAGTAGTTTATTTTACAACAAAAATTTTAACATGTATCTACTTGGAATTTTGATGTTAAATCTTGTATTATATCTGATATTTTATTGTTTTATGAAGGTAAAATTTTTTTTATTTACTATTTATCAATTAATGAAAATTATTGTAAAAAAATATTGTATTTGTTTTATTTTAGTATTGTGCATACGAGAAGATTCTACTTCAACCATCAATTTTTATAATTCTTACGATATTAACCTGGTTTGGTGCTTTCTATTTTTATTTAATGCGTTCAACATCTTCGGATCTTAGTGCAGCTGAATCGAGAAATTACAATAAACCCTGTCTTGTTTTGAATTTTTTTGATAGTCACGATATTTGGCATTTTTTATCAGCACTAGCAATGTTTTTTTCATTTATGATTTTATTAACAATCGATGACGATCTCATCAATGTTCCTCGTAATCAAATTCCAGTTTTTTGATCATTTTTAAGACACTTGTTTTTTTTTTTTGTATATAATTGTATAGTAATTTAAATTGTATATTATTTTAAAAATCTAAAAATTTTTGTATGTAAAATATATAAAATTGGTTTACGAATATTAAAGCAGCTTTTTAATATAATACATGTACATTTATATGAATAAAGAATTTATGAAACACTCATCGTCTAAAAATAAATATGTAATCTCTTTATATTCTCAATTACATTTGTTACATTTGAAAAACTAAGACGTGTATAAAACATCATGTGTTAAAAGATTTTTTTTCAGCAGCTTTTTTTTTTTTGGAATTTACGATGAATTGTCTCTCAAAAATGCTGCTTATGAGCAATAGTAATAGTACAAAAAAGGACAAACAACCACAAGTCGTAATAAACAACTTACCTAGTTATTTTAGACGTTTCTCTCTTACATAAAGACCTGTACAGTGAATTGTTTCTAACAGAGCTGCATACACCAGGTATACAGATGAATAATGGGCTTTTTTTTTTTAAATTGAACTTCTAATTAGACATTTAACTACGACGAGGCACTAGAATCATTGTGATTTTCTTGACTCGTGGATTCCAATTGAGCTAATGTTCTCTGTAATTCAGCGAGTTCTGTAGGCTGTAATCGATTGACAATTTCTAACACAGCATCAAATCTTACTTCAGGACATAATTCAAGTGCTTCTTTAACTCGTGTGATTACTGAATCATTTTTCACACAAGAAACATTTCTCATAACAACGCTATTTTCATTTTCACATTGTGCTTCCAACCATGCGGCAACAACTTCATCTTGATCCCATAAATATGATTCCGTTGCACCTTTATCTTCAACGAACCAACGTCTCAACATTGCATCAACTTGTCTCACATCTAATCCCGGTTGTGTGGATATAATTTCCGAACGAATTCTATCCTCCAATAATCGTCGTCTCAATCGCCAATATAAAATTCTTCGAGCACTACGCCAAGAAACTATCTCTTGAATTGTATTTTTTTCCAACATTCTCTCTGGTGTATCATGAAGATCGGCAAAATGAACAGCTACCTGATGATACATTGATTCTAAATGACATTCTCGATCATGAATTTCCCTTTCAATAATTGGTTTCTCTTCCGCTGTACTTGTTGCCAATTTTTCCTGAAAATTTACAAATTAATACTCTTGACTGTAAAGAAAAATTACATGGAATAATATATTCTACACTAATATTTACCTTGAGATTATGAATAACTGAATCGTTTCTGTGCATAGTTTTAACAATATCCTTATTTCTAAATTTGATCTCTACTATTCCTTCCGGTTCCAAAACTCCACCTCTGCTTGTATTGTCCGCAAACATTTCCATATGTCGTGGATTTATCATCGGATCAACAACGGCCCATGCTCCACCTCTCAATTCTCCATACGGTGGAATATAAACGACAATTGGTCGCGTATATTCCCTCAAACCATCCACAATATAAGCACCAAATTTCATAATTTGTTCATACATATCTAAAAAAAAGAAAATTATTTAAAATTTTTTTTTTTTTAAATTAAAAATGAATTTCTTACCTTTCATGCCACCAGAGAATCCTCTCCAATTGGCAAAGATAAATAATGGTAGCTCCTCTTTATTAAAGTCTTTGATCGCTTGTGCTGTTTTGTACGCACTATCGGGAAACCAAACTTGTCCCGCTTGTGAAACGGTCTTTGCCTCTGAATCCAAATTAGCCGGATCAGCCGGTAAATGTAATTCAACAGTTCTTGTTTCAACGGCAATAATTCCACATGGAATACCACCAAGTCTTGCACGTCCCGTAACAACAGTTTGTGCCCATGGTTTCATTATTTCTTGCCACGAGCCACGATCAAAAAATCCACTTTCCCATGTATTATTATCAATTAATTTACCTTCCAACATCCATCTTGGATCATAAGGCGCTTTAGTTGGTACAAAACCAATATCCCTATCAATTGGATCAAGAGATTCGACAATTGGCAATGGTAAACCTTTTGCTTTTGGTATATAGCTCAACCATCTCAACACTGTTTCAACACCATCTAAATCACGTGGTTCAATTGCATGTGAAATACCATTATTATGCATTATTTGAATACCACCCAATTGATTGTTACTTGCATAAACTTCACGACCTAAAACTGTATTTAAAGCTCTATAACCAGTTAAAATAATATGTGAATTTTCTATTTGTATGACTCTTTGACCGAGACGAACAAGATAGGAACCAATTCCAATGGCACGACAAGAAACGACAGAAATTGTCACCACCTGAAATCAATTTATTTATTTATTTTCATTAAATTTATAAAATATTTTTATGTAATAATTTACCTCTTCGTAGGCTTTTGATGTTTCGCCAGCAATTAATCCAGCGTATTTGAGATTTTCAACACCAAGACCATCGTCCTTTCCAATAATATCCGTAATTCGATAACGAGATTCACCACCGTCTTCAATTAGCGATGCTTTCACAGAATTTAACGGCGATAATCGTGCATAATCATCAGGAGTCAAATAAATGTATTTAAATCCTTTTTCAGGTTCATTTTCATCTTCCCAAGCAATTCTAAAGAGGGCTTTTACCTAGAAAAAAAAATTTTCCATTTTTTATTCATTGCTAAAATTTTTTTTTTTTTATTTTGCCAAAAAAAAGAAATACCTCTTCGGCGAGAGCAATTCGTGCACCAGAATTTGCAGAGAAATAAATTCGTGGAATTCCAAGTTGTCTTGCTCTTTCCGAAGCCTTAAAGAAAAGTATATCTTCCGGTATTCCAAAAGAACCAATTAGATGAGTTAGATCATTGGCAATTAAAATAATATCTCGACCAGTTGAACATTCAGGAGTATAAAGAGTTAATCTCCAAGCAACCATACCCACATTATTTTCACCAGGTAAACGTTTTAGTTCTACAAGATTATCTCCATCCAATACCAATTCGACGATTTCAATAAGAGGATTTGGAATTGTTATCACATCTAAAATAATATTTCAAAAATGTTAAATATTTTCAATTTTGTTATTATTTTCTAAAATAATTCAAAAAAATTTACTCACCATTCGGTCGCTCATCAATAAAATCTTTCCACGCTTTTTCAACTTGCTGTCTAAACATATCGGGCAAATCATAAACATACGTGGTACCAGAACTTTGTGCTTGAAATCGTTTAGCTTGAAGATAATCTTTCGTTAAATATGGTGTCGATATTGGTAAACCATGCATTGGTCCTGGTCTATTTGAATTATTCGCCGAACCTGTATACGATTCAAATCGAATAATTCCCGTTTTTGAATCAATTGCCTCGGTGTAAAGATGAAGATCAATACTATAACCACTGTCATTAGAAATACAAAGTCTCACATTTGACGTTGGTTTACCAGGTGCTGGACGTATTGTCATTTTTATTTCCGCCTGTCTCACTCTCAATTTCCACAATCTTTGTCCATAACGTAAAACCATACTCGTGACACTTTCTTCAATTCTTGCCGGATCCATAATAACAGTTGGAACAAAATTCAAAAAAATATGATTACAATCCGTTCGTTTAGCAAGAGGATGTGAAAAAGCAACTTCCAATTCATCCATTGCTTCAAGTAAAACTCTCTCGCCTTCATTGTGTAAATAATCAAAACTCGCTTCTTTTGTTATTAAATCAGAATGTCTAATAATTGATCTTATGAAAAATCGATAATCCGTGACTTGTTGACCTTTAGCAACTTTTGCCTGACCAAGATATAAATGCATTTTTTGATTTGACGTTGGCAATGCCTCGAGATCATAAGTTCTCATTCGATTTAATTCAATATGAAAAGCACATCCCGGTTCTAAATGTCGATAAACACGATCCTCAATAAAGCCATCTCTTTGTCTAAATGTAAATAATTTGGGAAATTGTCTTTTTTTCAAAGCCAAAAATGTCACACGTCTTACACCTCTTGCAACAAGTTCATCTTTATTTAATGCACACCAATCACCAAAAACTCTTGCCATTGTTGCATCATCCTGATTTCCTTTATCAATAACGGCAATACTTAAAATATGAAATGGTTCAGCTGGATCATCACCAACATCATTTTGAGCATTTCCCTCAACAGTTGTACTTAGTGAAACATTAATCGATGTACTGTGTCTCGATTCACTTCCAACGGCTTCAACAGCTTCTAAAACCTTAGCAGAAACTGAATTTGGCGACGATAGATCTTCCAAAAGATCCAACACTTCATCTGAATACTGATTAAATTGTTCTAAATCCTGAAATGCAGCCATTGCACCCGTTCTATGATTCACCAACGATTGATTTTGTCTATTTGGATGATTATTTGGTAGCATAAATTGAAAATGTACAAGGGGAATTTCACCCGATAATTCCAAATGTTGAAGACATGTTAATTCATAACTGATGTATGCTCTACGTACATAAACCTCTAGAGCAGCATTACAAACAACTTGATTTGAATGATAGAAGAAATCGTGTAAAATATCAAAAATACATGTCTCAGAGAGTATAAGTTTTTGTAAATTTTCTGGATGAAAATCATGTCCATACATATCGACAGCTGAGAGAAAAATTGATTCCATTTGATTATGTCTCAATTCATAGGCAGGTTGATGAGCTGCTATTAAAACTTGTCTCGCTCTTAATGCAACACGACTATGTTCCGTTCTATTGAGACTTGTTAATTCAGTTAAAGTACTTGCCAATTCATCCGTAAGTCCCGGTTCATTTGTCCATAAATGATCAATCAACATTGTAACAAGAACATTTTTTTTTGTCACTTGACTATGACTGAATATTGTTGACGTAACCATTGTCTTGTCATCTTTAAACTGGCCAATTAAAGCCGATACACATTTATCATAGTGTCCCTGTTGAAATTGACTCTCAACATTGTAATACTGTTTTAAAAGTTCGTGAACTGCTGTCTTCATACGACCTCTTGTTCCATTACGATATCGTTGAACCAATTGTACAATTGTTTGCGTTGTCAAAAAGAAAACATCCCTGTCGGCACGTTTCGAAAGTGTTGCCGCGTGTCCATCAATAACTGCCGCTATTTGTTGACTGGGAAATTGTGCCAACACAGAAGTGATATTCCTCTCGTAAAGTGTCATTAATTTACGAATTTTCTTTTCAACTGAAATTGGAATACGTCCCGAAATTGTAGCAATAACTTCCTGTAATTCCAAAAGTGGTAAACTAGGATCACGCAATGAGTTCATGAATTTTTCAATAAGTTCTCGTAAACGAGGAAGATGATAAGGATCAGGTAGACAATAACCAGCGAGAGTATTTTCTAAAGCCGCTCTGTATTTTGCGTGAAGGTGATTTAATTTCTCAGGTACTGCCGGTGTTACAGGTGCTGGAAATTGGCCAGAATATTCCAGTGCTTTTGTCACAAGTGAAGGATCATCGAGTTCCAATTGAGCAATTAATGTTCCCGCTTCCAGAACTGCGCCAGGACGTTTCACATAGAAGACACTTCCAGCTTCACCGGCCGTTACAGTCATGACCATTTTCATTACTTCAATTTCTGCATATGCTTGACCAGCATCAACATGTCCTCCATCTTCAACGAGGAAATTTATCAATTTTCCCGCCGATGGTGATCTAAGTAATGAGGGATCATTATCCTTCTCAAAAACACAAGTTTGATTGCCAATTACAATACGATAGCGATCAACTTCCTCTCTCATGTAAGTTGTAAAACTAGCACCATCAAGTGAAAGAAGTAATCCACCATCCGATAATCGATGTAAATCAACTTCCTTATAAGAATTGTTCATCACAAGAAAATATGTATTTGGTCCTGATTTTGTTGCCTGTACTTTATATTTATAACCATCGTTTATTAATTCCACATCGACAACATTATTCAAATCATTACCAGCTTGAATTTGTCCTTTCTCAAGTGCTGTTTGAAAACCAGAAAATGCTGCCGTTATCGTTCTATCGGCAATATGAAGTGCTCCACAAGTGACGGCTAACAAAACATCCGGTTTATCACTTCTCACACGATCAGCAATTAAAAGATCAAGCCATGCGGTGTCTATACAATTTTGTTGAAAACAATCCGTTTCTAATAGTGTAATTAAATATTCAACAGTTGTTCGAAAATCACCTCTAATACTCAATTCTTTTAAAGCTACTACTAAATTTTCTCGAGCTTGTTGTCGATCCTCCCCCCAAGAGAAACAATGACCAAATTGTGAATCTGCAAATTCGTGAAGACCACCCGATGCACCAACTGAAAAATATCCCCAAACATTTTTTGATGAACGGAAATTTAATTCTTGCACTGTTCCTGAACTTGGTTTGAAACCTAAAATAAAAATTTTAGTTAAAAATTGAATTGAACATTTTTTTTTTAAATAAATTTTTAAAATATAGTTTTAACCTTCATCGGGATTTTCACTCGTGATTCTAGCTGCTATAACATGTCCCCATGGTTGTGGTTTATGTCGTGGTTGATCAAAATCTATGGTACTATCACCCCAGGGACTTTCACCGTAGAGTAATCTAATATCTTTGATATGATGCAATGGAAGACCCATTGCAATTTGTAATTGTGCTGCAGGTAAATTCACATCGGAAACCATTTCAGTACATGGATGTTCAACTTGTAGACGGGGATTTAATTCCAAAAAGTAATATCGACCTGATGGATCGTAAAGATATTCGACAGTTCCTGCACTTACATATCCAACCATTTTTGCGAGCCTCACAGCAGCCTTTTAATTAATTTTTAATTAATAAAAATTTATTAGAATAATAAGATAATAATTATTTAATTAATTAAAATATACTTTTTCCATTTCTTCAAAGATTTCTGGTTTTGCAATGACAGCGGGCGCTTCTTCAATAATTTTTTGATGTCTTCTTTGAATTGAACAATCACGTCCAAATAATGAAATTGCATTTCCATAAGTATCGGCAAGAAGTTGTACCTCTAAATGTCGGGCACATTTTGCCAATTTCATTATAAATATAGGAGATCCGGGAATTTCAGTTTGTACTTGTCTAATAAAAACAGAAAAAATAAAATTAGAAAAATATTTTTCATTTTCTTTAAATTAGTATTTAAATTGACAAAAACCTAAATAACGATGGTAATTCCTCAGCATTTTCCACCTTTCTAATTCCTTTTCCTCCTCCACCTTCGCTAGCTTTCACCATAACAGGAAATCCAATTTTATTCGCAGCTGCTAAACATTCTTCAATAGTGGAAACGCATCCTTTTTTAAAAAGTTCAGAGGATATTTTAATTTTTTTCCCACTATATTGGGCTTTTAATTCTGATCCTGACCAAGGTAATGTTGGTACATCGGCTGTTTGAGCAACGATACTTGAGGCAATTTTGTCACCAAGTGCCCACATGGCTCTTTCCGAAGGACCTGAAAATTTATTTGCATTTACAAAATGATTATCAGTTTTTTTTATTTTTAAGAGGAAATATATTTTTAGTTTTAAAATTATTATTATATACCAATAAAGCAGATGTTATTTTTGTGAAGTAATTCGGGGAGTTTTGGATTTTCCGAAGCATGTCCCCAGCCAGCCCAAACTGCATGTACCTGAGTTCGTATGGCAATGTCAATGATTAGTTCAACATTAGCATAATTATTATTATTTGAACCTCCTGGAACTGGAACATATTGATCGGCCATTTTAATATATTCTGCATTTGCCTTTAAGTCTTCTGGTGTGACCATAACAACAAAACGAACAGCTCGTTCATTTTTAAACATTTCATAAGACCAACGACGAACAGATCGCATACATTTAACGGCTGCAATTCCATTATTGGCAATGAGTACCTAAAAAAAAAAAAACAAATAAAAATATTGTTTATAATTAAATGTACATTTAAAAAGCAAATTAAATTTCTAATTTTTAATTAAAAAATATATTTACGAAAACAATTTTAGCCTCTACTTTTATTTGTCAGAACATAACTGGTATATACTAAACATTGTAAACGTCATAGCAAAGGTTCAAAGAGCAATGCTCAAGGATAAAAAGACGTAATTGTTTACCTCTGTATACATTTAATATTTAATCAAGAAGCGTAGTATAATTTTTTTAAAATATAAAAAAACGATTTTTTACAAAATAATTAAAATGATTTAATAGAAATAAATTAATTTTAATTCTAATTTAATTGACTATCATTATGCGATTAATTATTTAATTAATTATAAATGTGTCTATTAATTTAATATGTAAAAGAAAAATAGTATTTACTTTATTGATGACTCTTGTACCACCAAATCGTCGGACAAATTCCTCAGGAGTAGCGACGGTGAAATCCTTTTCGAGTTGACGGCTCTGTGCTTGAATCATCACCGTGCCCTGCGACATGCTGGGCCTATAAAAAATAATCTCATATTAGTTTTTTTTTATTTTAAAAACTAAAATTCAATTTCAAACTAAAGTAATTAATATTTTAGGTTTTTTAAAAACATTATAAAAAAAAGTTTACATAAAATTAATAATAATATTTATTTCGCAAATTATTTATAATAAAACTTGAATTCTGATTAATCAAAAAATGACGTAAGACTGTGTGTTCAAGTAATACGTATAAATATATGAATAAGAGTGGAGAAAGTATCAATCAATTTAAATTCCTCTGATTTAATTTAGAAACTTTTTTTTTATTTATACGTCAAGTTAAATTGCTTGTTCTTTTTATTTTGCGATCAGAATTGCAAAAAAGATTCACAAATTCCAAAAAAAAAAAAAGTGACTCATATAATTAGGAACTGAAAAAATAATAAACATTAATTACGTTAACCCAGCAGTTTTTTCAGTTTCAATAATTGTAGGTTCTATACTAAAGACTTCCTTGTCTTCATTATTTTCACTATTCATCCTGACAATTCCAGCCAATAAATTATCCGAACTCTTCCAAACTGCATTTTTTTCACTACGTTCTGCCAGGACAAATCTTTTCATACGTTTCATCACTGATGTCTGAAGAAACCAACTCAAAGAAACCCAGAAAACTTTCTTGAATACCGAGTCAAAGTTTTTCAAAATCTTAATGTTTTTCACTTTCAATTAATTTCTTGATTTTTTAGAAAAAATCATTTTTCTTCTTCATTTTACTCTTTTTTCTATTCTTGGTGAGTAATTTTTTTCAATTAACAAGAAAAAAATTCTTTCAATTCAAAAAATTTAAAAAAAAAGTTGTAAGTATTTTTTGCAATAAATTATAATGGAAATTTTAAAAAAAATAAAAAAAATAAATAAATTTATTCTATATATTTAAGTATATACGTCATAATGAGTATTCAAGACTATTGCGTTTTAAACTCTTATTTAATGTTTAACGAGAGTTTAAAAATGCAAATGTAAATAACTTTCTTTACAGTGACTGCAAGATAAGTTTTTTTTTCTTCTTCTTTTAATAGAACTCTTTACATTCAAGTAATCTGCAAACTGTGCAGTTTTTCATTATTCACAACAAAAAAAAAAACTCATAATAGATATTTTTTACTTCTGAATTTTTTAATTTTCTATTATTATAAAATATTCATTATAAAGTAAAAAAAAAAATTAACTTACAACTTATTTTATTAAAAGAATTTATTTCTTATAATTTTGCAATTGCAATTTACCAATTTCTTTTATATTATTTTTCTTTGTGAGCAATAATTATATTTATAATTTAAAAAAAAATACATTACTTTTTATCACTTTTAGAAACACAATATTTATATTATCTATCACATTCACATTGAATAACAAAAAAATATATTAAAAGTTCCTGCATGAGTTAAAAAAACAAACTAAATATAAAAATTAAAAAAATAATTAAAAAAAAAAAAATAACTAAAAAATTAAATAAGATCTTTTCTCTTTAGGTGGCTCTAAGCTACTGTAATATAAATGTAGACTGTAGAGAATTTGTTATGGAGAGGTGTGCGAGTATAAGACCCCACTACTTTTTTTTCAGGTATATATGTTCAGTTCTTTTCAATCAAACATCTCACGATTTACAACTTTAGTTCTATGCCACATTAGACATTTTTTTTTCTATGTTAAAACCGGTTCTAGATCATGAACTTCACCGTTAGAACATTTTTAGATAATCTGAAGAAAAAAAAAAAAATATCTTCGTAGTAAAATAATGACATTCTTTTCTATATATAAAAAATGCATTTTAATTTATTATTAATACAATAATAATTTCAATTAATGAAAATTTTTTCCAATTAAAAAATATTTAATAAATAAAATTTTGTTTAAGAAAAAAAAATTATTAAATATTTTTTATATAATTTAAATAAATAAATTTATATTAAATAAGAAATAATTTTCATTAATAAAATATATAACTGTAGTCGTGTAAAAGTTGAATATGTGCATGGAAAAATCTTGAAATAAAAAGAAGAGAAGAGTGCAGAATTAAAAAAGATTAGCTGATAGAATGATATATGTAAATTTTTGGCAAATATTATTCAAGCAAAGAACAGCAAACAACAAAAAATTAAAGATCATTTGAGTAACCATAAAAGAAATTGTTACAGCAATAAGAAAGTATTGTTAATAACTGAAAAAAATTTTATTTGATTTAAATCTGTTATCAAATAAATATATTTCTACTAAATTATTATTGAGTAAATTAAATAGTATTTGTTTTAAATTATTGAATATAAATATTTAATTAAATATTTATTTAAATCAAATAAATGTTTTTTCAGTGTATAACTAACAAATCTGGTTTGTTCTTGCAACAATTTGTTCTATTATGAAAAATAATTTTTTTACCATGCATAACTTGATATTAAAATATAACATGCATAATTACGATTTAATTTCACTGTGGATAGATTTTTATTTACTTTAAGATTAAAATACGCTCTTTAAAAATTTTAAACATATTTTTAAAAAAAAATGCTTTTGCTGACTTTGAGATATTTCATTTGATATGATACAAACATTTTTTTTCAATTGTTTAAAAAAAATTCTTCAATACAATATAGAAATTACATTAATTAAACATTTCATTACATAAAACATTAGTTTGACCTTTACTGATAAGCAACATTGTACAAATATATGTAGTTAAGATTAGATAAATATCAAAATTTAAATATATTTATAAATAATTAATAATTGCATTTTAAGTAATATTTAAATATAATATATTAAAATAAAAACATATCAATATCATTAATGTTTTTTTGAATTCTCTCTCGTTTTTTTTTTAGTTTAAAATTGTAAAATGTAATTTTTTCTAAACTTAATTTTTATAGTAAGAAAATTTTTTTTTAACTAAATTAAAAAAATAGGAAGATATTTTTTATTTTAATAAGGGTTCATTAAATTACAAGTTGTCTATCAAATGTGCAAGCAAAACTGGTTGAATATTCATTTTAAGGGGTCGTTAAAGGGGTCTTGGAATTATGCAGTTTAACAAACTTCATTTCAAAATGTTTACCTTGGAAAATAATTTGAGAATAGTTGAAAATAAAATTCTTGCAATTTGTGCGTATTAATTTATAATAATTATATTATTATAATAGTTCGCGAATGGAAAAAAATATTTTTTCCTTTTTTTTGTCTCTGAATGGAGATAATTTTCCCATTTTTTTCTGTTTTGTGTAGAAGAATCCATTTTTCTGTCTAAGAAAAAGGAAATAAATTTAAATCACCTGAGACGTTTTCGTCGTTCAACCAATCCTGGAAGAATTGGTTGTTGAATCCTATCATTGGCTTCAGGTTCTGGGAAGCTGTCCTCTATTTCAAGTTCCTCCTTGGGATCTGGATCACCAAGAACAAAACTCACTGATGCTGTTTCAGTCATTTTTTTGCCTTTAAAATAACTTTGATTATCTTCTTCTTCTAATTTATTATTTATCTCTTCCTCGGTGCCCTTTGAAATAGAATCGGCTAAGTCCTGATGATGAGATTGGTCGTCGTCTTTTTGTATGGTATTACCTTCAAAATAATTTTTTAATTCAACAATTTGTCATTTTTTTGCTTTTTTTTGCTCCATGATTTCCAAAGAGTATAATATTCAAAATATTAAACTCATTTCAAAGCAGAAGAAGATTGTTAGATTAGAATTGTTAATTAATATTAAAATTAGAAGCTTAGTTTTGTTAATGAATGATTATTTTCTTTTGATATAAAGCAGATGATATTTGGTTAATTTTTGAAACAATAGAGAAATATGCCTTGGTGATTTTTTTTTTTAAATTAAAAATCCAATTTTCAAGTTTATTAATTAAATAAATTTTAATTTTTAATTAAATTATTGACTTAAATAATTATAAATTATTCATTAATTTATTTTCTCAAATATTATTTGAGTTATTACGTAAATTTGTTTTTATTTTCAATATATTTTGTAAATGTTTTTGATTCAAAACTGTTTTGAAATATTTGGCATCAACTTTTCACCTTTCAACGAAAGACAAAAACACAAATTTAAATAACTAATTTTCTTGAATAATATGACCACTATTACGTCACGTGCATATTTTGTATGGTAGTGATACGTAATCAGTATGTTGAAATTTTCAATTTTTTTAAAATAAAAATTCCTTTTTATTTAAAATTAATTATGATAATACTTTTAAAAATCAGATTTCTAGATTTAGACAATTAATTTTTTGTATTTAGGCGACAAAAAATTTTATTTTTTAAAATACCTTCACCAAAAGCAAAAAAGCCTGAAAATGTTCATGCGGGTAAAAATGTACCGATAACAGCATTGAGAAGACTCCGAAGCATACCAGCTTTCCGGTGAAGTTTGTTCCAATCACCAAAGAAATTTGAGAAGAAGTTTACAATTTTGTCCAAAACAGACCCAATTTTCGAAAAAAAAAATTTTTTTTCTTTCTTTTTCAATTTCTTATTTCTTCCTTTCTTTTTTAAGTTAATCCAAGTCTTGATGTGTGTACTTAATTTTTAGCCATCATTTAATTTCACTTGTGATGAGAAATTGTAAAAAAAAAAAACGAAGATTTTAAAAAAAGAACACCATAATTTCTTCTTCTTCTTGTTGTAGGTATTTTCTTCTTCCTATTCCCTGGTATCCACCGAGAGCGTCAATTATGAACTGAGGAAGTTGATTTGGTTTATAAACGAATCAGCAAGCAACAAAGAGTCCCCAGATTGACCGGACGATGGGATCAAGGGGTCGGGAAGCATTTCCACGCGTGTCAATAGACATTGACTTAGTTCTATCGAGATAGTGCGTACGATGAATTGTGATAATAGGTTTTTGTTATCGTCATACAAAACGCGATTAAAACTATTGTTTTGAAATTTCAATCATCTAGAAAAGCTAAATAAAAATCAAGAGGTAAAAAAAAAACATGTGAAATGTCGAAATTCTGAATTTAATTTTTTCAAAATTTTTTCCAATATTAAAATAAAAAAAAAATTGTTAAAAAATGTTTAGGATAAGTTTCAAAAAAAAAAAAAAAAAAAAAAAACAAACAAACAGTACAATTTTTAATAAAATTCAATAAAATAAATTATTTCGAATTTTATTGTACATTGTACATATATATAGAAACAATAACACGTGAATTCACCGTGTATATATCGGAATTTAAAAATTTAAACTAAGTATTCAACTTTACAAGTTAGATGTTACTGACCCTATTATGCAACTGAATATCATTAATAGTATACACTGTCATTGAAAAATAATATTCAAACTTTATTTCTAAGTTTTTATTTTACTTTCAATATTTAATTTTAAGTAAGTTATAAATTTTACACCGTTACTTTATAATGTAATAAAAATAATTTTTAAAAAAATATCTTAATTTATTATTTCTGAAAAATTTGAATAGTCCTTTTGTAATTTAAATATACAATATTTAGTTTATGAAATAATTAAAACAATTTAATAAAAAAATAATTTTGATGAGAGAAACAAATTATGATTTAATAATTCTGACGTCAATTACATTTTTAAAATATATATATATATTTTTTTTTTTGAATCAATACGTGTAAATAACTACAACTTTACATACGAATGTATATTTTTCTGTCAAAGTAGTTTTTTTAGACAGATAAAATTAATAAGATAACGTTTGCATAAATAGTGATAACATGCTAATAAAGTGCAGTCAATAATTTTTTTCTGTTAACATTTTTTTTTTCGAGTTATATATTTAAATTGCAATTTATCAAAAACGGAAAATAGTGGGGTCTGAATTATTATTATTATTAATTTAAAGATTTAATCAAAATGCAAACAATTATTAACTTTTTAAAGAATCAATTACTTTTTTTTGGACTAACAAATTTATTAAATTTTTTTTATAAAACTATCGTTTATATTCAGTTATAAAATTTATTTCAGTAGGAAAGACAAATTATGATTCTCATCTCTGAACTAAACATAGGGATCACTGATTAATTTGAAGGACGAAAGGTTATATTTTTTTTCGTTCAACAATCATTTGCATGAGAAATTTTATATTTGTCTAATTTTATAAAAATAATTTTAAATAAAATTTAAATCTTTTTAAAATTGATAGATGTTATTTTTTTGTACAAAACTAAATATTTTCAGTAAATATAAAACAAGTTAGCTGTTCCACTTTAATAGGTAAACTGCATTTACTTTTGCTTTTATATAGCTAAATAAACGGTATGTATTTATAACGCCTAATGTCTTTTCACCTAATTTATTAATGTTTGTAATGTAGCTCTACATTTATTATCATTTTTTAATACCTTCTAACCCTCTATTTCTTTTTTGTAATTAAGATTTACTACGTCAAAATGTGAGCCATAATACATATGCATTTTTAAAAAGTAATGAATAAAAAAAAAATTTATTTATTTAATAATCATGCAGGAACTTATATTTGAAAAAATAACGTGAATTAAATAAAAAATTAACACACAATAAGCATTATATAATTAACTAATTAAATCATTATTACAATGTATGAACTTTTTGACAGTTTTGTTTATAACCTAGAAAAATGTTTATAAAACTCATTGTAATAATATCAATTTAAAAATATTTTCTTATTATATAATATTTCTTGATAATTATTACTACTATTAAAAATGTAATCTCTTGTATAGTTTTATCTGTTAATAGTTAAAAAACAGATAAAAATAATTCTTATATTTTTATTTTAGATTGTAGATTGATTGTAGAAAATAACAAAATTTTCACACATTGTTATCAAATGATTTTCAAGCAATTGGGATTGGTGGATTGCTAGGTCAGGCGACGTGCTCTTTTTTCTGATTGGTTAAAAACGTGCATGTGTGTAACTAAGAAACCGCGTCATCTGTCCACACAAAACTTAAAATGATTTCAGTAACCCCAATCATAACACAAAAGATTTACAAAAAATAAAATACACATATAAATGATAATTTATGAAGAATTTTTAAATAAAAAAATTATATATATGCTAAATAATAAAAACATACCGATGACGAATCTTGCGTGGTGGAGCCGCCACTCGCTCCTCTTGGAGGTTAGGATTGTTTTTTTCTTCAACCCCTGTCATTCGATAATAGCTGTTTTCCACGTTTGAATGATTAATACAATTTTAAAATGACAACACACCACAACGTTACTGTTGTTATAATTGTTTTCTCACCAATATAAAACAATGTCTTTTTATTTAGTTTAATTAAGTAAAGATCATCCACGATATAAACGTGCGTGACCTGCGTCTAATTTTTTTTTTAAACCTACTTTACCGATTCATAATTTTAATTCCAATCTGTTCCGTCAGAGGGCTGGGAAAAATCTATTTTATCGGTATTTTCTTAGTTCTTATATCTTCTGCCAGAGGGAAACTTGGACATTTTTTTTAAATACCCGAAGACAATAAATTTTGCAATAAATCATATTCTTATTATTTAAGAAAAATGAGCTATTTAAATAATTTAAAACTCAATGACAATGCATATACTGTAATAAAGGTAAAAATTAACAGATTGAAAATTTGTATTTATATATTTAAATAATTTAATTTTTAGATACTGGAAATAATATTTTCAAAAAATGAAACTACATCAGAAAATTTGAAAATTGATATAAACTTATTGAAAGACAATGAAGAATATTTAATTCAAATTATTAACAGTCACTTATATAAGGATGAATATTTTGATATTATATTAATGATAAATAATCAATTTGATGATAAAATCATTTTTAAAATTGAAAAAGAATTTCATTATATTGAACTGAAGGTGAACAAATTTTATTATTTATTTTTATTATTTATAAACTATTGATCTCTATTTTTATATTTCACTATTATATTTTTTATTTTTAAAAAAAGTTAATTAAAAATAAATATTTTTATTTTCAGAAAAAATTAAATGAAGAATATTTAGAAGAATTTCAAGAATTGATTTTAAATAAAATACATGCTTTAAAGAAATTAAATTTAAATGTAAAATTTACATTTTTACGAGATTCAATATTTTTACATAACGATGATGATGAATTTAAAAAAGATAATGAGATTTGTCATTTTGTGAGTTCTGCTTTAATTAATATTGTTAAACAAAGTCAGAGAGAAGAATTCAGAAGTAGAACTTTTAATCTTTTTAATGTAAATAGTTATGAAGAATTACAATTTTCAATTAAAAGGCATTTATTATCGCAAATTGATGATAAAATTACAAATAAACCTTCATCTGATGAATAAAGAAAAAAAAGACAATAATGTTAGATTATTTTATAATTAAATATTTGTATAAGTTAAAAAATAAAATTCAAATAAATTAATTTAATTTTTATTAATATTTTTTAAAATTTATTTCTGATTGAATTTAAATTTTCCCGCTGCGCTGTAATGCAATGAAAACAATAAATGCGCAGATAAGCTGCGCAAGAACTTAGTTTTGTGTTTCCAGTTGAGCAAGTGAGTTGTACCAGCGTCTTTCTTGTTAATAAAAAGTTATAATTCTTTTTCTCTAGTGATAAATTTTATCCGTGAATTATTAATAATAAAATTGCATTAGATAAATGCATCATGTTCGCAGTTGGTTAATTGTTTTCTAGCCTGTGGATTTTGTGTTCCGGCAAATGTTTTCCACGTTCATATGTATTGCCATCGTATGCTTTTCCTTGAAGGGGTTCTCAAAACGGGAGTGGTGATTCCTACGCAGAACCGTATGTATCTATCACAACAATGATTACAATAACGTGTGTTAATAATTATGGCATTTGGAATTTCTATTCGTCTTTCAAAATATGTAGTGACTTACAGTAAAAAAAAAAGAACGCGATAGGAAACATTTTCAATTCTACTTTTTATACATGTCTAATGACTATTGAATGGATTTCAGTTCTAGTAAAATTATAATGAAATCAATTTATCTTTTTCCAATTAAACTAAAAATAGATTCATTATTTCAGTAATTCATTTACAGGATTTAAAAGTTTGAGTGTAAAAGAGACAATATATTCAATTTTTTTGTGGTTAGGGTGTATAAAGGCGGAAGTTGGAGATTGTCATTCGTATTTTCTGAGGTTACCAGTTTTCTTGTATATACCTATACCGTTGTGTTTTTTTTTGTACTTTATAATACGTGTAAAAGATTTAGCTTCAAGTTTTTTTTTAGTTTATTTTACGATTGAGAGAAAAGTAAACGAAGTGTGTGATTATAGGGGCTAAGTGTTAGCAAATGAATTCAGTTGTACGATTAAGTCACATTTGTTGTTGATATAAAAAAGAAGTAATGTCAATTAAAAAATTAGTAGTAATCTCTTAAAATGTGGAAAAAAAAATCAAAAGTTATCTCCGTATTCAGTGCGTACTATTTTTCTTATCAATATCGGAAGTTCGTGACATAATAGCAGATCATCTTCATATCGTTTCAATGATATACAGCTGTTAGCGAATAAAAGAGCAAGTAGTTTTTATTTAAATCTTTGCAATTATTTTGCATTTTTTTTTTTATTATTGACTGTATTTATTTTTTTTATGTACACCCGTAAAAAAATTACCCATTAAATATGTTTCTACAAAAAAACAAATTTGTGTAACTATTTTGTGAAATGATAGTTATGGTTTAAAAAAATTTAAAGGTTTTAAGATGAAAATTTTATTACTTAATTTTCTTTTTTTTCTGCAATTATTTTTAGACTTTAATTAATGAAGCAGATAAGAGTACTATATAATTGTTGTGTAAAGGTCTTTTGACCTTGGTGTGATGGAATCTACAGAGGAAGTAAGCTTCCCCTTTGATTTAAACCCTTCCTTAATTTGTCTATATATCATACACTACTAATAGCTTTTTATTTATGTTACTTATTTTAAAATATATAATTTTTTTATAACTAGTGATTAAATAATTTATATAATTTACATAAAGAATGATTAATTTGTTTTTTTGTTTTAAATAAACGAAAAATTGTTCTTTTATCGCAAAATATTGAATGTTTATTATAAACGTTTTCTAAAATTAATGTTAGTAACAAAATGAAAGTGTATTAAAGAAATCTTCTTCTCACTACAAACAGCAAGTGGTTTCATTAACTCGAAAATTTCTGACGTAGCAAAGCGGATGCAACCTAGTATTTTTGCTCTTAGTTTTTATTTTATTTTTTTAAAATCTTATTTCTGTTTTGTTTGGTATGAAAAAAAAAACAATCGTGTCGACATGCCTGCAATTCGGCTCACAGAGACGAGTTAGCAGATGTCCTTCTTTTCAATGAAAGATGAACTCGTTTTAATCAAGTTTAATGGATCGAGTAAGGGAAACATGATTTAAATGAAAAAAAAAAATTAACTGTTTTAAATTTCAGGAAAATAAATTATTACAACTATTTGAAATAAATTTATTAATAATTAATTACTTATTACAATATTCATGTAAAAAATATTTTTTTTTGTCTCGTGTGCAATTTTCTGAAGGCAGTGCACGCATTGTTTTTTTTTTTTTTTTTACAAACATTAACACATTCTTTCGAGACGAAACCAGACAACTATTTTTACAAATTCTCTTAGCTTCTTGTTCTTTTTTTTTTTTTTTCTTTAAAACGACTTAATGGAAAGTGTGAAGAAATCCTTGTTAATTTTATACTTTTCATTTGTCTTGAAAATATATCTATATTTTTTTTTTGCAAGAAATAAAATAATTATTTTATAATAGAATTTATGAAATTTCTCGATGTTTTGTTTCATTTTATTGAATTGTCATTTCACTAAATTGGTATTTATGTAAATTATTTAAATTTCCAGGGATTGCTGATGAATTCAAAGAGAATGAAGATTGCTTGTTGGAGGAAGTGTAGCTAATTTAGTAAACCTGGCACGTGGGAAATCGGGCTATAAGCCTGGATCATCATCCTCCTCTTCCTCCTCATCTACGGAGAGGCTACAAAGGATGCCAGGCCCAATGCCCGAGAAACCTCGTGTCCATACTCACAAGGTGAGTTTCTTTTTATGTCCTTGTTTTTTTTTTTCATTTAACAAAAAATTACATACTCGAAAACTAATTTTACAGTCTTTATGAATGAAAAATAATAATTAATTTTTCTTTTTTCAAATTAATAATCAAAGGAGGTTCCTATTTTTTATATTTTATCCTCGAGAAATATTTAAATGCAAGTATTATCCAACAGGAATTTCAATTCAAAGGAACGCAGCTTCGATAATAATTCCAAGGCCGGTCGCGTGGGCCTACGTTTTATCGAGAAATTATTATTTTTTTTTTTTTTTTTATGAAAGAATCGAGTTGCGTTAGTTTTATATATTCGCATTCCACTATATTTTGGATTAAGATCGACACTCGTTGAACTTATTTAAGTAGAGTAATTATTCGTATCATCATCACTCATTTTACTTCATCTTCTAGAATTTATCTAATTGCGTTCTCATTTTAGTATTTGCTCTATTGTCTTACATGGGAAATTGAGCAATTTATTAATATTTTTAGTTGGAATGCAGTTTAGAATAATATTTATTTTCTTTTTTAATTATTTGGAAAAAAATTAAATTTTTGGAAATCAATAAATAGGAAAATTTTGATTTTTATAGAATTCTTTATTCATGCTTGTATAATTAGTAAATTTGATACTGAAATATATTTTTTCCCCATGATAATAATAATTGATTTAAACTGAATGGAATAATAAAAATTGATAGAAGTTGGCCTCGAAGTTTAATGAGACGTTTATAGAGACTATTTTCAATTTTGAATCTTCTTCACTTTTTTTATATACTTTCATTCTTGAAAGACAATTTTAAATAAATTAAACAATTTTAAATCTTTTTTAAAAAAAAAATTATTTATTTTTTTTTAGACATTAAAAATTTCGTTTCAATTCGGGTCAGAGGTTAAGAAAACAGGTTACTGCTTTTGAAATATTAAAGGTTTGGAAAACGAGATAGGGTTCAGAGAGGCTTTTGATGTGTTGAGAGCAGGTGCACTATATATTCTATTCGTCACAGTTTCATATAGACGAGATGAATGACGAAGGTGTTTATTACAAAGTTTTATCGTTTCGAGATATATGCATGTGCATATTTTTTTTTCTCAATTTAAAATTTATTTTAAATTGATTTTAAAATAATTATTTTTTTGATAATTAGCATATAAATATCTTCAACTATCAATTTGATCATAAAATACAGACGTCTATAATTAGAAATTTTTTTATTATATTTTTCATCAATGAAAAGTTTTTGTTTTTGTTTCTTTCGTGTGGTCATTGCACTTTACATACGGAGCTAAAAATGTATGGTTTCAATCGATTAATCCTTCCACAACAAGGTATCCTAAGTTGCCTTTCGAGTCATTCAATTTAAAAATGTTTTTTATTATAAATATTTACTTTTATTTAATTTTTTTTTCCTCCAAAAATTTTAATTTTAAATTTCTATTATGGTAAAAAAAATTTTGTTATTAAAAATAATTACACAAATTATTATTTTGGAATTGACTTAATTTAAAAAAAAACAAAAAACTACTATTCGAAATTAATATTAATTTCAAAAATTAAATTAGTTGCGTAAATTAATGTATATTTTATGGAGAAATTTAAAAGTAGTATATTTTGACGCTATTGATTTTTTTAATATTATTATTATTATATCTAAGATATTTTTGACCTGAAATAGAAAATTAAGGTATACAGGAAATGTCCCCATTTTTGTGAGCCACCCCTATGTATAATGACACGTGATATACATGCGTCCTGGGGGCATATAAGGGAGCAATGCGACCGCGCGTTAGCGTATCCCGGTTCCCAAAGAGTCCTGATCGTTTGACCTAGTTTCTTCACGGATTTGGTATATAGAGGAATTCAGAGCTTATTAAAAAAAAAAAAAAACAGGAATGGACACTCGCATCTAAAAAAAAAAATGACGTCGTTTTTTGCATTATTTCTTCGAGATTCAATCGATTTTAAATATTCTCGAGATTATAAAATTATTGTGAATCATTATATAGAAATTCATCTCCAATTGGGAGATGAGGCGAGTTCTTGGCGTTTGTAGCAGCTGTTCCAGTCCTCTCGAGGTAATCTTCTCGTTTCTTCCCAGCTGCTTTGCATTGTTTCGCTTTTTTTCTCTACTCGATTTTAAAAATTTGCATCTTCTCAAAATGAAAAAAAGTTAAAAAAATCTCTTGTTTTTTCTATTGAAAATATTTAGAATTAGAAAAAAAAAAAAAAATTTAATCGAATATTTTCCAAAAAAAATTATTGTGACAGAAAATTTATCCTTAGAAAATTAAAAAGATGATGAAAAAGAAATTAGTTAAATTATAATCGATAAAATACGATTTCTCGCAATAAGTAATAGTGGTAGCTGAACAAACATTCGATTGCAATAACAACCGCAATGACTTTTCCAGTTATGAGACATGATTCTAGAGAGTCTAAAGTCTAACCAGTGTGTTCTTTGGTGTTCTTGTGAAACACAACACCTTATAACCTGTTCTATTACCAATGAATGTCAAGAAGGTACCTTAGTTTGAAAAAAAAAAAAATATCATCAATGACAATCGTCGATGAAAGACAAAATGAACGAAACCGTTATGATTTACTTCATTATTTAAAGGAAGTGTATCTTTTTTTCTCTCTCTCTTTTTCTTAACACTGATAATAATAATTGACGACTGAAATGAGATACGCGTATGATTTGCTTTGATATTTCTCAGAAATAATTTTAGATTACTTTTGATCCTTCCAAAGGAAATTTTAATTCTTTTATTAAATAACCTTTTTTTTCTCTTATAACATTTTTACAATTATAAATAATTTATAATTATTTTATTATAAATAATAAAAAAATCGAATATTATTAAAAAAATTATTATAATAAGTAAAAAAATAAAATTGACAGAGAATACAAAAATCTTTAATAAATTGACTAAAGGAATAGTAAATTAAATATTATTTTATTTGGATGAAATATGCATTTTCCAACTGTTGTAAGTTTAATCATCTTTTTAGTTTTATTTTTGCAATGTAAGCAAAACCGTTAGTAAGTAGGTGAATGAACTTTATACACACGTTAATAAATTTTCCTTATAAAAAAAAAAAAAAAAAAAAAATTTCTTCTCTCCTTTTGATATGGTTCAATAATAACGGAATTCTTCTCTTGGATCATGAATGATCCGCAAATGAATAGCTAAAAAAGAAAAGAAAGATATATAACAAATTACGATCCTCAGTAATTTATATAATTTTTTCCCGTCTGCAATTTCTATTTTCAGAATTCTTGTTGGCTTTTTGCTTCTCTTAATCTTCGACTTGTTATTTTACTTCAACCATACGCTTTATGAATATTAATCAATTTTTTTTTAAATATTAAAACAAATTTTAACAAAATTGTTTTTAATTTCAAAAAAAAATTTTATTATAAAAATTTCATCAATAATCTCTTATTAATAGTTATCAAATGAGAAAAATTTTTGATAAAAAAAAAGGAAAATTACATAAAAAAAAAAACAGGTTAATTATAATCGTGTATCTTTTTCAAGTGAAAGGATATATAATTGTCATAAGCAATGGGGAATGAGATAATTGATATAGTGCTATTATAATTGAATGTCTACTTTGTCCTTCCGTTTTAAACGTTAAAAAGGAAATGCCTGTTCTTTGCTTATTTAAACTAAGAGAGAGAAGAATAGTTACCATTATTATTTCGTCTTATTCGATAGAATAAGCGAATCGAAAGCGTGACAAATTATATCAAATGAAACCTATCAGACATAGTTTCTATATGTGTATATATACATAGCTTGTTATGCATATTTTCGTACCAGATAAATTGATCTCCAACTGAATTGAACTATTACGTCCAGTAAATCGTGATTATAAAATCAACTAGACTTAAATTTATCAAACACTTGTTTCGCTAAATTGTAAAATTGATTTTTTAAAATATATTTACAATTACTTATTAGCAATTTTTTTATTTTTCAATGAATTTTGAGAAAATTAATTAAATATTATATTATTTATTAATTAAGCTTCAGCCTTTCGGCCCAGAAGTGGACTTGGTTTAATACAAAATTAAAAAAATATTAATTAAATATTAATTTAAAAAGTAATTACAATTAATTTTTTTTAACTTACTATTTTGTTTGAAAACAAATTAATTTATAACAGAAGTTTCATTCATTAATAACCTACTTTGAGTATTAATAATGGCTCCATTCATTATTGGTAGCAAAAAAAGGAAAAGGGATTTTTTCTTTTTTAAATCAAATTTAGAGAGTGAAGGAGAGAGAGAGAGTTAATAAGAACTACCTAATTATTTTAAATTATTTTTTAAGAAAAGTTAAAACAAAAATTTTGTAATTTTTATATTACGAAATATGTTTCTGTATATTATAAAGTGAAATCTATTGAAAGGTCTGAATAAAGAATTTGTATTCATGAACAATCTACATTGAGAGTTTGTTGCTAGTTAGTTAAACTCTTCACGCACGATGACTCACTGATGCCCCTGCATTTCCAATTGCCATCGCAGACTCGCTTTAAGTTTCGTGATTGAAAATAATAATAACAACAATAATAATTAATTCAATGTCACAAAATTAACAATCAATTGACTCACACTTTAGGAATTTTTCCGCTATAAATTATTCAATTTAATAATGGAATAATAATATTTATAAGTAATTAATACAATAATAATAATAATTTAATTAGTAAATTTTTAATTTTCAGATGTTGGGGTGCAATCGAACAGACGATTTTAATACACCAGTTAGTTCCGGTAGCAATATGGGTAGCATTGCAAGATTTCCAAAATTGGATGAGTGTGCACATTTTCATTATGAACATGTTGAATTGGGTTCATTGGATGTAATTATAATTTTTACTAATATTCTAATTTTTACCATAAATTAATATTTTTAATAAAATTTTATTTTCATTTATTTCAAGGTTTCTCTCAGTGAAGGCACAAACGATTCAGATAATTATGAAGTTAGAGTAACATCGGGCGATGCATGTTGGACATTACAACGATCATATGAAAATTTTGTCATGTTCGATAAACATTTACATCGATGTATATTTGATAGGAAATTTTCATCATTACCAAAACTTGCTGATAATTGGCCTAAAATAAATTGTGAATTATTAAGAGAATATTTAACACGCTTTTCACAATTAAATCATGAGGGCCTAAATTGTGGACCAGTTTTAAATTGGTTACAACTTGATAATAGAGGACGAAGAATACTTGTTCCCGAATCTGATTCATGTCCAATAAATACACCGGCTGTTGCTGCTGCTTATGCAATAAGACCTTATACAGCACAAGCGCAAGATGAAATTTCTTTTCATGTAAATTTTTTTTTTGTCTTTTTCTCATTTGTTGTAAATTATTTTTTTTTTTTGTAAATATAATTTTTTTTGTAATTTTTATCTAGGTTGGAGATATGATCTCAGTGATAGATATGCCACCACCGGGTGAGAGTACATGGTGGCGTGGTAAACATGGATTTGCTGTGGGTTTCTTCCCGGCTGATTGTGTTGCTGTTATTGGTGACAAAGTTCCTCGTCATTTGGCCATTTCAACAACCGTCCGTTCGAAATTACCAGTGAAACCAGTGTTGAGAAAACATGGAAAATTGATAGCTTTCTTTAGATCATTTATTCTTAATCGTCCATCAAGAAGAAGATTAAAACAATCCGGTATTTTAAAGGAACGTGTCTTTGGTTGTGATTTAGGGGAACATCTATTAAATTCCGGTCACGATGGTAATTATTTTATTTTAAATAAAAATTATTTTTAATAAAAAATTAATATTAATTAATAATTAATAATTAATAATTTTAGTGCCAGCTGTTCTTACCTGTTGTGCTGAATTTATCGAAACACATGGATTAGTCGATGGAATTTATCGTTTGAGTGGCGTGACATCAAATATCCAAAGACTACGACATGCATTTGATGAAGATCGTGTTCCCGCTTTGCATTCCGACGAAAGTATCCGTCAGGATATACATTCTGTAGCCTCATTATTGAAAATGTATTTTAGAGAGTTGCCAAATCCATTGTGTACCTATCAGCTTTATTCGACTTTTGTGAATGCCGTTCAAGCCGATAGTGATGCTGAAAGACTGAGAAGAATGAGGGATACAGTCAGAAAATTACCACCACCTCATTACAGGTTTGATTTTTAATTTTTATTATCTTTTTTTATTTATTTAATTATAAATTTAAAAATTCTTTTACAGAACATTAGAATTTCTCATGCGACATTTGGTGAGAGTAGCGGCTAAAGGAAGCGAAACTGGAATGACACCGCGAAATGTTGCTATTGTATGGGCGCCAAATCTTTTACGTTGCAAGGAACTTGAAGTTGGTGGTGTGGCGGCACTTCAAGGAGTTGGTGTACAAGCAGTTGTTACAGAATTTTTAATATGTTATGCTGAATTAATATTTGGTGATGGTCCAGTTGGTAGGCCTAAATCATTAGCAATCACTACCTCAGCAAGATTATTGAGTCTCGAGGAAGCGAGAAATAGAAATTTACGAAGTGAAGCCGAATATATTGAAGTTGGAGCGGGTCCTGCTGGATTACCAACTCATTATCATACAGTCATTGATTTACCACCGAGAAAAAGGAACGGTTCAAAAAGATCACCATCGTTAAATTGGCGTGCTCTATTTGCAAGAAGTTCGGGTACAAAGGGAAAAGCACGACCAGTTGGTACACCACCACAAACGGAAACACCGCCTAATTTTGTAAATTCTCTAAGACGTTTGAGATCGGTGAAAAGTGCTGATAGTTTAGATGGTGAGGATAGTTTGGGACCTCTTTTAGGACCACCACCTTCACGACCTTGTGGTCATAGTCGATCAGTTTCGCATGATTCTTACTTTGATCATCTTGCCGATGCACCGAATACAGCCTCGCCTCTTGATCTGTCGGAAATACAACTTAATTTTGATTTGGAAGAAAGGGAAATGAGAATGTTTTCTGAAGAAGAGAGTACTGGAATTGCTTCGGTTGAAGCATCGCCTAGAAGACAGAGAAGCGATGGTCCATTATCGGTGGCTGTTAGTGGAGGATCAAAAAGAAAACGATCAAGACTTGAAGAGAGACTTCATTGTGATGTTGAATTACGTTTTATTGATAGTCAAAGTCCAGATCAGGTAAGAATTGAAACAAATTTAAAATATTGACATATTTCTATAAAAGAAACCCATTTTTAGGTTATGATATCGGCTGATATTCATGGAATGGAGACGCCATCACCGTTAACAACTCCTGGTTACTTGCCACTTTTATCAGAGGATTCGACACCATTAACACCAGCTACTTTATCAATTTCACCATTGCCAGCCAACAGTCCTAGAATAAGTTTTCGAAGTTTTAATCTACCCTTAGATCTTGACAACAATAGTTCCGACAAGCTTAATAGAAGTAGCACGTCTTCCGACAAGGTATTCGACACTAGTCATAGATTGTCTATAAATATTGACAATGAATGCGAGAGTATGCAAACATACGATAGACTTATTGAATCATCTCTCGAGTCTTCCGTGAATCAATTTCAATCAAATGGTCAAATAATTACTGAATTTTACGATCATGAAATGACACCCTGCGATAGGTTAGTAATCTCATCATCGAATAGTGATCCATCAACAGAAATAAGTGATTCACTATCACCAAGAGATGAAGAAAGTAATAAGCAAATTGATTCTGAACAAAAGCCAAATAGTGAAGATAGAAGAAGTTCATCAAATGAAGAAGAAGAAGAAGAAGAAGAAGCACTTGCCTGTGCATCAAATACTCAAGCAAATGATGTTAATGCCACTTTACCATTGACAGATTTAGATTCACCTATGTCTTGTGAACAAACTTTTGAAGATTTACCTGATTCAGGTTTTGTTATTTGTGATAGTTCTGATAAAATATTCACAATTACCGATACACAACCTTTAGCGAATGATTCCGGTGAATGGGTTATGGTTGAACGTACAAGTGAAACAAGTCCAAAGGATTCTTTAGAGGGTACAGTGAATCCGGCAATAGCTACTGAAGCTCCACAATTGCAATCAAATTGTGAAAATTCAAGAACATCGTTAGATTTAACAATGGCATCAAATGTCGATACAGATACATCTTGTATTGGTACAAGTGATTTAACTGATAGTCCTGTTCAAGAATCAAATGATATGTGCGAGGATGATAAATCACTTGAGGAACAAAAAGATGAAAGAATATCTTCTACTTTTTTGACATGTTCACCGCTTAGATTAAGAGCGCAAAAATTTGAAATAAACCAAAGTGATAAATCCAAAATGGATCAAGTAGGCAAACTAGAAAAGAGTCTTAATCAAAAGACAAAAGTTGAAGAGAAATTGGAGAGCGTTCGATTAAATCAAAAACGATCAACAATTGAGGAAAATTCATTACAAAAATCATTGCTACCAATGGATAGTGAAAGAAAAAATGTTTCACAATTACAAGAGGCTTTTGAAAAGAATATTGAAAAATGTTATGGCTATAGTCCATTGAAACAACGTAATTATCAATATCGTATGAAACATTTGAATGATAAACGAAAGCAAGTTCAAATTCATAATAATGAAGTGATGATACCTTCGGAAAATGCAGCTGAACCTTATGAAGTTGTTCATGTACCGGAAGGAGCTTCAGGAACAGCTTCATTAACTTCTTCAATAACTTATTCTAATGACACATCACCAGTTGATGATTCAGGTATTTTAAAAGACACTGCAGCTATTTTACAAGAACTTGCTTTACAACGTTTATCAGGTGGTAGTGTAGGAGGAGAATTATCAACGAGAAAACGTTACGATTCAGAAGTAACACGAGATAGAAGAAGTTTTGATTCTGAAATAGGACGTGAAATTGTACGAGAGAGAAAAATGAGACAAGAATTGGATAATGCGAGGGGAAAATTTGAAGAATCATCATCATCCTCATCATCGGTAGCAGGTGTTCCACATTTACCACCATGTTTACGTGCACGTCATGCAAGAGCAACAAGAGCGGCATTAAGTCGTTCTCTTGATGAGGGGAAATTTAATCAAATGACTGGTGATAGTTGTTTATCAAAAAAACAATCATACGATGATAATTCACAACACAGTTCTACACCAAATGTTGGATCTGAATCAATATTATCGATTAATAATACCGATAGATTGTATGCAAAAAATCTTGGTGGTTTAGATCTTGGCGATCCACAATGTCGAGAGAGAATAGACAAGTACAAAGAGGAGAGAAGAATGTTTTTAAGAGATAAATATAGATCGGAAAGTTTTCGGGCGTCCAAAGCTGAGGATGATGGTGAGCAAGCGTTGTTGGCTAGATTAAAGCAACGTGCTTCCAAACCCTCTCTTCATTGACCAAGTGATATTGATAAGCTTCATTGCTCTCTTTCGCTTTTAGAATTTCTTTTTTAAAAATATTATTTTCTTTCAAAATTTTCACTAAATAAATTGAATAGTGATTACTTTTTAATTTACGAGGGATTTGAGATATACACTATATTTAATATTATATTGTACAATTATTATTTAAATAAGTACTATTGCTTTTTTTTTTAATATGTACAATAATTGCGAATAATGTATATTGCAGTCTCTCAATTAGAGAATTTTTTGTACTTTTTAATTTAATGACAATTTTCTCATTTTCTTGCCTAGTTAAAATTCAATTTGTAATTTATCTAATTTTTCGTTTTTAGATAATTAAGGAGTTAGGTTTTTTTTTTTTGAAAAATTCCAAGATTTCAATGAAAAATAATATAACTAGAATGAAATTTGTCAGTTTAGAGTTATTTAGATTATTTTTATTTTGAAATTATAGGGGTAAAATTGCCGAAAATATATGCAATAAAAAATTTGTTTTTATCTTAAGACATTTAAAAAAAAAAAAAAAAAAAAAAAAGAAAGCTTTTGCTAATAAATTTTTGCAATTTTAAAAATAAAAACTAGTGCTTTTATCTGATAAAAGTCGTTATTCGAAAGTAAAAATTGATATTTTCGTAGTTTTTTTTTTATTAGAAAAATTTGAATTTTAGTTACAAAAAAATATATATCAGAATAGTATAATTATTTGTAAATTTCAAATATCAAAAAGTCTATAATAAAAAATAATTGATTACAGTTTGTTGTGTGGCTCAGTTTAATATAATATCTGAAAAACGAATCTAGATCTGATAATGAAATGTTCTACTTTGTATTTTATGTCTTTTATGCGAAATTATTACTCGATACGAGTAAATTAAAAAAAAAAAATAATGAATTTGTCAAGTTTAAATAACTTTTTCAAATACTCATTTATTTAATTCTATATTATAAAAAATATATTTATATATATGTGAGAAAAAAAGAGAATTGTGTCCTTTAGAAGCGTTGTTAAAATTCGTTAATATTGTCTTCGTTTTCTCTAAAAAAAAAAAAAAGAAGAAAAAAATAATATTGAAAATAAAATATTATTTCATTTTTTGGAACTTTAGAATGTATATTTTTTATTCTAGTTTGATATTTACATATATATTTAATAGACTTGAATGAAATTTGCTGAAAGTTCTTATTCTTTGACTGTATAATTAATTAGATATTTTATATGTTATATATGCGACATTGTTATTTTTTTTATTGTGGACAGGTCCACAATAATATGAATATCTTTTGTACATCCTAGTTCTTATTTAGCTTCATAATTAATATTATTATTATTATTATTATTATTATTATTATTATTATTAAAATTATTATTATTAAAATTATTATTATTAATATTATTATTATTATAATTATAAGTTAAAATAAACAATGAATCGACGACTAATGTGTCGATTTCATTTTTTTTTATGAAATCAAGATTACTATTTGTTATAAAAAAAAATTCTTGACAAAAGGCGAATAGAATTACTCAAATATTAATAATAATTGTAGAGTATACGTAATAATATTATTAAATTATCGTTTGTTGATATTGTTTTTGATTTTGAAATTAAGTTTCACTTGCGATTAGAAAATAAAATGTTTTCATTTTTATTTTAAAATTTAAAATACTGCAATTCTTGTTTTTTTTTAATAATATTTTGATAAAAAAAATAAATTTAAATCGCTTTATCCTTTTTCAATTAAAAAGGAGCGCACAATTTTTTAGTTATGTCATTTATAATATAATTATAACGTAATAAAATAAATTCTAATACTTTTTTATATTTTTCAAAATAAACAAATATTTAAAAAAAAAACTTGATTTTTTGTATAATTCTTTTTTTTTTTTGGTGTCTTTTAATATTGTCAATTCATTTTGTTGTGGGTTTATATATATATTGAGAAAAATATTGCTACTGATTACTAAATCATTGATTTTCAAAATTATTAGTTAAAAATTTTTTTTTATATACTTTTGCAAAAAATTTTGTTTGATTTATTATTTTTCAGTGTAGTAAAAAATGTTTGCACAAAAAAAAATAGTGAAATTTTTTATATTAATTTTTTGCGCAGGAAAATTAAAAAAAGAAACGAATATCTCATTTAAATACATTTGTATTAGCAAAAACAAAAAGGGAAAATTATATAAGAATTTTTTTTTATCTAAGACCAAATTAATTACTAAATTGCCATTGTATTTCAGAATTATTATTATAAGGATGTAAAATAGTAATCTTGTTTTTAAGTTTTTAACTGTCTTATATGGCACGTTTTCGTTAACAAAAAGAGTACTGTTTTGCCTATTGCATTATATTAAATATATATAGGTATATAGGAAAGAGTGATAAGGAGAGAAAGAAAGATATTATGACATATATATGTAAAACAAAATAAAGAAACTAAAGAAAAATGTATGTGAGATTAAATTCTTGAAATATGAATTTTTTTTAGTTTTATTATTTATTATTTTTAAAAATAATAAATAGTATTTAGTTTATATCTCTAAATTTTTTTTAAAAATCTATTCTCTCTAAATTTGAATCAGCGACTATTCGCTTATTCGTAGCTGCATACTCTGCGCTAAGAATAAGTCATAAGCAAAATTGGATTAAAATAATAAGCGTTGCAGCTTATTTTAATACCTTTTAATTTTAATTTCCATATTATTTTTTTCTCTTCATTTTTTCGATCTACATATCAAATTTCTTCTCTTTTAAAATTGTGTGAAACAATTAGAATGATGGGTATATATATAGTAAAGGCCCTGACACATTGTCATTCAGAATCAATTCCGGCTTTCGCCCCCTGATGACATCAGGACACAACCCCTTTTTTTTCTACATAAAAAAAAAAAAATCGAGTGGAACCTTCAGTCTTTATGCTTTCTTTAACCGCCGGTGATAGAGTGGTTGAAAGGTGAGGACCACTCGTAAAACAGTGGCCTGAAGAGTAGAGAAGAGAGAGAGAGTGAGAATGGGATGAAAAAAAGGGTGGGGGAGGGTGGTGACTGGAATGAAACGAGGGCCACTCCACTGGTCCTGGACTCCGTGACTATCGTCGGATCTTGCACGGTAATTATTTTTAAACACGCCGTGGAGATATGAATCTTTGTATATAGTATGCCGCTCAAGTGTTCGTAAACCTCATCTTTCTCTCTTTTTCTCACATTTTCTTTTTTTTATGCCTTTTTCTGTCCTTGTTTATATATATACACATTGAGAGGAGAAATTTTCCTATGATGCATTTAAGGGGACTAATTAGGTGTCGCCGCTTTGGAATTTCCGCACGTTCGTATCGCGATAATTATTATCATCATCATTATGTGACGCGTCGCGCGAAGGGACCTTAAAAAAAATTGTAGGTTATGTTTTGAAATTTTTAAATGAAAATTGAACTTTTTTAAAAAAAAACTACTTTATTTGATTATAACTATTTTTTGTTAAGATTTCGTATAGTTGGGACAAATTTTGTACCTTTATAAATGATATATATATATATAGTATATAGAGAGAAGTGTGACTATCCCCTAGCGCGCGCTTGGCTGTCACGGTTGTGCAAATCGAATCACGACGCCCCCGCACGTACTTGACAATGTTATTTGTTAGCAGAAGCGTTGAAGTAACCGTAGTTGAAACGAGGCCAGATTGTCCAGTGATCAAGTTAAATGGCACGTGGCCAGTAAACTCCCATCCTCAGGACGAAAAGGATACGTGTATGTCTACAAAGACACACACATATTCTTTTTCGTTATCATTTTCAAAAAAAAAAAAAATATATTTCTGTTTGGAATTTTAAATCTATTTAACGAAAATAAATTAAATTTCTTTTTAAAAAGAAAGATCATTCATTTTAGACGCGATCTGAAGAAAGGGACCTTATAGAAGCAAATTAATTATATAGGTTATGTTTACGACAGTTTTACTTGAACTAAAATATTTTTGTTTTTGTAAAACTTTATTGAATATTTTGAATGTTTATAATGAAGACCTAAATATCATATTAGTTTGCATTACACTGAAAATTAAAAGGCATTAAAATAAGCTGCAACGTTTATTATTTTAATCCAATGGTATTAAAATAAGAAAAATTGGATTAAAATAATAAACATTGCAGCTTATTTTAATGCCCTTTAATTTTCTGTGTACGAATTAAACGTCTTGTATTTTCACTTTAAAATTTCAAAACATAACCTATAATTTTTTGGGATAAGGATCGCATAGAAAATTTTGGTTTTTTTTTTTATAAATTTTTTTGTATATTTTTATTAAAAATTGATAAAAATAAAAAAAAATGTAGTCTTTTAAAAGTTAAACGGTGCGCTAATAGTCCCGTATTTCATGGAATGGAAAAAAAGGGGGGGATGGATTTATTTATCAGAGGGTTGGTCTGGTTGACGTCGAGTGACACGCGGCGACGTCTTGACAGGCGACGTCTTGTTAATGGTCCCGTATATACTCCATGAGAACGAGAGAGAGAGAAAGAGAGAAAAAGGTAGAGAGTGCTAAACCGACACGAGCCGCTCTTTAACTAGACATTTTTGTTTTTTTCTTACCTTCCCCCAACGACCGATTTTAGCCCGAAAATTGCCATTTTTTTTAACATAAAATTTATTAATATCCCTTAGATAATAATAATAATCATTAATGATTATTTAAAAATATCAAATGTTCCCCCTTTATTGGGGTTTTTTGCTAAAATTCAAATAGTCAAATTCAAAAGTCACGTGACTCGCGATGGTAGCGCTCCTAGTGTTTGTAATCGGTAATACTAAACATCATTGCACAGTGGTCAGCGGCAAATTAGTCTAATGTTTTCCACCTATGAATTAGCATAGAAAATTGTAACAAAAGTGAGTTAAATGTTTTTTGTCGAACATTTTTTTTTCTATAAAAAGTGTGTTTAATTTTACAATAATTGTAGACGATTTTCAAATACAAAAAAGATTGGCAATAATAGAAAGAGCATGCGCACGCATTGTTTTCGCATGAAAATCGTCTTCACGACGCGATACAATTATAATTTTGCCTATTGTGGAACCAACCTCAAAAGTGCTTTGGATCTAATTAGAAGAATTCATTCTATATTGTTGGTGGCGTGCAATAATCATATCATTTTCAGAAATTTGTAAGTAAACACATTAAATTATATCGCATTTCTATAGAAAGTACAAATATTTATAATTTCATGTGCAGCTAATTCCTCTTTTTATTTACATTTCGTGTGTTATTTCTAATTTCAACTAAACCGCTAAACAATACCTAACCTTAAAATTCATATCGCATAATGTCAAAATTAGTTTTTCGTTCAAAAAATCATTTTCGTTTTTTTTGAGGTTATTGCGAAAAGAATCGAAACTAAAAATTTAAGTTTTTAATTAAAAAAAAAAAGGGGGATATAATAATATATAAATTGATAAGTATAGTTTTGCGAGAGATTTCTTATCATCTTAATATTTGATAAAGGATCAAGAATTTCGC